TGGCTTAAGGAAAATAGATCATATAAATCAATGAAATGGAATAAATAATCAAAAAAAAAAACCCTCTCAACCATAACCTACTGTTATTTGACAAAAGTGACAAGATAATAAAATAGGGAAAAGACTGTACTTTCAAAAATGTGGTGCTGGAACAATTGGATAAATATACGAGAAAAAATGGAACGTTGGCATACACATACACATACATACATAAAACTTTCATGAAAAATAGATGATGGTCTTATTGTGAAAGCTAAAACTTTAAAACTTTCAAAACTAAAAAGAGCCTACATACTCAAAGCAAGACTAAGCAAAAAGAACAAATCTGGAAGCATCACATTACCTTACTTCAAACCATTCTATAAGGCCATAGACACCAAAATAGCATGATACTAATATAACAACAGGCACATAGACCAATAGAACAAAATAGATAACCCAAAAATAAACCCAAATACTTGCAGCCAACTGATCTTTGACAAAGCAAACAAAAACATTAAGTGGGGAAAGGTCACCCTATAGAACAAATGGTGCTAATTGACAAGCCACATGTAGAAAACTGAAACTGGATCCTCGTCTCTAACCTCATACAAAAAATAAACTCAAGACGGATCAAGGACTTAAATCTAAGACCTGAAACTATCACAATTCTAGAAGATAACTTCAGAAAAACCCTTCTAGACACTGGCTTAGGCAAAGACTTCATGACCAAGAACCCAAAAGCAAATGCAACAAAAACAAAGATAAATAGCTGGGACTTAATTAAACTAGAGAGCTTCTGCACAGCAAAAACACAGTAAACAGACAATCCATGAAGTGAGAGAAAATCCACAATCAAACATCAGACAAAGGACTAATATACAGAACCTACAGGGAACTCAAATTAGTAAGAAAAAAACAATTTCATCAAAAAGTAGGTTAAAGACATGAATAGACAATTTCCAGAAGAAGATTTACAAATGGCCAACAAACATATGAAAAAAATGTTCAACATTAGTAATGATCAGGGAAATACAAATCAAAACCACAATGCAATGCCACCTTACTCCTACAAGAATGGCCATAATCAACAAAATCATAAAATAATACATGTTGGCATTGATGCATGAAAAGGAAACTCTTTTACACTGCTGGTGGGAATGTAAACTAGTACAATGACTGTGGAAAACAGTGTGGAGATTCCTTAACTAACTAAAAGCAGAACTACTATTTAATCCAGCAATCCCACTACTGGGTATCTACTCGGAGGAAAAGAAGTCATTACCCAAAAAAGACACTTGCAGCCAGGCGCAGTGGCTCACACCTGTAATCCCAGCACTTAGGGAGGCCAAGACAGGCAGATCACAAGATCAGGAGTTTAAGACCAGCCTGACCAACATGGTGAAACCACAACTCTACTAATAATGTAAAAATTAGCCAGATGTGATGGTGGGTGTCTATAATCCCAGGTACTCAGGAGGCTGGGGCAGAGGAATCACTTGAACCCAGAAGGCAGAGTTTGCAGTGAGCTGAGATTGCACCATTGCACCCCAGTCAGGTGACAGAGTGAGACTTAGCCTCAAAAAAAAAAAAAAAAGATACAACATTTGACATGCTTGTTTATACCAGTCCAAGTGCCCATCAATCAATGAGTGGATAAAGAAATGATGGGATTCATATATATATATGATGGGGAAGTATTCACCCATAAGAAGGGATGAGTTGATGGCATTTGCAGCAACCTGGTTAGAACTGGAGACTATTATTCTAAGTGAAATAACTCTGGAATGGAAAACCAAACATCATAAGTTCTCACTCATAAGTGGGAGCTAAGCTATTAAGATGCAAAGGCATAAGAATGATACAATAGACTCTGGGGACTTGGGGGAAGGGTGGGAAGGGGGTGAGGGATCAAAGACTACAAATTGGGTTTAGTGCATACCAAAATCTCACAAGTTGCTACTGAAGAACTTACTGATATAACCAACTGCCACACTGCCACCTGTTCCCCCAAAACCTATGGAGATTAAACACATTTTGAAAATATTATATATATATATATATATATACACGTATATATATATGTATGTGTGTGTATATATATATATATACACACGTATATATATATGTATGTGTGTGTGTGTATATATATATATATATATATATATATATATATATATATATACATATGGTAACCCTGGGATAGGCCAAGACATGAAATACACAAATCATAAAAGAATAGCATAAATAAATTGATTTTAACAAAATTAAGCTTTGCTTTTTGCAAGACAGCATAATGGGACTAAAAAGGAAAACCAGACAGGGAGATGCAAATTGTATGCCTGACAAAGGACTGGTATACATGAGTTATAGCTCAATAACAAAAAAAAATGCAGCAATAAATGGGCTAAGGACTTAAACCAATACCTCAGAGAAGAAGACATTCAACTGGCCAATAAACACATAATAAGATGCTCGACATCAAGCTCAGTCATAATTAAATGCAAATTAAATCTATAATACAATGCACTATATATCTACTAGAATAATTACAATTTTAAAAATCGACAATCCTAAGTATTGGTGAGGATGTGAAAAACTAGAACTCTCAATTAATGGATAATAGTACAGCCACTTTAGAAAATCATTTGGCAGTTTCTTCAGAACCTAAATGTGTATTTCTTGTATGACCTGGCTCAGAAATTCCACTCCCACTTTTTCACCCAAAAGAGATGAAAATGTATGATCACAAAATAATATACATTCAAATAATAATGCAAGATTTATTTTAGTGGTCAAAAGATTAAACCACTGAAATATTCATCAATAAGTACATTGGTCAATAGTCACATGGACTATTACCATGGAAGACCCCATGGATTATTATTAGTTAGAAATAAAAAGTAATTAATTCCTTTTACATGCCACAGCATGGATGAATATAAAAAGCACTTTGCTAAGTTAAAAATGCTAAAAATACAAAAATAGCACATACTGGATGATTCTATGCCTACAAATCTAGAAAATATAAATGTAATCTGTAGTGACAGAAAGCAGAACAGTAGTTGCTAGATGCTGGAAGGAAGGATCAAGAGTGGGGAGAAGCTGACTAGAAAGAAGTACAGCTGTCCCTGGGTATCCATAGGGGGTTGGTTCTAGGACCCCTCAGATATCAAATTCCATAGATGCTCAAGTTCCTTATATAAAATGGTGTGATATCTGCATATAACCTGCACACATCCTCCCGTGTACTTTAAATCATCTCCAGAGTACTTATAATGACTGATCCAATGTAAACACTATGTAAATCATTGTTATCCTATATTGTTTACAAAATAACAAAAAAACATATTTGTACATGGTAAGTACAGATGCAACGATTGTAGGCTAACTACATTTTCAAGCCACAGTTGGATGAATCCTCAAGTGGACTATAAATGGGGAACTTTGGGGGTTATAAAAATATTCCACATCTTCATTGTAGTAGTGGCTATACAACTGTAAACATTTGTCAAAAGTTAACTGTATTCTTAAAATGGATACATTTTATTTGTATAAATCACAACTCTTTTAATGTTTATTAAAAGACAGTAATATCACTTCCAGAAATCTCTATGGACGTAATGTAAAATGTAAACAAAGGTTAATGCTCAACAACGGTATTCATGGGCTGGGAACAGTTGCTCATACTTCTAATCCCAGCACTTTGGGAGGCCAAGGCTGGTGGATCACTTGAGGCCAAGAGCTTGAGACCAGCCTGGGCAAGATGGTGAAACCCCATCTCTACTAAAAACACAAAAATTAGCTGGGTGTGGTGGCAGGCACCTGTAATCCCAGCTATTCTGGGAGGCTGAGGCATGAGTATCACTTGAACCTGGGAGGAGTTAAAGTGAGCTGACATCACACGACTTCCACCTGGATGAGAGAGTGAGACTCAAAAAAAAAAAAAAACGGTTGTTATTTATAACAACGAAAACTAAAACCATCCTGTACATATCCTCTCAATAGAATATGACCATCATAATGGTATTTATAAGGACTGAATAATAACATTCACATATGTTTCTGTCATTATGTTAGAGGAAAATAAACAGGATTCACAAATTAAATATGCAGAACATTTTCAGCCATATTACAAATTAAGTATTTTCTTAATATAAAAGCCAGTTAGTACAGCAAAAATATTAAAAGTGCCTGTTTTCTAATTTTCTATCTTTAACATGTATAATAAAAAATATCTTTCCTTTAATGAGAATTTCTTATCCTAATAATGAAGGAACCTAAAAGAGAAGGACTCTCTAGAAATATTAATAGTGAAAAATAAGCTATAATTTCAGAAAATGTGGTATGTTGTGAGATTAGAAGGTTCTGGTCCACAGTAATAAGTAGTGAAAAGTGAGAGTCAGTCGGTAACAGTGTGTCCGTATCTCTGCAAAAAGGTCTGAGTTAGAGGGTGTTCTGATTATAGTGACAAATCCCACTTATTCAAAGTAGAACTAACATGTTCTACCTCAATTAGGGAAAGGAAACAAACAAAGTAATATTTCATTGATGTAAGTATCCCTTTGGCAATGCTTTATTCCCAATTTATGAGTCACCAAGAAATTTTCTAACCTCTAAATTGCCTCCTGAGCAGCCTATTTATGAGGAACTGGATGCCTGGTTAGATGGCTGACCCAAATAATAGAGTCATGTTTCTGTCCCATTGATAATGAATGAACCAACAGCCTGATATTTGCATCCACACTTCTTTTTAAATAAAGGGTGAGACAGTTATACAGAGGTTGATCATCCCTGGCTTAATATATAACAGCAAGTTCCTGAAACTACAAAGCTGGGGACTGTACCTAGTCTATACTAACTAGAGCATAATATAAATGAGCAGGCAAAATTCTCCAGATGTTATTGACTTATTGACAATAGGCAGAGATAGGTTTTCAGTTCAGGCTAATTATAAGCTGAGCCTCAATGGTATGATTTTTCTGAATGACATATAGGGACCCTGGGAAGTTTACACTCACCAATGCTTTGTCCATCATCCCAGAACATCTGGCCTTCAGCTTTCCCATTGTCATCCAAAGCAACAATCAATCCCATAAAATTTTGTCGACTACCAAAAAAAAAAAAAAAAATGAGTTATTTTTCTCTAGATTGTAGATTGTAAGAATAAAGAAAAGACTGTGTTAAAAATATTACTTATCCAGAAATAAATGTATTAAATATGCATATAAAGTTCTGAAAATAGGTAAAATAGATAAAATATAAGACAAAAATATAAGTAGATAATAGATAAAATATAAGACTTTTCTATTAAAAGTTAATAGAAAACGGCCAGGGGTGATGACTCACTTCTGCCCAGCACTTTGAAAGGCCAAGGTGGGTGGATCATGAGGTCAGGAGTTTGAGACCAGCTTGACCAACATGGAGAAACCCCTTCTCTACTAAAAATACAAAAATTAGCCAGGCATGATGGCATGCACCTATAATCCCAGCTACTCAGGAGGCTGAGGCAGAATTGCTTGAACCCAGGAGGCAGAAGTTGCAGTGAGCCGAGATCACACCACTGCACTCCAGCCTGGGTGACAGACTGAGAGTCTGTCTCAAAAAAAAAAAAAAAAAAAAAAAAAAAAGGTAATGGAAAACATTTGATTTCACTTCAATTTCTAAAAATCAAATATACACCCAAGTAATATAATGAAATATTAATTTCTTAGGAAGAAAATCCCTCAAAAGAGAACCCTCTTTCAGGTTGCCACAGAATAAAGTCCAAAGTAGCTGGCTTATCATTCACCAACCTCCAGAATTTGATCCTAATCTGCTGGAGTTTTACTTATTTTATCTCTTCCTTTGTCTGTACTCCAGTTAAACTGGATGGCTTACAGTTTCCAAACCCAACCCATTTTTCAACTTCAGTTCTTTAGACTGACCAGGATCTCTCTGTCCCCTGTCTTTGTACATTCAAATCTCATTCATTATGCAAGATCCAGCTCAAAGCCCTCTTTTATATAAAACCGTGTGTTACACTACAAGGCCGAAGAAAGTGAACTTCCCTCCTTTTGAGTTGTTATTGTTCTTATGTGCCTCTCTTGATGTGATTTGTTCTGTCTAATCAATGATTTTATAAATTTTTACATAGTATATGTGTATATTTATATATGTGTGCATCCATATATAAATTAAAACACACACACACACACACACACACACACACACACACCTTTCCTTGGTTGACCAGAGTAGACCTAGGAATGAGCACTAAGTCCTTGGGTAGGACAAGAACTCAATCCTACCTAGCCCTTGTTTGATCACAAGTCAAAGAGCTCATTAATATTCCCTACTCCTTTTTAATAGCATGGAAAGAGAAACATGTTTCTGCCTTCAGGAACATTTTTGGTTTTGATACAGCACTACAGACAAAAAACAAAAACCTCCCTAAGAGTAACTTCATGAACTCATCTTCCTCCAGTTCCCACCCAGAAAGCACTCACAGGATCTGACCAATAAAACCTGTTGGCTATTTGGTTTATAATCCACATATCCCTGGTAAAGGTGGGACAGCCTCCTGTAAGGCTGCCTCAGTGCAGTATTGCAAGAGGCTGTTAAACATCACCTCTTCTCCTCACCTGGAGTGAGTGTTCATTGCAGGCTCTTGCCAGGGCAGGATGTAGCCTCCTCTGATGTGAAGGTTGATGTGGTCAAGAGGAGCCTTCAGGATTTTCCACTCACCTATTGATTTGTTGCTAGTTTCCTAGAAAGGAGAATACAGGCAAACAATGATGGGAGATAAATAAATTAAATTTGAGCATGTTTTTTTACAAGTCCTTCCTTTCCCGGGAAGCATGTCAGAAAGTCAGCAAAAGACTGCAAACCTAAAGAGAAAATCTCTGATCTTTCATTTTTGCTTAAGACTCTGAAAATCTAGTCTTGTCTTTCTGTCTCCAGAAAAGTTGAGAGGCAAGGGCAGGGGTGAGTGGGGAGCTTCAATGTGATGTAGGTACTCAGATTTTATCTGTGCTTTTATAATACATGCTTTCATTTAAACAAACCTTGCAAAGGCTAAAAATGTCATAAATTATTGCCTTAGGAAATATGTACTTGGAAATAGTAGGAGGCTCCATCCACCTCTCCACCCTGCATGACCCAACCTGGTTCTTCACAAATATATTAGTTCTTACCGTGCTATAGTCATACCAAAGCGCTTTGGGAAAATAAGCAGAGATCTCAAATGTGCTCTGAAACATAAAATTGATATGTGATTATGAATATTTCAATAAAGGTTTTTCATTTTTGTTTTCAAAACACTATGTAGAATTAAGATAAAAATGAAAATTTTATTAGTGATTGCAATAATGTGAGATATTTTATTAAGAAAAATCCTGATTGCTGCAGCAATCAGAAATGATGAGTTTGTGTCATTTGTAGGGACATGGATGAATCTGGAGAACATCATCCTCAGCAAACTGACACAAGAACAGAAAATGAAACACCGCATATTCTCACTCATAGGCGGGTGATGAAAAATGAGAACACATGGACACAGAAAGGGGAGTACTAAACACTGGGGTCTATTGGGGGGAAAAGGGGAGGGCCAGTGGGAGGGGGAGGTGGGGAGGGATAGCCTGGGGAGAAATGCCAAATGTGGGTGAAGGGGAGAAGAAAAGCAAAGCACACTGCCATATGTGTACCTACGCAACTGTCTTGCATGCTCTGCTCATGTACCCCAAAACCTAAAATCCAATAAAAAATTTAAAAAAAAAAGAAAAATCCTGAAAAATTCTTCCTCAAAACTACAGAAAAATGTATTTTTAAAAAGTAAATTGTAAAAGGGTACACACAATGACAAAATTTTAAAACAAGAAATCAGTGTTGTAAAGGTTTCATTAACACAGACATCTTTAAAAAAAAGAAAAAGATCTCCTATAGATGTTCTAGAAAAACATTCACCTGAAAATAGTGAGCTGGACGAAACAAGATAATCTTTAAAATGCTTTCCCCATGATTTTAGATAATGTGATTGAAGGGTTTCTGATCTACAATGAAGGACTCACACGTTCCAACACAGGGCTGATTAAGATGGCAGGGCCCAACATGAACTGACGGTCTATATCCCATGTTGTCTTATCATCCGTAAACCTTAAAAAATAAATGGGAAAAATTCACCTATCCTCTTATGATTGCTACAGAGGATGATTTAGACCTGCTACTTGGGGAAAGAGGCTCTACTCACTCATGGAGAAGGGGCCGGACAACAGTGCTGCCCTCAATGTGAGCTTTATGCATCAGAGTATAGAGATAAGGAAGCAGAGTATATCTAGTCTCCAGGACTTTTCTGGACAACATCTCAAAGGTTGAATTCCAGGCCACAGGATCTTGTCTCTGTAGGGATAAAGGACCAAACAATAGATCACCTCATTTTCGTTCCATCCCAGTGGCATCAGAAAATAATCAGTGGGAATTTATTCAATATGTAGGTTACAAGCCACTTATCCCTTCATTCCTAGCCTACCCTTTTCCCACCTCTGCCACCCTACAAAATTAGAATTTCTTGCTTTTTCCTCTTTACCACTGATTCCTAAGTCCCTGGAATAGGTCCAGCTCTGGCCCTCGACATGTGTAGAGAGATTTTTGGGCAGCACCAACATATCTTGGATGAATTTGAGTAAAATACAAATTCAATATTCTTAAAAGCAAAGGGAGATTCTTTTATTTAAGCCCCATAGGGAAGTTTAGAAACTTTTCCTCATGGGTACTAATTCTCCAGGAGATGAGAAAGCAACTATTTCTAAAAATTAATGATAACTCCAGGGTTCTGAACTCTGTGGATTTTTTAAAAAATTAAGATTCTGGTGATTTTATGATTTTTCTCAGGGAATGAGTGTAATACTTTTGAGGGTTAAAAATAAGTTATGATTTGAGGGTACATGATACCTGCAGCATGATTGCTGCCTTACCCTTGACCCGATGTTGTTGTGGTTTCTGGAAAATGGATAAAATGCCCCCAGTTGCATCCAGCGAACACACATCTCATATTCAGCATCTCCAAAGAACCCACAGATATCTGCTCCTGTCTGAGAAGATGCACAAGGAGAGCATGAGGTGGGAATTTCAGGAGGCACTGACTCACAAAAATCTGACTGGGCAATTAGTAATGGTCTGAATGTGACTTACATAAGGTATTCCAAAGAGACTGAACTCCATTATGCCTGCAAGGAGAAGACACAGCTGTGTTGGATGGAGGAGGACTTTGGAAGGAGAGGGAAGCCTTGGCCTGATTTTTCCTTATGCCTTTAGAAAGCCCTGGACCATTCATGAGGAAAATATTGAAAGATGGGTCTAAATTAAAATCCACTCCCACAGAGAACTCAGCTCTCGTTAATTTTACCACCCACCTAGATGATGCTAGAGATATAACCAGTGCTGCTGAACAGCACAAACTCCAGTGCCCGTCCTGCCAGCACAGGACCTAGGAATGAGGCCACACACCAATGATAGAGTTCCCCAGTTGGTCCCACGCAGCTCTGTTGTCTCCTAGCCAGTGTCCTCCCCAGCGTCCAGAAGAGGGAAATGTGGAGCGGGTGATGACAACCCCTTGCTGTCCTGTCACCTTCTGCACAGCTCTGGTGGAAGCGGAACAAGGAGGTGAATTGAAGAAACAAACTTCTTTACAGAGAGTAACTATAGCTTGGAGCATGAGGTGGTAACGGTGCTTCGGTTCAAGTCAGGTCACTTCTTCCCAGAAAGAATCTGCTGTCTAAAAGCCATGCTAAAGCTTCCAACAAACTTCATAGCAAGACTAGAGGTATATCTGCACCTAGAATGTGGGTTTCATTTTTGAAAAATCTAATTAACTATCTCCCTGGACTAAGAGAAAGAGGTTGGAGTGAGGGGTAATATAGCTATTTATGGAACAATTCCTCTAGCCAAGTATTATATTGGTCACTTTCCTATGTACTGTCTTATAACCTCATGAAAAAGTTTCTTTTCACTCCTTATACTGTTAGAAAACTGAAGGGCAGAGAAGTTAGAAAGGCATTTGCCTGAAAATAGTGAGCTGGATAAAAGAAGATGATCTTTAAATGCTTATCGAAGGTCATTTAAAGAGTCAAGAGGAGGCCAAGCACAGTAACTAACACATGTAATCCTAGCACCTTGGGAGGCCAAGACAGAAGGATTGCTTGAGGCCAGAAGTTCAAGACCAGCCTAGGCAACACAGTGAATCCCTGTCTCTACAAAAAAAAAATAAAATTAGGTGGGAAGGGTGGTGCATGCGTATCTGTAGTCTTATGGTGGGGAAAAGAAGAAAAAAAGAATAAGGAGACAGACTGGGATCCAAATAAAAGCTATGGCATTTTGGAAATATTCACTCTGCTTCGCTATGCCTCAAAAAGTAAGATATGTTTTGCACACAGAAGCAAATATACATAAAAGATGTTTATATTTCAGTAGAAGATAGATTATCTGCACGCACCTTAGAAAATAAAAACAATTGTATGAGAAAAAAATCAACCAAAGAGAAAATCTGATAACAGATCCTAATATGTATACGATCCAAGTATTTACTTAAAAAGGAATCACAAATCAATAGACATAGATGAATTAGTCAATAAATGATGCCAGGAAAAGCAGCTGACTACTGTAGTGAAAACAGATCCATTTGGGTCACTTCCAATTTTTCACACCAAAACAAATCCAAAAATGAATGGAAATACACAAACACAAATCAAATGTTCTCTTAAAACTGAAAAAAATATGTAAACCACCTGATTTCTACAAGAGAAAGGAATTTCAAATAAAAACAATAGACAAAACATAATGAGGTAAAAGATACATGTTTAACCATATGCAAATTGGAAGAATGCATGTGCATGTATGTGTGATAAAGAAATGGAAGTAGAGATAGCTTAGATTTTTTTATAATAGTCTAGATGAGAGATAATGAAGGCCTGGAATAAGGCAGGAAGATAGAGTAATAATGCAAAGAACTTAGTCATTGACTGAAAGGAGGAAAACTAGCAGACTCTAGGATGACCTAAATGACTAGTTAGACTTAGTTCCTTTCACAAAATAAAGAATTTTGGAGGGGCCAGGAACGGTGGCTCAGGCCTATAATCCCAGCAGTTTGGAAGGCCGAGATAGGCAGATCACCTGAAGTCAGGGGTTCGAGACCAGCCTGGCCAACATGGCAAAACCCTAACTCTATAAAAATACAAAAATTAGCCATGCATGGTGGCACGTACCTGGAATCCCAGCTACTAAGGAGGCTGAGGCAAGAGAATTGCTTGAACGTGGGAGGTGGAGGTTGCAATGAGTTAAGATCATGCCACTGCACTCCAGCCTGGGCAACAGAGTGAGACTCCATCTCAAAAAAAAAAAAAAAAGAATGCAGGAGGACAGGTTTCAGGCAGAAACAAATAATTCAACATTTTAAGTACTAGGTTTGAAGTGCCTATAGGACATCATAAATGAGACATCTATGGGCAATTCTAGGTTTGAAGCTCAAGAGAGGTCTGCATTGGGAACATAGATGTGGGGGGTCATCTGAATCCAGAATGTATTTAAAGCCAGTAATGTGTGTTTGTGCTTACCCAAGGGAAAGGCTGCATGGTGTGAAAGAAAGACAACTGAACCCAGGCCTAGGAGGACCACAGGCTTGGGAAGACTGAGAAGGGGAACCTGCAAAAGAGTTTGTGGAACTGTGGCCAGAGAGGTAAATGCATAAATATCCAGAATCTTGGTTGGAAAGCATAGTCAAGACCCTCAGAAATTAGTAAGTCATAGGGAGCATATAGAGCAGGGCATATTGTGAACCTCAAGATCAGCAGAGGGTGAATCATGAAGGTCAGTAGGTAAGAGTCAGAGAATAAAACTGACCACTGAAGACACACACACTGAGCTCTCCCATCAATGTGGGTACTCAGGGCTGACAAAGAAAGGCATTTTACAAGAAGAAATAAAAATGGCTCAGTGCTTAGACAGAAAAGAGCAAAGAAGACATGGGCCCCTCCCCTCTACAAAGTGTGTAGAGGGAATAATGTAAAATGTAGAACTACTGTCAAGTTAATAGTTAAGAGAAGGAGGGAATTGGGAAGGATGGAGTAATCTGAGGTTTCATGAAGGAAATAGATATGAGTTGGTCTTTAGGTTGTATGTGCTAAGAGATTAGTCTGATCAAGATCAGAATGACCAGCATGTATGATTGGTAAAGGGGAAAATATCAAGGCATATGGGAAGTAAAAAAAAAAAGTATCATGCACAGAAAGACTTCCCTCAAACAGTTTGAATAGGAGAGGAAGTTGAGAGCTTAGATGATGATTGGAGGAAGATATAGGCCAAAGCCAGAAAAACTGGGACATTTTCAAATCTTGATGAAAAAGAATGCCCAGACACTGATTGCTATGGTTTGGCTGTATCCCCACCTAAATCTCATCTGGAATTCCCACATGTAGGAGGGACCTGGTGGAAAGTCATTGAATCACAGGGGCAGTTCTTCCCTGTGCTGTTCTCATGCTAGCGAGTAAGTCTCATGAGATCTGATACTTATAAGGAGGAGTTTTCCTGCACAAGCTCTTTTTTTTGTCTGCCACCATTCGTTTAAGATGTGACTTGCTGCTGCTTGCCTTCTGCCATGATTGTGAAGCTTCCTCAGTCACATGGAAACTCTTTCTTTCATAAATTGAAAAAAAATACATTGCTATTATTTATTGAGTGCTTACAATATGCCAAGAACTTGTAGATTCATTATATCATTTAATTTTATGATAACAATAGACACTATGATTTTTCCAATTTAAAAGATGAAAAAGTTTAGTTAGAAGATGGCATTAATGAGTTATGAAGTATCCATCTAATTTCACAGCCTAAATCCTAAAGCAATATACCAGCAGAGAGGAAGAAGATAAAAATAATTCAAAGAAATGAGCACCCATGGAAAAGATGGATGCTTTTTTGTGCTCATTTGTGGAGCAAGCTTCTCTGAAGAGAAAGACAGCAATGGGATATGTGAAAAGCGAATTTCTCTGAAGAGAGATGAAGGGATGGTGCATGGGAAAGATGAGCTTTAGACAAAAACTATCAAGTTTTCACATCTTCTTATTTCTTTGCCCTGCAATCCTTTCTTTGCCAAAAGAAAATTTCTATTGTTCTCATAACCAACTTCAATTGTCACTTCTTCTATGAAGCCTTTCTGGATTGTCCCAGTAGAGTTAATTGCTTTTCCCTTTCGTGTCTGACTCCTCTAATCAGACAATGAGGTCATTGAGAGCAGATTGTGAATTATTCATCCTTGTAGTCTTCTGAGGTAAGGTTATTTCTGAGGGTGCAAAACATCTGTTTTCTGTGCATTTCATATATAGACATGGATGTTTTCCTGAAGAACTAGTTTTCCTTGGTTGGAAAAGCCTCAAGTTAGATGTAGAAAGCAAGACTGTGAAAGAGCAACTTAAAGATGAAGATAAAAAGAAAGTGGGAAAGGGAAGAAGAATTTCTGTTCAGGAGACCATGTTGCCCCTGAGTGTGGAACCCCAGGGACAACATGATCTATCACCTGTGGATAGCCCAAAATCAAATAGTATGAGGTTCTTGTAAGCCCTGGGGACAGAAGGCAGAGAGCTTAGATACTTGAGCAAAGATGGGCAGCTGAACAGAAAAAAATCACACTCTGTCCTGGGAAGAAATAAAGGACCAGTCTGAAATTTCCCCATGACATTAGAAAATGGCAGAATCTCAGAAAGATAGAAGAAAGGACAAAGGGGCAGATAAATATTTATAGAAATAATGGCCAAATACGTATACATTAAAAACTACAAATAATTGTTGAAAAAATTAAATTAGTGGAAAGACATCTCATGCTAATGAATCAAAAGAGACTTAATATTGTTAAGATAATATTCCCCATACTGAACTACAGACTCTGTGTAAAACCTATCAAAATCCCTGTTGCTATTCTGTCAAAACAGACAAAGTGATTATAAAATTCATATCAAATGCAAGGGACCCACAGTAGTCAAAACAATCTTGAAAAAAACAAAACTGGAAGGTTCACACTTCATCAATTAAGACAGTGTGGTCTTGGGATAGATATATAGAGAGATCAATGAAATAGAATTGAGAATGCAGAAACAAGCCTTCTCATTTATTGTCAATTGATTTTTGACAAGGTGCCAAGACAATAAAATGAAGGAAAGAATAAAATTGAACCCCTGCCTCACACCATACACTATAAAGCTCTTAGAAGAAGACATAGGAGTAAATATTCATGACCTTGGGTTAGGCAACAGTTCCTTGAATATGACACCAAAAGCACAAGTGACAAATAAATAAGTAAATGAAAAAATAGGACTTCATAAAAACTTTTAAAAATGTGCTTCAAAACATATGGTTATGGAAGTGAAAATTCTACAGAATGAGAGAAAATATCTTCAAACTATATATCTCATGAGAAATTGAATTTAAAATCTTTAAAGAATTCTTATAATCCAATAATTTTTTTTCTGTAGAGATAGAGTCTTTCTTCCCCAGGCTGAAGTGCAGTGTCATCATAGTTCACTGCAGCCTCAAACTCCTAGGCTCAAGAGATCCTCCTACCTCAGCCTCTCAAGTAGCTGGGACTACAGGCATGCACCATTTTGCCTGGCTTGTTTGTTTGTTTGTTGTAGAGACAGAGTCTCACTATGTTGTCCAAACTGGCCTCAAACTCCTAGACTCAAGCAATTCTCACATTTATGCCTCCTACAGTACTGGGATTACAGGTGTGAGCCAGCATGCCGGGCCACAATTCAATAATTTAAAAAAAAATTATTCTATCAAAAATGAGCAAAGACTTTGAATAGATATTTCTGCAAAAAATACATATAAGTGGCCAATAGCATATGAAAAGATGCTCAATAACATTGTTATTAATGAAATAAAGTCAAAACAACAATTAGATATCACTTTACCCTCATTAAACGTCTATAATTTTAAAAGATGAACAACACCAAGTGTTTGCAAGGATGTAAATGAATTGTAATTCTTATACATTTTACCACACATGCAGATAAGACTGTAAAATGGTGGGCTTTTTATGTGTAGATAAGAATGTAAAATGGTAGGCACAGTGGCTCATGCCACTTTGGGAGGCCAAGGCTAGTAGATCATCTGGGGTCAGGAGTTCAAGACCAGCCTGGGCAACAGGGCGAAACTCCATCTCTACTAAAAATTACAAAAATCAGCCAGGCATGGTGGCACATGCCTTTAATCCCAGCTACTTGGGAGGCTGAGGCTAGAGAATCACTTGAACCCAGAAGGCAGAGGTTGCAGTGAGCCAATATCACAGCACTGTACCCCAGCCTGGGTGACAAAGGGAGACTGTCTCAAAAAAAAAATGTAAAATGGTACAACCTCTTTAGAAAACACTTTGACATGTCTTCAAAATATTAAACATATGGTTTTTATATGACACAAAAGTTCCACTTAGATATATATTCAAAACTAAGAAAACATGCCTACTCCAAATTTCTCACATAAATATTCATAGAGTCACTACTTGAAATAGCCAAAAAAAAAAAAAAAATACAAACAACTTAGTTGTTCACTCATTGGTAGATAGACAAGCAAAATATGATATATCTATTCAATGAAATATTATTAATCAGTAAAAAGAAAGCAAGTACTGATACATGCTACAACATAGACTATCCTTGAAAACATTATGCCAAGTGAGAGAAGCCAGATACAAAAGAGCACATATTGTGTGATTCCATTTATATGAAATGTTCAGAAAAGGTAATCCACATAGACAGAAAATAGATGAGTAATGGCTAGGGCTCAGGAGGTTAGGGACGAGGTACAAGTGATTCCTAGTGGGCAAAGGTTTTGCTTTTGGAGTTCTGAAAATGTTCTAAAATTCCATTTTTATGATAATTGCACGACTCTGTGGATATTCTTGACACCAACTAACTGCTCACTTTAAATAGGTAAATTTAGTAACATACTTGATAAATGTGCTCATAGGTGTTGTGGATATTTTGAATTAACTCATTTACCTGGCATCACGTAGATACATACATAATGCAAATATCAAATGACAGGTGGAACAATGTGGAAAATTGTCTTTGCTGTAGTGACATAAAGACACTCACTCATATGTGGGTCTGGTCTGGGCCCACCCATACAGGCTGTGCACGTTGTAGTGCTGCACGGGGGAGCCGTCTGGGAGGATCTGCTGACTCTCCATGCACAGGCTCTTGTTGCTCAGGCCCTTGTCCCTAGATTCCAAATCTGAGGGGAAATGTTGAGTTATTTCCTAAACAACATGATTTGCACATTCACTAGAAATGCCCATCATTTTGGCATTTATTTCAATCAACAACTTTGTTACCAGTAACAGGCCCAATTTTATGAGTTTTTAGTCTATAAAAAAACAATGTTCTATGCCTTTATAACTAATGAAGGGTAAGGATAAAATATGGAGCTGGGAAAAGCAGCTCCCCTTCTTTTTGCTCCAACTCTGATTTAATTTATACAGTGTTGTCATAGCCCATTTGTCAACATAACCTCCTTCATTGTTAGGACTGTTTCTTCCACTAGATGGTAATGTTCTCCAGGGAATAAATTTTGTTTCAGTCATTTTTTTTTTAATTTATCTCTCTAAATCTTTCCCATTTGACAGCATTTGCTTGATACATAATTACAGATGATCCTCAACTTACAATGTGATTAATCCCAATGAATCCAACACAAGCTGAAAATATTATAACTTGAAAATGCATAGAATGGACCTAACCTACCTTACATGTACTCAGACACTTACATTAGTCTATACGTAGTCAAAATTATCTAACACATGGCCTATTTAACACAAAGTGCTGAATATCAATTGTAACTTAACGCTGTAGTGAAAGTGAAAAATAGAATGGTTATTTGGGTTCTCAAAGTTTGATTCTACTGAATGCGAGTCATTTTCTCACCATTGTAAGCTTGAAAATCGTTAAGTCAGACCATGGTAAGTTAAATACCCTCTGCATTAAATTCATGAAAGAGAAAATGAACAAATGAATGAGTGAGTGAACGAGACAGCATAACAGTGATGTAGACATCAAGAAACTTGGGTTCGAGATTCTGCAGATGACTGGTACAGGCCCTTTGCTTTGTTTTGTTTTGGTTTGGTTTTGTTGTATGAGTCTTAATATGTTGCCCAGGCTGGCCTCAAGACTCAAACTCCAGGTCTTAAAAAATCCTCCCACCTCATCCATGGTACAGTACTTTTAGGAAGTGAGTCCTTCCTTCCTTGTACCTTTCTAAGATGAGAAGATTCAACCTTCTGGGATCCTTTTGATCCCAACAGTCTTGTTTCTCTTTGTACCATGGGATAACCAAGACATATCCTTCATTGTTTGGTTTCTTTCACACAAAATCATGTCCTTATTTCTTGCTTGATGAGTAATCTGTTTATCTACATTTATTCAAGGTTATCTTACTTAGGATTTCATGTCATGTTTGAGAATGCTGTCTTCAACATTAGGCTTCACTTGGACAGTAAGAGAAAAACTTTCAGAGCCTTTGAGTGGGAAGTAAGTTAATGAAATAATTATTTTACATACATGGCACATAGGGTGGGTTATTTAGCATTTCATTTCTGCAGCCCCAGACGGATCCATCCACAAAGTTTGATGGCTCATTCATATCCTGAAATGAGTTAACAGAAAAGATCCTGTCATGTCAGGGGCAGGATGGATTGGCTATAGAGGACACTACCTCGGGGAGATGACTTTTGAAGCCCTCTCCTCCGCTGGTTTAGTTCACTGTGTTTAATCCCTGGCATTGACCAAAATGGACTCTAAAAGATTGTAGTTTAATGCCTGTAGTTTAATTCAGTGACCTAAATCCATCAGCCAAAGTGGAGTGCTAAACTCCTTCTTGCTTACCTAGCATTTTAAAACTTGGGATTGTTTTATAGTGGCAAAAATAGTGGGTTAATGCTGGACTCGGGATCTAAGGAACTCTTTTGATCCATCTCCCCAGCAGAGGTAGCCTATCTTTATTTTTCTCTGTTTGGATTATTCACTTTTTAATCAGTGGCCAGAGGTTACTATTATCTTCCTCTATTTTTTCTTTGTCTAGTCACTTGGACTAACTCTGCTATTGGCATAGCCAAACACAGGGAGAGCTTTCTTACTTTCTGCCATAAATATATTTCTAAAATGTTGTACATAACTCAGAAACAGGTTTGGAAATAAAAATGTACTTTGGGGAATTTGTTACTTAAATGAAAGGAGTTGGGGCTCCTAAGGGAATGTTCATTGCCCATTTCAACAATGGAAGAGTTACATTTTTGAATCCCAGACTATTTTAAATAGGACATATTAAAGGCAAATGAAAGTACTTGAGAAACTATTCATTACTTTAAATTACCCAGCTACAGCTTTCCCTTCATTGGAAACAAAAAAAAAAAAAAAGCAAACACTACCCCAGAGCTATCAGTATCTCTTATTCTCAAGACTGCCCATACCTCTTCTTCACTGGTTGATTCGCCTGTTTAAGTTAAGTTGTGTCCTTTCACATGTCTATTCTGTGCCTAACTATCTTGCAGGTGCAGATGGCCAGGCAAGCCCCAGGACTTTCAGTGGACTTTTGTTTCTAGGGTGAATCACAAACTTCTTCTAGCCTGACCCACAGCTGAATAGCCCTTCAGAGCTGGCCTAGAACTTGCTTAAGATTTCAGAGCACTGGACAGTGGGAAAGGAAATCAGAACACTGATATGCATCTCATCTCCAGAAAACCATAGAGTTGTCCTTGGATATGTAACTCAGAGATATCTCAGGAAGTCCTGCTTTTAAGGCCAGCTGGCATTTAAGCCATTCCCTCAGAGGAGTCTGTCCCAGTACAATGGTGAATGTCTGCTTGCTCTCAGGTCCACACCTCACCCACTCCCAGCTCTGCCCTGTAAGGCCCCCTTACCATCAGCTTCCAGGTAGATTTGGCCAATGGGGGATACTGGCAAGAGATTGCAGATGGGAGGTGATTTCTCCCTCTCTCTTTTGCTCTGGCATCTCCAGCAGTAGCAATCTCCTCTGGACAATATGACTCTAGACAAATGAACAATGTTCTCTGCTTCTCTTTGTCCCAGCACTTAGATTTTGTAACAGCATTTCTCCCTTTCATCTCTGCAGTGTTAGGTCTCTGTTTTACTAGTCTCTCCTCACCATGTTTTGACTTGCTAATATTTAAAAAAAAAAAAAAAAGGCAATCAAGTGTGCACTTACAATCCACAATCCATCAAACTTTAAGCTCTTCTCTGGCTCTCGAGGGTTTGTATAGAGCTCTTCTATCTCGTTCTTCCACCAGGCAGCTGTGTTATTACGAAAGAAGTCAGGAAAAGCAACGTAGGCCCTGTATCGCTGTAAGAATAAGACACAGTCTCATGGTGGGGTGTCAGCCTATCCAGGGGACCACAAATGGGAGATGAACAGGAATTTGTGCCTACCCAGATTAGCCTCTGCTCTAATCTCAGATGTGCTGCTGTTACAGAGTTTACAATAGAAGCAGAGACTGGGGAAGGCTGATTTCATTCTTTGTTTTCTTAGAAGGTTAGATAGCTTTAAAATCCCTTCAAGTACAGGATTTGCTTTATAACTGGACATGTAATCACAAGACTGGAAAAGTAGCAGTGTCTAAACCGTTGAACTTTAGAGATACAAATACTTTTTCTTTTTCCTTCTACTTTTTTTTAATGAGATGAAGGAAGATTGTCATCCAGGGACAAGTGAACTCCAGAGTAGGGGGATGCTAGATGACCAGGCTGAGATTCATGGCTTTTCTTCATTCAGTTGACTTGTATTTTCTTTTGTATGCAGATAATTTATGAAAACCCAGTCTGTTCATAATGGATTCCCCTCTAGCGATAAAATAATAGACTTTGTTCATTATTTTTCAAGTATCATAAAGTTCAAACAAATCACAGCCCATTAAAAGCACACTTATTGGAGGATTTCATTAATGATTTCCTTCTACACATTTCCATTTTCGCTGTCTGTTGAGCTTTCAACTTGAGGATCTCTTTCTACCAAGAAACTAACAATGAATAAGCACCCTCAAATTAGGGCTACTTAACTAAAGGGTAAGCTACATATTCATCAAGATAAAAACATAAATATCCAGACATTTAGGACAATGTTGACAAAAACCTATATACTGTACCTTAACCTGAGTTTCATGGTCAAGGGATCCATCTACATTTACGTTAGGCAGATCTGGCCAAACCTAGAGAAAAAGAAGAAAAATTGAAAGCTTTAAAGATTATTGCATACAGATTATGAGGTATTTCATGTGTAGACTCTGATGACATGCATCCATTTGCTTGGGAATCTTTGCCATGAATTAAACTGTAAAGGCTGAATCTACAAAATTACATTAGGTGAAAGTAGGCTGGGTCTCTTGATTCATTCCACATGCTTTCTAAGTTTTATTTTTGAACTTAATAATTAACTGAATTTCTTTTAAACATATCCTCTGAACAACCAACTTTCAAGTGATTTCTCAGCTCTCTAATCTCCTTGTCATAGACCTATAACAAAACTCATAGTAAGTGTGAAGTGTGACTCTAAAGAAATAAGATTGATTTCCATTCATACCCCATAAATCAGACCTCAATACTTTTGAGCATTATCATGACTTATATGGGACTCCAAGTATACATAGCATTTAAAAAATCCATAGTATCAACCAATTTTACCTGTAACTACCAGGACATTAACTATATACACACCGATTAAAGGATTCAATCAACAGACACTTACTGAGTACTTCCTATATGACAAGCACTATTCTAAGATCTGTATTTACTGAGATTTAAGTAAGAAATAGTACTTGTTTCTCAAGAGTTCACAAATAGTACATAAATGCTACACTGTATGCTATACTGAAGGCAATATTACAGAAAAGGGAAAACAGGAAGAACTAAAATATTTATTAAATATCTTGAATGATATAAGATTTGAATTGATTTTGAAATGAAGATTATTATCTGGATAAGTTGGGAAAGTAATATTCAAAGTGAGCATAGGGCTGGGCACAGTGGCTCATGCCTGTAATCCCAGCACTTTGGGAGGCCGAGGCAGGCAGATTGCCTGAGGTCAGGAGTTCAAGACCAGCCTGGCCAACATGACAAAACCCCATCTTTATTAAAAATACAAAAATTAGTCAGGCATCGTGGTGCACACTTGTAATCCCAGCTACTCAGGAGGCTGAGACAGGAGAATCGCTTGAACCTGAGAAGCAGAAGTTGCAGTGAGCTGATATCATGCCTCTGCACTCCAGCATGGGTGACACAGTAAGACTCCATCTCAAAAAAAAAAAAAAAAATGAGCATGGAATACACCCAGAGTAGTAGAAAGTAGCACAGTATAATTAAGGAACAGATTTTGAATCTGGGCTAAAAGCTACTATCACCCAGAGTCCACCTAAAATGGTACTGCTATAAATCAGACATAAGAAGATGAAGATTGAAGATTAATTCAATTAAAGGAAACAGGATAAAGAGGAGAATTTATAGGACTTAATGATTCATTTAGATAAGAAGGCAGATTAAGCATGATAGGTCAAAGATGAATGCATGTTTTGCATGTAGGTAGCTGGAAAGGACAGATTTCAGTCATTCTCAAAGGGATTCTTACTGTTTGTTAAATGACCATGTGGAATAAATAAAGAGTAGGGACATCAGAATATTTCTAGGCAATATACAGTGCTCTGTAATAATAGAGAATGAGACCTGTAACCTTGGCCTTATTAATGTATATTGAGCTAATCAGCATCAGACAGATTTCTATTTATTCATAATTTGATTGTCCAATATATTTTCCAACACGTATTGAGAGCTGTTTTATTTCAAGACATTGTGATGTTAATTAACTGTAAGTACCTTCCCCAAGCCTTACCTTTCCCCAGACAATGTCATTGGTGTCAGGCCATTTGATGAACACGTCATTTTCCTGTCCTCTAATGAATGGGAGATACTGGGTCTCATTACCAGAAATGGCTGGGTCCTACAGTAAAAGAATTTCAAACAGCAAATGTGATGAAAACATCTCTAAGAAAATTTCTCTCCAAAAGTTTAGTAGTTCATAGTGCAGAAGGAAATGGTGAATCTCAATACGAAAAATAAAATGAAATAAAATAAAAATCATGGATAATTTGCCTTACGTCTTACTGGGTATATTACCACAGCCAATTGAAATGGGATGGTGCCAGGAGTACTCAAAGTAAGATATAAAACCCTATCAGCGGCAACCTCTTTCAGAGTGCATGAGAATCTGTGTCAATAAATGAAGGAGTCTTTCTATATTATACAAAGTAACTACCCAAAGTTATAACTAATGAAATGAGAGGAAGGCTGACAATATGGCCAGCCAGATGCAGCTGGGAAGCACCTCTCCCACAGAGAAAAAGCAAAATATTGAGTAAACCATCACACTTCAAACAGAGCTTTTGAGAGAAAACACTGACAGTCTATAGAGAGGCAATGGAGACACTGAGGTGTAAGAGGGAAAAAGCTGGAAACCCCACACAGAGTTGCTAAGTGCTAGGATGAGCTCCTGTCACTGAACAGGTCCTAAGAAAGGGGTGAGTGAAGGGACACTCCCATTGCAGACCTCTGGAATCCTGGCTACAACAGACCCCACAAAAACACCATAGACACTTGAACTGGCAAGAGGAACTGCCTGAAGAGTAGGCAGAGGCAGAGCTCAAGCCTGTGCAGAGACCAGAAGGTTTTGCATACCGGGCATATGCAGCAAAATATGACCATGGGCACCTATCTGTAAAGGCTCTCGATCTTTATCTGAGCAGATCTAGCCCCTGCTGACAGCTGAGCTGGGAGACAGCAGGGTTGTCTTTCTGACAGAACCACGGTGCATCTGATTGGCATGCCACCCTGTCTGCCAGCCCCTCGCAAGGCCACTGCTTGGCTACTCTGAAAAGAGCATGCACACAGCACAGCCTCCACTGCCCCACCTGAGTGCTTTGCTGGTGGCCTGGAGGCACTCTGCCCCCCAGCAGAGCCAGTACTCAACCCTAACGGGCCAAAAAACAAAGCTGCAGGTCTAGTCCAAACCCACCAGGGTTTAAACACACAGATCAGGATTATCTAGCTGAGATCTGTGGCCAAGGCTTGAGCAGGGCCACAGATCACAGAACACTGAGAAGAGTGAGGTATGGGTTTGTGTGCTGCTGTGGGAGTTGGGCATGCCTTCCTCTACAAGACTGGTCTGGAAAGGGTGTAGCCTGTTTACCAGCCACAGACTTCACCCAAGAGAGTGCCACAGCCCAGAACATCTAACAGACTAACAATCTGGATGCAAAAGTCTTGGGACAAAACTAGCTTGTCAGGGAAGCTACTGAGGCAGACATTGGAAGGAGACTCAGTTGCGGGAGAGCAAGCTGAGAGGTCCCCAAAGCCATCTGCTATGCAGAAAATACTGGGTCATATCATTTGTACCCCTATGGCAAAACTGCAGTGCCTGTGGATCCTGTGCCCTTGACCCACTGTATCAACAGATCACCCCCAGACATACCCCACAACCCACTCTGAGTCTGCCAAGTACAGAGGACCAACAGGAAGCTTCAGGTCTTGTGGTGACCTGATCTATGGCTCAGGCTTCCCCTAAGAGGGAAGAGCACAGCCTGTGAGGGACTCCCTTGGGGCTAAGGAAACAGGCATGACATCAGTGATTAGAGGGGGCTCGCTTAAGTGCCAAAAATGGATTTGGCAATTAGGCCATCTCTGGATGTCCCATCTCCTCCACGCCATAGCACTGCTGCAAATGTGCTGAAATACAAAAGAGGCCTGTAGCTGAGTAAGAGGCTACTGTATCACATCTACTGTATCACAGCCTAAATTACACCACCAAACAAAAACTCTTTTAGTACACATTGTCTGTGAAACCCAGTGCAGAAATTCAGCAACCGATGAAGATCTCTTAAAGAGCCTTGGGCCTCTGAAAGTACCCAGAAATGAAGCCAATCAACTATACTCAATATACACCACAGCCAAACCTTCAAGGAAAATAAAGCCTATATAAACAAAAAGCCATATCCAAAAGACAGCAAGGTCAAAAAAATAAAGAACATCCACCCTCTCAGATGAGAAAGAATCAGCACAAGAACCCTGGCAATTCAAAAAGTCAGAGTATCTTCTTAACTCCAAACAATTTCACTAGCTCCCCAGCAATGGATTCTAACCAGACGGAAGTGGCTGAAGTGACAGACACAGAGTTCAGGACTGGATGACAAGGGAGCTCAACAAGTTTCAGGAGGATGTTGGAACTCAGTCCGAAACAGCCAGTAAATGATCCAAGAGGCGAAAGATAACAGCCATTTTAACAAGGAACTAAACTGAACTTCTGGAATTAAAACAACAAATGATAATACAATTGCAAGTATTAACAATAGAACAGACCAAGCTGAGGAAAGAATCTCAGAACTCAAAGACCAGTCCTTCTAAACAACGCAGTCAGAAAAAAAATTTTTTTTAATAATTTTTAAAAATGAACAAAACCTTTGAGAAATATATAATTGTGTAAAGAGGCCAAATCTGTGACTCAGTGACATTCCTGAGAGAGAAGGGGGAAAAATAAATGATTTGGAAAACATATTTGAAGACATAGTCCATGAAAATTTCCCCAATCTTGCTAGAGAGGTCAACATATGAATTTAAGAAGTTCAGAGAACCCCCATGAAATGCTATGCAAGATGATCATCCCTAAGACACACGAGGAAATTTTCTTAGTGTGTTTTGGGGACAAACTAAGAGAATTTCTTATTCCTATACCAGCCTTACAAGAGATCCTGAAAGGAGGTCTAGACATGGAAACAAAAAAATGACATCTGCTGCCATAAAAATACTCTGAAGTAGATAGCCCAGAGGCCTGATGCAGCAACTACACAATTGAGTCTGGAAAACAACCAGCTAACAGCATGATAACAGGATCAAAACCTTACATATTCATCAATGTAAATGTTAGAAATGCTGCACTTAAAAGACAGAGGGACAATTTGAATAAAAAAATAAAGACACAACCACATGAACTATATGATACCTTCAAGAGGCTCATCTCACATGTAGCGACACCTGCAGGCTCAAAGTAAAAGGATAGAGAAAGATCTACCAAGCAAACAGAAAAGAGCAGGGGTCACTATTCTTCTGTCAGATAAAACAGATGTTAAACCACAAAGTCAAAAAGGACAAAGAAGAGCATTACATAATGATAAAGGGTTCAAGTCAACAAGGATAGTTAACTATCCTAAATAAATATGCACCCAACATTGAAGTACCCAGATGCATCAAATGCCTACAAAAAAACAGCCACACAGTAATAGTGGAGGACTGCAATACCCAACTGACAACATTAGACAGATCATCAAGGCAGAAACCTAGCAGCAAAATTTGGAACTTAAACTCAACACTGACTAATTGGACATAATGGACATCTAGAAAATACCCCATCCAACAACCACATAACATGGATTCTTCTCATAAGTGTGCAGCACATAATCCAAGATTGGCCACATACTTGGCCATAAGGCAAATCTCAATAAATTCAAAAATATCAAAATTATACCAAATATACTCTCAAACCACAGTGCAATATAAATGGAAATTAATACCAACTCTCTCAAAGCCACAAAACTACATGTAAATTAAGCAACTTAGCCCTGAATGACTTTTCATTAAATAACAAAATTAATTATAAAAAAAACTTCCTTGAAATTGATAAAAACAGAGACACAACATAACAGAATCTATGAGATGACCAAAAGTAGTGTTAGGAAGAAAGTTTATAGTCAAAAAGATCTCAAATTAACAATCCAACTTCACAATTAAAAGAACTATAAAAACAAGAACAAACTTGCCACAAAGCTAGCAGAAGAAAATAAATAATTAAAATCAGAGCAAAACTGAACAAAATTGAGATTCAAAAATCTATACAACATATCAACAAAAGCAGAGTTGCTTTTTTGAAAGGGTAAACAAGATTGATAGGCCACCAGCTAGATTAAGAAAAAGAGAAAGAAGATACAAGTTAAGTGTAATCATAAATGACAAAGATGACATTACAACCAATCCCACAGAAATTCAGAGTATCCTCAGAGATTTTTATGAACATCTCTAAGCACACAAACTAGAAAATCTAGAGGAAATGAATAAACTCCTAGAAACACACAACCTCCCAAGATTGAACCAGAAAGGAACTAAAACCATAAACAGACCAATATAAATTCTAAAATTATATCAGCAATATAAATCCCACCAACCAAAAAAGAGTCCCTAATCAGATGGATTAATGTTAAAATCCTACAAAAGGCCTTTACCAATCTTACTGAAATTATTCCAAAAAACTTGGGAAGGATGGATGCCTCCCTAACTGATTCTACAAAGCCAGCATCATCCCGATACCAACATCTGGCAGAGACAATGAAAAAAGGAAACTTAAGGCTGATATCCCTGATGAACATAGATGCAAAAATCCTGAACAAAAGACTGACAAACCTAACCCAGGAGCACATCAGAAAGTTAACTGACCATGTCCAAGTAGGCTTTAATCTCTGGGATGCAAGGCTGGGTCAACAAAGGCAAATCAATAACTGTGATTCACCATATAAACATAATTAAAAACAAAAGCCATACAAAAATCTCAATAAATCCAGAAAGTTTTTAATAAAATCCAATATCCCTGCATGACAAAAAAAAAAAACCTCAAGAAATTAGGCATCAAAGGGAAGTATCTCAAAATAATAAGAGCTATCTCTGACAAACCCACAGCCAACATCACACTGAACGGGGAAAAACCTGAAAGCATTCTTCTTCTTTTTTTTAATTGTATTTTAGGTTCTGGGGTACATGTGCAGATCATGTAGGATTGTTGCATAGGTACATATGTGGTAAGGTGGTTTGCTGCCTCCATTCCCTCATCACCTATATCTGGCATTTCTCCCCATGTTATCCCTCCCCACCCTCCCTATCCCCCACTGTCCCTTCCCTAGCGACCCCCAACAGACCTCAGTGTGTGATGCTCCCCTCGCTGTGTCCATGTGTTCTCATTGTTCAGCACCCACCTATGAGTGTTTGATTATCTGTTCTTGCAGCAGTTTGCTAAGAGTGATGGTTTCCAGATTCATCCACGTCCCTACAAAGGACATGAACTCATAGTTTTTTATGGCTGTGTAGTATTCCATGGTGACATTTGCTTTGTCCAGTCTATCATTGATGGGCATTTGGGTTGGTTCCAGGTCTTTGCTATTGTAAAGAATGCCGCAATGAACATATGTGCACATGTGTCTTTAAAACTGAATGAGTTATAATCCTTTGGATAGCATTCTTCTTGAGAACTGGAACATGACAAGGATGTCCTGTCTCATCACTCCTGTTTAACATAGTACTGAAAGTCCTAGCCAGAGCAATCAGGCAAGAGAAAAAAATAAAACACATCCACATAGGAAAAGAAGAACCAAAGTGTCTCTCTTCATGGATGATCTGTTTCCATACCTAGAAAACCCTAAACACTTTGCCAACAGGCTCCTAGAACTGATAAACAACTTCATTAGAAGTTTCAAGATACAAAATTAATGTTACAAAATTAGTAGCATTTCTACACATCAATAGTGTTCAAGCTGAGAGATCTCAAATTAGAAATCTCAAGTTAGATCTCAAAATAACAATCCAATTTCACACCTAGAAGAAACATAAAAACAAGAATGTTTTTATAGTTCATCAAGAATGCAATCCCTTTTATAACAACAACAGAAAGGATAAAATACCTAGGAATACATCTAACCAAGGAGATGAAAGATCTTTACAAGAAGTACAAAACGCTGTTGAAGGAAATCAGAGATGACACAACAAATGAAAAAACATTTCATGCTCATGGACTGGAAGAATTAATATCATTAAAATGGCCACACTTCCTCAAGCAATTCATAGATTCAACACTATTTCTATTAAACTCCAATATCATTTTTCACATAATTAGAAAAACTATTCTAAAATTCACATGGAACCAAAAAAGAGCCTGAATAGCCAAATAAATTCTAAGCAAGAAGAACAAACCAGAGGTATCACATGACCCAACTTCGAAATATACTATCCCACACCTACAATTATTATCTGATCTTCAGAAAAATTGACAAAAATGAGCAAGAGGAAAAGAATTCTTTATCAATAAATGGTGCTGAGACAACTGGCTAACCATATATAAAGAATGGTACTGGACTCCTACCTTTCACTATATATGAAAATTAACTCAAGATGGATTAAAGACTTAAATGTAAGACTGCAAACTATAAAAATCCTAGAAGATAATCTAGGAAATGTTATTCTTGACACTGGCCTTAGCAAAACATTTATGGCTAAGTCCGCAAAAACAATTGCAATGAAAACAAATATTGACAATAGATCTAATTAAAATAAAGAGCTTCCGTGCAGCAAGAGACACTGTCAACAGAGTAATGAGGCAACCTACCAAATGGGAAGAAATATTAGCAAGTTATGAACCTGAGAAAGGCCTAAAATCCAGAATATATAAGGAGCTTAAACAAATCAACAAGCCAAAAACAATCTCATTAAAAAGTAGGCAAAGGGCATGAACAGACATTTCTCAAAAGAAGACATGCAAGTGGCTAACAAACCTATGAAAAAACACTGAATACAAGTAACAGAGAAATGCAAATCAAACCACAGTGAGATACCATCTCACATCAAACAGAATGGCTTTTGTTGAGAAGTCAAAAAATAGATGTTGGTGAGGCTGCAGAGAAAAGAGAACACTTATACACTGTTGGTGGGAATGTAAATTAGTTCAGCCACAGTGGAAAGCAATTTGGAGATTTTCTCAAAGAACTAAGAACTGATCTACCATACCACCCAGCAACCTCATTACTGGGTATATACCCTAAGGAAAATAAATCATTCTCTCAAAAAGACACATGTACTTGTATGTTTATCACAGCACGATTCACAGCAGCAGAGACATAAAGTCAACCCAGGAGCCCATGTATGGTGGACTGGATAAAGAAAATGTGGTACGTATATATCATGGAATATTACACAGTCATAAAAAGAATGCAATTATGTTCTTTGCAGCAACATGGATGTAACTGGAGGCCATTATTCTAAGTGAATTAATGCAGGAACAGAAATGCAAATGCCACATGTTCTCACTTATAAGTAGGAGCTAAGTATTGGGTACACACAGACATAAAGGTGGGAATAACAGACACTGGAGACTACAAGAGTGGAGAGGGAGGGAGAGGGACAAGGGTTGAAAAACTACCTGTTTGGTACTATGTTCACTACCTGGGTGATGGGTTCCATTATACCCTGATATGGTTTGACTTTGTCCTCACCCAAATCTCATCTTGAATTGCCATGTGTTGTGGGAGGGACCTGGTAGAAGGTAAATCATGGGGGCAGGTCTTTCCCTGCTGTTCTCATAATAGCAAATAAGTCTCATGAGATCTGATGATATTTAAAAAGGGAGTTTTCCTGCACAAACTGTCTTCTCTTGTCTGCCACCATGAAAGACATGCCTTTCACCTTCCACCATGATTGTGAGTCTTCTCCAGCCATGTGGAACTGTGAGTCCATTAAACCTCTTTCTTTTATAAATTGCTGAGTCTCAGGTAGGTCTTTACTGGCAACATGAGAACAGACTAATATATACACCAAACCTTAGCATTACACAATACACATTTGTAACAAACCTGGATATGTACACAATGAATCTAAAATAAAAGTTAAAAAAATAAAGTTTAACCCTGAATTATTTAAGTAAATAAATAAGATGCTAAAAATTCTATAGGAATTTAAATATGACATAAGTCATTTTTTTTCCAACGACATAGAAATCTATTTTTACAAAGAGAGTTGAGAAGTAAAAGAATGTATTGGTGTTTCTTCATAACTTGAGAAAAACTTTTGCTAATGTTTGAAAACAACTCCTGGAGATAAACCAGGTTAATAAGACTTAATCCTCAAGCAGAGAGAGCCAATTCATTGTGTTTCTAGAGTATAATAGTAATATTCCTCAAAAACATGAATTGTTTTTATTGCCTTCTGTGTCCCAATGTGTCCAACTAAAGTAGCTTCCCTTGCTCACACCATCCCATACCTGCCCCAATTACTCTCTATAATATTATGCTGTTTCACAACTGTCATATAAATCACTACTGTCTGAAATTATCTCTTCAGATGTTTATGGGCTGTCTCCCACCATTAGAATAAAAACCTTATAAGTAAAAGAGTACTGTCTTACTTATTTAGACTGTGCATGCACCCTCACACACACATACACAACTTGTAGAAGAGTGATTTTCAAATATTGTGTTCAATAAATACATGAATTAGTAAGTGAACAAAAGTCACTGAATAATGCTGTAATTTTTGGAAGTTAGCAGGGAGAATCATTTGCAGGTAATTACCTCTGCATTTATCAAGATGTGGCTTTCTAGTAAAATAATAAATTGGTGTTCTGGATCTTAACTCAATTGTTTGTAAGTTTAAGAAGAAATGTCACCTGAGCTTTAACATTTCTGAGTGACACTATAACGTAAGATTTTTGAACCCCCTGAGGTAAAGATGAGACTAAGATACAGCTCTTTCTCCTGAGGCATGGCCTGAAATAGAAATAGTGAGACACTTTTTTTCCTTTTTTTTTTTTCTATCTACAGTTCTTCAGCCCACAGGTGTTCTAACTCTAAGAGAAAATAATTACATTCCAGTGACAGTTATGGAAAATAAATAGTATAAAGTATCATCTTTTAAAAGCCCTTTTTCATTTTTCTTTCTTTATTTGCTTTTAATTAAAAAATAATAATTATAGGTTCACCACAAGAAGTTGTAAAACAAACAAGAAAGTACAGAGTATAAGAACATTTCTTGTACCCTTCATCCAGTTTCCCACAATGGCGTTATTCTGGAACCATGAATATGGAAATAGAAAGTAGAATCTAATCTGTCTCAATACCTACCAAAATGAGAATAAATCTCATGCCATTTTTCTTCATTTGCTCAATCAGGAGACTAAGGTTTTGAAAGCTGGCACTGAGGGTGAAATCCAGCTTCCGGTCCATGTAATCGATGTCTACATGCTGGACGTCCTGTAGGAAGAAACAGCAAGGCGCTTGGAACCCTGCAGCAGGTGCCTTGCAGGGCACACTGACTGCTCTGTCAGGCCCCTAGTCTTGATGAATGAGGAATGAGTAGGGGCCTGGGCTCTATGCCTGCCCCAGCCCAGGCGCCTACTCATTCCTCATCTCATTACTCCTGTATACTGACTTTTCAATTCTGCTGATTGAAATTGCTTTCTGATGCCTGCATGCAGTTCACCTGTGCCCACTCCTTCTCCTGTATTTCCCCAATTGGATCTCTATCCCTTTTCCTTTCCTCAATTCATATCTTTCTCACTCTTCAAATATCAAACTTAATCTATTAAACAAAGTTCTAACTGAAATGTTCAAGGGTGGAAACTGGGACTTTCTTAGGAAACAAACGGGATTGCATATCTGGGTTTTTTTCTACAGTAAATCTGGCTGTTAAAAACTCTCAATAAACTAAGTACTAAAGGAACATAGCTCACAATAATAAGAGCCATGGATGACAAACCCACAATCAATATCATACTGACTAAGCAAAAGCTGAAAACATTCCCCTTGAAAACCAGCACAAGACAAAGATGTCCTCTCACCTCTTCTATTCCACATAGAATTGGAAGTTCTGACGAGGGCAATAAGGCAAGAAAAAGAAATTAAAAGGCCAGTCATGGTTGCTCACACCTGTAATCCCAGCACTTTGGGAGGCCAAGGCAGGTGGACCACCTGAGGTCCGGAGTTTGAGACCAGCCTGGCCAACATGGCAAAACCCCAGCTCTACTAAAAATGTGAAAAAATTAGCCAAGTGTGGTGGTGTGCACCTGTGGTCCCAGCTACTCACGAGACTGAGGCAGGAGAATGACTTGAACCCAAGAGGCAGAGGGTGCACTGAGGCAAGATCACATCACAACACTCCAGCCTGGGCAGCAGAGGGAGAAAGAGAGAGAGTGTGTGTGTGAGAGAGAGAGAGAGAGAAAGGAGGGAGGGAGGGAGGGAGGGAGGGAGGGAGGGAGGGAAGGAAGGAAGGAAGGAAGGAGGGAGGGAGGGAAGGAAGGAAGGAAGGGAGGGAAGGGAGGGAAGGAAGGGAAGGAAGGGAAGGAAGGGAAGGAATAGAAGGGAAGGGAAGGAAGGGAAGGAGGGAAGGAAGGAAGGAGGGAGGGAGGGAGGGAAAGAAAGAGAAAGCAGGAAGGGAAGGGAAGGGGAGGGGAGGGGAGGGGAAGGGGAAGGGGAGGGGAGGGGAAGGGGAAGGGGAGGGGAGGGGAGGGAAAAGAAGGGAAGGGAAAGGAAGAAGAGAGGAAGGAAGGAAGAAATAAAGGGCATTCAGAGGAAGACAAACTATTTATATTTGCAAGTGACATGATCCTATATCTAGAAAGTAGATCTTGTCACCTAGACAGGATCCTATATCTAGAAAACTCCATCATCTCAGCCCAAAAGATTGTTAAGCTGATAAGAAACTTCAGCAAAGTCTCTGGATAGAAAATAAATGTACAAAAGTTTCTAGTATTTCTATACACCACCAACAGTCAAGCCTAGAGCCAAACCACAAATGAACTCCCATTCATAATTGCCACAAATAAAAATCCTAGGAATACAGCTAACCAGGTAGGTGAAAGATCTCAACAAGGAGAACTACAAAAACTGTTCAGAGAAATCAGAGATGACACAAACAAATGGAAAAACATACTCAGAGATAGGAAGAATCAGTATCCTTAAAATGACCATACTGCCCAAAGCAATTTATAAATTCAATGCTATTCTCATTAAACTACCATTGACATTCTTCACAGAACTAGAGAAAACTATTTTAAAATTCATATGGAACCAAAAAAGAGCCTGAATAGCCAAGGCAATGCTAAGCAAAAAGAACAAAGCTGGAGGCATCAGCCTACCCCACTTCAAACTATACTACAGGGCTACAGTAATCAAAACAGCATGGTAATGGTACAAGAACAGACATATAGACCAATGTGAAAGAATAGAGAACACTGAAACAAGACAGTACACCTACGACTATCTGACCTTTGACCAACCTGACAAAAACAAGCAATGGGGAAAGTACTCTCTATTCAATAAATGGTGCTGGGATAACTGGCTAGCCATATGCAGAATGGAAACAGGACCCCTTCCTTACACCAACATATAAGAACGACATTATCTTATAGCTTTCCTGAATGTCTATCTCTCTCTATGCAGTACCAACCCACGTTTCTACATATGAAACTTATTCAAACCATGATTGTTGAATAATAACTAAAATGGTTAATATTTAGTTGAAAAAAGGAAGTTGCTTCTTTTTAGTCCAAAAATGATAGTTCCCTTCATTGTCTTAAGACTCTAGGTGAAACTTGTTTGGAAAAACAGAGACTTGTGCATAAGCCAGACTTTGGAAAAGAATAAACCAGCGTATTATTAATATTGATTACTTTGTTAAGGTATATCTATGGATTTTTTTCATCTTGCAATTTTCCTATTTTCTAACTTCTGTTTAATAAGTATATAGTATTATTGTATATACAAAGAAAAAGAATTCAGCCTGGATTATCAAGTTATCTTTGATAAGAACATCATAGCACTTCTAATATAAAATTAGCCACAAATTCCTGTAACTAATTAAACTTTGGGCTGGGTGAGGTTTCATACATAGGGAATCTGGGCTGCCACCATTGCATCATACAAACTGGAGATTTCAGCATCATTCTGGTATCCATAGCGACTCAGCTGGAATCCCAAGGCCCAGTATGGAATCATTGCTGGTCGACCGATCAACTAGAATAAAAAGAAAAATGCATCCAGATAGACTTCCTAGGAAAGAACAGGGGTTGACTTATTCTTGAATCAAGTTGAGTGTTTCTGCTAAGTACTGTCTAAGAGGCCTCACCCAAGAAAAATAAGAAAGTCTAATAAATATGGAGCAACTACGGACATGCAGAATGATAGAAACATTATAATTGAAGTTTTCCTATATTCCAGAGTTTTCATTCTAGGAAATCTGATAATTTGCTGGTTATTACTGATTAGCAATTCTTAGATAGACTGTTCAACAATTGAGAGACATGTGGGATATTAATATGCCTTTATGGACCCATAATACTAAAATATGATTTTCAGAAAAGGCAGTAACAATCTAGTAGTGACACTGAAGAGTCAAAAGAAAAAACTAGCCTATCTCAGTGCCAATAATGTGGTAATAGTCAATAAATATTTGACAATATATTGATGGAAAGAATTGATTCTAACCTCTGTGTACTGCTGAGTTACAAGTTCAGGGGTTGGCCCCAAAACAATGTAAAAGTCCAAAATCCCTCCTGTGGTGCGGTATGTCAAGGCAGGAGTGGGCTGTAATGTCACATCTGTAAGAAAAACAATATACATGAGGCACATCCTTGGAATTGTAAATCATCCAGATAGAAAACCTGCCCTAAAATTTGCTTTCTTCACACTCTCTTTTTGATGCCTGCCTCCTCTAGAAAGTCTTCTCTTATCAATTGGAATCAGAGGTGTATTTGCAGGTACCCCAAATGTAATATGCAACCTCAACAACTTTTAAATATGCTGTGAATGAAAGCCAACGTGTCACAGTAAAATAGGCTATGCCAGAGTAGGAACCACAATTGGTCAAAATTCCATGCCTAACACCCGATTCAGAATTCTTAATAAATCTTGAATAAATAGATGAGTAAATGGAAAGTCAGTTTATTTGTTCCATTTCCCTTGCCTCCTGAAGGTCTCTATTTCAACTTATAATACAGGTCAAAATAGAATGGTCACAGCTGTTTCTGGTGGCACATGGGGGTTGTGCCTATGTCTTACCCATGGCATTGCTATTTAGCAGGAGCACTCCATGGGCACTGCCATCCTCCTCCAGTGCCATGTAGTAAGGGTGGACACCATAGGAATTCTTGTTGTTCTGGGAGTCATGAGAGTAATAAACAAAAAGGAAATTCAAGATATTCTTTTCATAACATAACCCAAACAGCAAACTCTTACTTATCATTAAGGATTCAGCTCAATGTCATGTTCCTTTTTCGGGCCTTCCTTGACCCTCCCTTCTACCCTAAGTAAAAAGCTGTTTCTTCTCCACTATGTGCCTCCTCATTTATTGTTATATAATTTAATTATTTATTATTATATAATTAAGTGATTCCACTATGCTATTTCTGCCTCTATTTCTCTCACTAGCCTATAAGTGTCTGGACAGCAAAGACAGTACCTTATTAAGTCTGTAGCTGGCCGGGCATGGTGGCTCATGCCTGTAATCTCAGCACTTTGGGAGGCTGAGGTGGGCAAATCACCTGAGATCAGGAGTTCGAGAGCAGCCTGGCCAATATGGTGAAACCTTGTCTCTATAAAAAATATAAATATTAGCTGGACAGGTTAGCATGCACCTGTAATCCCAGCTACTCAGAAGGCTGAGGCACAAGAATCGCTTGAACCCAGGAGGCAAAGGTTGCAGTGAGCCAAGATCATGCCACTGCACTCCAGCCTGGGAGACAGAGCAAGACTTGGTCTTAACAACAACAAAAAAGAAAATCTGTAGCTAAGCACTTAGCAATGTGCCTGATACATAGACTATATTAAGTAAAGTTTGTGAAATAAAATCCATAACTGACAGAGGGAAATATATATATATATATGCCTTTTAGAAACAAAAGAATGACATGCAGCCTATTACAACTGAGAGCAGAATTTATCAGTATAAGTTGAAGTTGATGAGCAAGGTGTCATATAGAAGCATATGGATTAAAACAGATTTACATTGAGAGAAACTGATTGTTAACTTATTCCATTGACCCTACCGCAGGTGGCTCATCACGAGCAAACATCCCCCAGGTGTTCCAGTTCATGTCTCTTCTGAAAGCTGTGTGCTCAGTTTCCCCAAAGCCATAGATGTACTGAGAGGGCAGACGTGTAGAAATGGAGAGAAACATGTCATTGAAGGTGAAGCCGGGGAGTTGAGAATCCCAACTGCAACACAAAAACAGATCACACTGAGCTGGAGACCACTGGCCAGAGCTCCTTGGGATGTGTTTGTAATGTCTAATTGATTCCAAAGCCTCCTGAATTACTGCACATTTAGATACGGGTTCAAATACTGTGACATGACCCAGGTCATAACAATGGCCCCGACTCAGTACCAAAGTTCCTTGTTCACATTTCTGTTCTGTGGTTTGTCAGACTGAGAGCTCCTTTTCTGGGACCTTGAGGGCAAAAGCCATGACTCCTTCTATTTATTTCAAGTTTTCAGTGCCTGGCATATCAGCTTGAATAAATATATAAAGGAACAAATAGGGTTTAAGCAAACTTTTCAATGGAAAAGTGTGAAACTTAGAACAATTTCTCTGAATTGGCCAAAGGCCTCTTACCAAAGAGGACAACAGAGAGGAAATCACTTGTGTAGCCAAAGAGAGAAGACATACATGAGAAGGCAAAGGTGCACATGCAGGTAACAGCTTCTACTAGGATGGGGAACCTCACCCCAAGCAAAACCCAGACCTTCGCTTCATTCTATTCTGCAGCAGGACAACAGATGGGAGATGACAATTCCTTTATGCTTAACATTGTCAAAAGGCTTTTAAGGCTTTTGTGTCCACAGAATCAAATATTACAAGAAGCAATTTCTTTCTCCTTTTTAACCTTTGCTCCTCTCTCCTGCCTCTTATTATTTCTTAATGGACATAGTATGGAACTCATTCGTATCTTAGGTTATCTCCTGTACTTATTAAATAGAGTTTTCTATTCTACTTAAGAATAATAAGTAGAACATGTATTTTTCTTTCTCTGAAATCAAACAATTCTTAATTTCTTTAAAGGCGGATTAAGTATTTTTGTTAATGACTAACCAAAAACAAATTATTCATTAAAGCATGGAAAAATAGATAGACTCTCAACAAATGCACACATATTTACATAGGGTCTCTCAGACTAATATTTCACTTGAATTAATTATAACCACTATAGTTAAATCTAGAACTACTCTAATTAGAACCAAATAAATGGTGCTTACATTACAGTGTTGGAGGTTCTGCGTTGAATCTGGATTCCAAAAGGATTGTTCTGAATCCTGACATCATACAGACGGTTTTCAGGGTCATCATCTGGTTGGGGAGGGGTGTTCAGTGGCACTGGGACCTCATATCTTTTATTATTTGGGTCATAGATCTGGCAAGAAGAGAGAAGAAAACTTTCTGGTAGGGTCTCAGACCTAAAATCCATCATGCCAGCCCATATAATTCAGATTCCATGTTTTTAGCCAGTTTGCACCTTATCAGTAAACATAGAACATCCCCAAGCAAATAGATGTGAGGCCTGCCTTCCCACCATGTCCCATACAGATGCTGCAGTTCAAAAATGCCTCAGTAAAATCCATTCAAAGCCAAGGAGGGCTCTTCCTCTAAAGAACTTGTGATAGAAGGATATAGAATGTCATAAATAGAATGTGTGTGTACCTGTTTGTAAGTGTGTGGCATGTAGACATGCATGTGCATAGAACTGTAAACCTGTGTCTTCGTGCATGTTAGGAATTAAAGAATTGTGTTTTCCTGTGGACTCTGAGAATTCCTTACCATTTGAGCTTCCAGATGCTGCACAGCTTTTCCATTCCTAACATTTCTCTTCTGTATCCACCCCTTGTTCCTACTTACCTAACAGGACTGATGTGTGGGATGAATAAAAGGAGTGAAAAGTATTATGCAAGTACAAGGAGTATCACAATCATGAGTGACCATCCTCTTCCTCAGGTTATAGCCCCAAATTTATGTTTAGGTATAAAGGCTTTTCTTTTTTTTCTTTTTTGAGACGGAGTCTCACTCTGTTGCCAGGCTGGAGTGCAGTGATGGGATCTCAGCTCACTGCAATCTCCGCATCCCAGTTTCAAGCAATTCCCCTGCTTCAGCCTCCTGCGTAGCTGGAACTACAGGCAGACACCACAATGCCCAGCTGTTTATTGTATTTTAGTAGAGATGGGGTTTCATCATGTTGACTGGGATGGCGGGATGGTCTCACTCTCCTGACCTCGTGATCCGCCCGCCTCAGCCTCCCAAAGTGCTGGGATTACAGGTGTGAGCCACTGTGCCCGGCCAGATGAAAGTTTTCTAAAGTCCTGCTTGTCAAAATTATGTTTCTCAGACCCAAAGCAGCAGCATTGCCAGGAGCTTGTTAGGAATGCAGAACCTCAGGCCCCACCACCCCAGATTTTCTGAATTAGAACTTTCATTTTCACAAGCTGCTCCAGTGATTCATGATACATTAAAGTATGGAAAGCAATGGCTAAAGCTGAGCTGTCCAAGGTGCTGTCCATGAGCCACACATGGCCTTTGAGCACCTGAAATGTACTAGTCTGAAATGAGATTCACTGTAAATACAAAATACACACCAGACTTTGAAGACTTAGTATAATTAGAAGATTGCTTCAAGATGAGATTTGAATGGGAAAAAAAAAGAAGAAAAAAAACTTTTAAAAAAGAAGATTGCAAAGTATCTCCATTAAATTTTGATTTCGGGGGGACTGCCAAGTTGGCACGGTAGGAGCAAATCAGGATTGCAGCTCTCAGTGAAGATGCAGAGGGTGAGTTCAATCTGCATTTCCAGACGGATCTTTGTTGCCCACAGAACGGGGAAATTCCCAGGTGTAGGAGAGATACTGGACGCCAGCGCAGCTGTCTCGGCTCCCGCCGCCGTTTTGGCCAGCGCCGCAGCGCGCAGCAGCACTCTGCACAGAACACACTGGTCTGGGTGCCCTGTTAAACCGGCAATCTGAGATTTGGGAGGGCAGATTAGCATATCCATCTGATTAAACAGGACTTGGACAGTGAGCCAGACCAGGAGATTCCTGGGAAGAGACGTTTGAACCGGCACAGTGGGTCACTGCATGGGAAATCACACAGATCCTGGTGCCCTATCAGCAGCCGACTGAAACACCTGGGAAAGAGTCAACCATTCAACTTAAAAAAAAAACAGGGCTCTGAGGCAGGGAGCCAGGTGATCAGGCTTGGCGGGTCCCACCCCCACAGGGACAAACAAAACAGCGATTTGAAACGCTCGGGGTTGAGAGTTTCACTGCAGGCACAGCTGAACCCAGGATGGTGCAGCTTGGTGGGGGACGGGCACCCGCCATTACTGAGGCATACCGCCCCTACTGAGGTACACTCCCATTGCTGATGCAGCCTGCCATTGCCAAGGCAACCCGCCATAACAGAGAGACTCTGCCAACAGGGCAGAGCCCACGACAGTAGCGCAGAGCCCACAGCAACAGGGCAGACCCCATGGCAACAGGGCCAAGCCTCGGAAGGCAAATAGTGACTAGACTGCCTCCTAGCTGGGCAGGAAGGTGCAATGGATACTCAAAGAAAGCCCTAACTCCCCGAGACAGAGCATCTGAGGAAAAAAAGGGGTTTTATGAGTTCTGCTGCAGCAGACTTAAATGTACTGACCTAACAGCCCTGAATGAACAACAGAGCTCACAGCTCAGCACTTGAGCTCCTATATAGTACAGACTGCCTCCTCAAGCAACTCCCTGACCCATGTATATCCAAAGAGTCACCTCAAAAAGGACTGATCAGACTGACATTTGGCGGGCATCATTCTGGGACAAAGATAGCAGAAGAAGTAACTGGCAGAACCTCTCACTGTTCCGCAGCTGCTACAGGTGTACCCCAGACAAGCAGAGCCCAGAGTGGACCTCAGCAGTCCTACAGGAGAGGGGCTAGACTGTTAGAAGGAAAACTAAGTAACAGAAATACTTCATCATCAACAATCTGGGTGCCCACTCAGAGACCCAATAGAAAGTCAGCAACTACTCAGACGACAGATGGATAAACTCACAAAGATGGAAAGAAACCAGCGCAAAAAGGAGGAAAACACCCAAAAACAAAACACCTCACCTCCTACAAAGGACCAAAACTCCTCACCAGCAAGGGAACAAAGCTGGACAGAGAATGAGTGTGATGAAATGACGGAATCAGACTTCAGAAGATGGGTAATGAGAAACTTCCATGAGCTAAAAGAACATGTTCTAAATCAATGCAAAGAAACTAAGAACCTTGAAAAAAGATTTCAAAAAAATTTGAGGAAATGACAACAAGAATGGGCAACTTAGAGAGGAATATGAATGAATTGAAGGAGCTGAGAAACACAACATGAGAACTTCGCAAAACATGCACAAGTTTCAACAGCCGAATTGCACAAACAGAAGAAAGAATATCAGAAGTCGAAGATCAACTCAGTGAAATAAAACGAGAAACCAAGATTAGAGAAAAAAGCGCAAAAAGGAATGAACAAAGTCTCCAAGAAATGTGGGACTATGTGAAGAGACCTAACCTACGTTTGATAGGTGTACCAGAATGTGATGAAGAGAATGAATCCAAGCTGGAAAATACTCTTCAGGATATTATTCAGGAAAATTTCCCCAACCTAGCAAGGCAGACCAATATTAAAGTCCAGGAAATACAGAGAACACCTCAAAGATATTCTGCAAGAAGAGCAACCCCAAGGCACATAATCGTAAGATTCACCAGGGTTGAAATGAAGGAGAAAATACTAAGGGCAGCCAGAGAGAAAGGTTGGGTCACCCACAAAGGGAAGCCCATCAGACTCACAGCAGATCTATCGGCAGAAATGCTACAAGCCAGAAGAGAGTGGGGGCCAATATTCAACATCCTTAAAGAAAATAACTTTCAACCCAGAATTTCATATCCAGCCAAACTGAGCTTCATAAGTAAAGGAAAAATAAAACCCTTTGCAAACAAGCAAGTACTCAGAGATTTTGTCACCACCAGGCCTGCTTTAAGAGAGCTCCTGAAAGAGGCACTACACATAGAAAGGAACAACCACTACCAGCCATTCCAAAAACATACCAAATGCTAAAGAGCATCAACAAAATGAAGAATCTGCATTAACTAATGGGCAAAACAGCCAGCTAGCATCAAAATGGCAGTAACAAATTCACACATAACAATATTAACCCTAAATGTAAATGAGTTAAATGCACCAAGCAAAAGACACAGACTGGCAAATTGGATAAAAAACCAAAACCCATTGGTGTGCTGTATCCAGGAAACCCATCTCACATGCAAGGATACACAAAGGCTCAAAATAAAGGGATGGAGGAAGATTTACCAAGCAAATGGAGAGCAAAAAAAAGCAGGAGTTGCAATTCTCATCTCTGATAAAATAGACTTTAAAGCAATGAAGATCAAAAGAGACAAAGAAAGCCATTACATAATGGTAAAAGGATCGATACAACAAGAAGAGCTAACGATCCTAAATATATATGGACCCAATACAGGAGCACCCAGATATATAAGGCAAGTTCTTAACAACGTACAAAAATACTTTGACTCCCACAAAATAATAGTGGGAGACTTTAACACTCCAGTGTCAATATTAGACAGATCGACCAGACAGAAAATTAACAAGGATATCCAGGGCTTGAACTCAGACCAGGAACAACTAAACCTGATAGACATTTACAGAACTCTCCACCCCAAATCCACAGAATATACATTCTCCTCAGCACCACGCCACACGTACTCTAAAATTGAACACATAATTGGAAATAAAGCACTCCTCAGCAAATGCAAAACAACTGACATAATAACAGACCATAGTGCAATCAAGTTAGAACTCAGAATCCAGAAACTAACTCAGAACTGCACAGCTTCATGGAAACTGAACAACTGGCTCTTGAATGTTGACTGGATAAGCAAAGAAATGAAGGCAGAAATAAAGAAGTTCTTCAAAACCAACGAGAATGAAGACACAACATACCAGAATCTCTGGGACACATTTAAAGCAGTCTCTAGAGGAAAATATATAGCAATAAGTGCCCATATGAGAAGAGTGGAGAGATCCAAAATTGACACCCTATCATCAAAATTGAAAGAGCTAGAGGAGCAAGATCAAAAAAACTCAAAACCTAGCAGAAGACAAGAAAGAACTAAGATCAGAGCAGAACTGAAGGAGATAGAGACACAAAAAGCCCTTCAAAAAAATCAATAATTCCAAGAGCTGATTTTTTGAAAAGATCAACAAAATAGACCACTAGCCAGAATGATAAAAAAGAAAAGAGAGAACAACCAAATAGATGCAATAATAAATGATAAAGGGGAAATCACCACAGATTCCATAGAAATTCAAACCATCATCAGAGAATATTACAAACAACTCTATGCACATAAACTAGTAAACCTGGAAGAAATAGATAAATTCCTGGACACCTGTGTCCTCCCAAGCCTAAACCAGGAGGAAGCTGAAACTATGAATAGACCAATAACAAGGTGTGAAGTCGAGGCAGCAATTAAGAGCCTACCACTCAAAAACAGCCCAGGTCCAGAGGGGTTCACAGCGGAATTCTACCAGACACACAGAGGAGCTGGTACCATTCCTCCTGAAACTATTCCAAATAATCCAAAAAGAGGGAATACTTCCCAAATCATTTTATGAGACCAACATCATCCTGATACCAAAACCTGGCAGAGACTCAACAAGAAAAGAAAACTTCAGGCCAATATCCATGATGAACATAGATGCAAAAATCTTCAATAAAATACTGACAAACCGATTGCAACAGCAAATCAAAAAACTTATACATCATGATCAACTAGGATTCATCCCAGGGATGCAAGGCTGGTTCAACATACGCAAGTCTATAAACATAATTCACCACATAAACAGAACCAAAAACAAAAACCACATGATTATCTCAATTGACGCAGAGAAGGCATTTGACAAAATTCAACAGCCCTTTATGCTAAAATACCCCCAATAAACTCGGTATTGATGGAACATATCTCAAAATAATAAAAGCTATTTATGACAAACCAACAGCCAATATCATACTGAATGGGCAAAAACTGGAAGCATTCCCTTTGAAATCCGGCACTAGACAAGGATGCCCTCTTTCACCACTCCTATTCAATATAGTACTAAAAGTTCTAGCCAGAGCAATCAGGCAAGAAAAAGAAATCAAGGGTATTCAAATAGGAAAGGGGGAAGCCAAATTGTCTCTATTTGCAGACGACATGATAGTATACCTAGAAGACCCCATTGCCTCAGCCCAAAAACTCCTGAAACTGATAAGCAACTTCAGCAAAGTCTCAGGATACAAAATCATTGTGCAAAAATCACAAGCATTCCTATACAGCAATAACAGACTTAAAGAGAGCCAAATCAAGGACAAACTGCCATTCACAATTGCTACAAAAACAATAAAATACCTAGGAATACAACTTACAAGGAATGTAAAGGACCTCTTCAAGGAAAACTACAAACCACTGCTCAACGAAATAACAGAGGACACAAACAGATGGAGAAACATTCCATGTTCATGGTTAGGAAGAATCAATATCGTGAAAATGTCTATACTGCCCAAAGTAATTTACAGAATCAATGCTATCCCCATCAAGCTACCATTGATTTTCTTCACAGAACTGGAAAAAACCACCATGAACTTCATATGGAACCAAAAGAGAGCCCGCATAGCCAAGTCAATTCTAAGCAAAAAGAACACAGTGGGAGGCATCACACTACCAGACTTCAAACTATACTACAAGGCTACAGTAATCAAAACAGCATGGTACTGGTACCAAAACAGACATATAGACAAATGGAATAGAACAGAGGCCTCAGAGGCAACACAACATATCTACAACCATACAATCTTTAATAAACCTGACAAAAACAAGCAATGGGGAAAGAATTCCCTGTTTAATAAATGATGTTGGGAAAACTCACTAGGCATGTGCAGAAAGCAGAAACTGGACCCCTTCCTGATACTTTACACTAAAATTAACTCCAGATGGATTAAAGACTTAAACTTAAGACCTGGCACCATAAAAACCCTAGGCAAGAAAATCTAGGCAAAACCATCCAGGACATAGGAGTAGGCAAGGACTTCATGACCAAAACACCAAAAGCATTGGCAACAAAAGCCAAAATAGACAAATGGGACCTAATCAAACTCCATAGCTTCTGCACGGCAAAAGAAACAGTCACTAGAGTGAATTGGCAACCAACAGAATGGGAAAAAATTTTTGCAGTTTACCCATCTGACAAAGGGCTGATATCCAGAATTTACAAAGAACTCAAACAGATTTACAGGAAAAAACAAACAAGCCCATTCAAAAATGGGCAAAGGATATGAACAGACACTTTACAAAAGAAGACATACATGAGGCCAACAAACATATGAAAAAATGCTCATCGTCACTGGTCATTAGAGAGATGCAAATCAAAACCACAATGAGATACCATCTCATGCCAGTTAGAATGGCGATTATTAAAAACTCTGGAGACAACAGATGCTGGAGAGGATGTGGAGAAATAGGAACACTTTTACACTGCTGGTGGGAGTGTAAATTAGTTGAACCATTGTGGAAGACAGTGTGGCGATTCCTCAAGGCCTTAGAAATAGAAATTCCATTTGACCCAGCAATGGAACACATGGACACAGGGAAGGGAGTACTACACACTGGGGTCTATTGGGGGGAATAGGAGAGGGACAGTGGGGGGGAGCTGGGGAGGGATAGCCTGGGGAGAAATACCAAATGTTGGTAAAGGGGAGGAAGGCAGCAGAACACACTGCCATATATGTACCTATGCAACTATCTTGCATGTTCTACACATGTACCCCAAAACCTAAAATGCAATAAAAAAAAATTTTGATTTCAAGGTGAAATGATAATATTTTAGGACATTGGTTAAATAAAATATTATTAAAATTAACTTGACTTTTAAAATATACATTTAAAAATGCATTTACTGGAAAATATGCATGGCTCACATTGTATTTCCAGTAGATGTTCTTTTTAAATGTTCATAGCAGTGGGTCTTAAAAAGTGTGGCCTCTTGATCTGCAGCATCAGCCTCACCTGAGAGCTTGTTAGAAATGCAAATTCTCAAGGCCGGCACAGTGGCTCATGCTTGTAATCCCAGCACTTTGGAAAACTGAAGCAGGTGGATCACCTGAGGTCAGGAGTTCGAAACAAGCCTGGTCAACACGGTGAAACCCCATCTCTACTAAAAATACAAAAAGCAGTCGGGTGTGGTGGTGGGCACCTATAATCCCAGCTACTCAAGAGGCTGAGGCAGGAGAATCACTTGAACCAGGGAGGCAGTGAGCCGAGATTGCACCATTACACTCTGACTTGGGCAACACGAGCAAAACTGTCGCCAAAAAAAAGGAAGCTAGAAAGAAAGAAAGCCAGAAAGCAAGCAAGAAAGGAAAGGAGAAGAGAGAGGAGAGGAGAGGAGAGGGGAGGGGAGGGGAGGGGAGGGGAGGGGAGGGGAGGGGAGGGGAGGGGAGAGGGGAGGGGAGGAAACAAAGAAAGAAAAGCAAGAAAGAAAAAAAAGAAAGAAAGAGAGAGAGAGAGAGAGGAAGGAGGGAGGGAGGGAGGGAAGGAAGAAAGAAAGAAAGCAAATTATCAGGCTAGGCCCCAGTCCAGGCCTACTGAATCAGAAACCCCAGGGGTAAGGACCAGAAATCTGGGTTTTAAAATGATCTGAAGGTGATTCTGATGCATACTAAAGTTTGAGAACCACTGCTAGAGAAACAATTATAATATTGGAATTAAGTTAATGCCTCTCATGTGAGTTTGCCACAAAGCAGACACATTTTTCTCAGGGCTAAAGGATGATTCTTTGATGATGTTTATGACCAAGAATACTCATCATTACAGAGAATTCACAATCCTCGTAGATCTAAGGTCACATCCTGGCTCTACCGTCTACTTTCTGATTTTTACCTCTCTATAGGCCTTAGCTCCCTCATCTGTAAAATGAAGGATTTGGATGAAAGGCTGTTTCAGCTGGGCATAGTGGCTCATGCCTATAATGCCAGCAGTTTGGGATGCCAAGGCAGGTGGATCGCTTGAGGTCAGACATTTGAGACCAGCCTGGGAAATACGGTAAAACCCTGTCTCTACAAAAAATACAAAAATTAACCAGATGTGATGGTGCACACCTATAGTTTCAGCTACTTGGGAGGCTGAGGCAGGAAGCTAGCTTGAGCCAGGGGGGCAGAGGTTAGAATGAGCTGAGATTGTGCCCCTGTACTCCAACCTGGGTGACAGTGGGAGACCCTGTCTCAAAAAGAAAAAAAAAAAACGTTTTAATTGTTTCAATGTCTTCTATCCATACAGAACTGTGAGTTAAAAACTCCATATTGTGAACCAGAATCTGCACCATGGTCCTTACCTTGACCTGCAGCATGTTTGCTGTGTGATAGATCACGCTCAGGCGGAGGAAGCTGATCTTTGCAGAGAGAGAATCAGAGGCGGCAACAGCAGCTGCTGCGGCTGCTGCAGTGGGAGGTGGCACATCCCTTGATGGCAGTGGTGGTATTGGTGCTGTCTGTCTAGATTCCTCTGCTCGTGCTAATTCAGGGGCCACCAGGAGGGAAAGGTTTGCAGTGATGCCAGCGTACTGGTACTGAATGTCACTGGCAACATAATTAGGGATGGTGTCATAGTAACAGGTGGGCACGCCAGGAGTAGATGTGTGCTGGAACAACAGGAGAAAGTCTTTCTCAGCCTCTGATACAACACTGAGGCTCTAATTACTGAAGAAGTTGGTTAACACAGACTGTCTTTGACACCATGTCCATGGTTATGGGTTGAATTGTATCCCCCAAAAAAGATGTTAAGTTCTAACCCCTGATACCTCTAAATGTGACTATTTGGAAATAGTGTTCTGCAATGAACAAGTTAAAATGAGATCTTTGGGATAGGCCCTGATCCAATATTACTGGTATCCTTATTAATAAGGAAAATTTGGACACAGAGACAGACATGTACACATGTGACCATGAAGACAGAGAGTGGGGTGATGCATCTACAAGCTAAGAAATACCAAACATTGGCAGGAAGCCACCAGCAGTTAGGGGAGGACCATGGACCAGATGCTCCCTCAAAGTCCTCAGAAGGCACCAACTCCACTGACACCATGGTCTCACTTCTAGACTCCAGAATTTTGAGGGAATAAGTTCCTGTCGTTCTCTGCCACTCAGTTTGTGGTACTCTGTCATGGTAGCCCTAGCAAATGAACACATCCATTTTTAAAACACACACATTGGCCTTCTATAATGAGTGAACAGTGACAAAGCAGCAGGAAGTTTGATCTGGAGACAGGAGCCTCCAGGCACAATTCTAATCCCAGGGTCCTTATTGTCTCCCCAGTAATCTAGAGGAAATCACTTTTTCTTTCTAGTTTTTATTTTCTCTGTTGTTCCAATAGAGAGAAACAGCCTGACCTTACCCTTCCTGCTTGTGTTCTCCAATAGACAAAAAAATATACAATGCATAATGCACATCCAATGTATATTATTATGTTTGAAATTGGGTTTTTAATGATATGGTTGGAGTGGCAATGAGAATGGCAGTAAGTTCCTTCTGATTCCTGAGAAAAATACTGATGACCTATCATGTACAGTTGGCAAAAGACATGTTGCACAATATCCTTGTTTTCTTCAAGCCACAGAAATTTGCAAAGTGTTTTCTAGGTGCCTAATTACTTGTGAGACAGTTTTTACAACTTCCTGATCAATGTGGTAATCTATTTCTGGTCATTTACCTCCCAAAGACACCCCCGCTGCCTACAACTCTCCTCAGAGGCTGTTGGATCATCAGGGTAGCAGTTGAACTTCTCCAGGTCATCGACAGGAAGATTCCACTTAATAGAGAATTCTTGTCCCAGTACGAGTCCTTGGAGATCAGTGATGGTTACCACCTGGGAAAAGAGACCTTCACGGTGACAAAGGAAGGGAGGGAAGGTCACCTAGATAGAGTTCTTGCCTGGGGGTCTGGAAGTTAGAACAACGGGATCTATTCCTTCCTCCAAAACCAGTTTGCCATGAGATATTTGGAACTTGGCTGATTCCTGGGCTTTCTCACTTCCAGGAGTCATTGTGGAAATGTTGGATGGGAAGTCTTCATCATGTTAATGAGTGCAGATCACAGGCAGGACTATCATTGTTAGGTTCACTGTCCTCTGGGTGTGATGCTTATCAATTTAATAACAATGGTAATAACAATAGCCAAACGTTATGGAGGATTTATACAAGCCAAGCCCTGTGATCACCACTTTATAAGCATGATCTCCAGTAATCCCAAGAATTCCATGCTGTGAATGTTATGACTCTCTCCATTTTACAGAACAGAAAACTGAGACACAGAGAGATTTAATTACCCTAAAAGCTGGGATTGGGGCCCCATTCTGTCTAACTCTAGAAATTAAACTCTTATCCTATACTCTATGTAGTGTCAACACGGAAGGGAGCTGACCTAAGAAATAATGAATTTCCCAGAACTTGAACTATCCAACTAACAATGTAAGAGAATCATTTAGCAAGAGAAAAACTGGATTACCCCTTGTGTTAATCCACTCACATTTTATTAATGGTACGAAAATAGCCGAAAACAGTAATGACAGGCATAACTGTTTCTCAAAGAGAGTCTACCTTCAATGAGAGGATAAATGCATAAATACCCATTGCACAATCTATCCACTGTGTCACAGCTGGGATCAGAATGCCCCATTTTAATTTTGCCCAGAGAAGAACTTTCTTCTCTCAGGGTTCCGACTCCCACTATCTTCTTCAGAGCTCTGATACAAACAAAGCAGAGAGGTCTTTCTTTAGCATGCACGCATTCCTTCTGTATCCTCCCTGTGATGTGCTGGACCTCCCAGCAAGTCAGTTGTGTCTGATGGCCCAAAGTTAAAAGAGCAAAGTAGGGCCGGCTATCAGAGCCAGGGCCTCTGGAAAGGGCCCTGCAGAATGGAAGGGTATCTTACCTTTGTGGAAGCACTATAGACAATGCTTGGACTGGAGGTGGCAATATTATTCAATAAGACAGTAAAATTAGCTGGCTGCTTGTCCATTCCCAAGATTGTGATATCTGTAAACATTAGGTTGTACGTGTCCGTATAATTATTAAAAAGAATCTTTGCTTGTAGATGGTTCTGGAAGGGCAAAAAAAGTCAGATTAGAACCATGTACTTCAGACTCTTATTATCCCCAAATACCACTCAACGTCTCATTTTTTGAGATTCAAGCTGTTTCCTTTTCTCTGCAGTTCCAAATGTTGCTAGGTGATAATACCCAGGGAACTCATTCACTTAGACACTTATTAATCTTAAATTTTAAAGTAATATTTTGTGTTTGCTATGGTTTACTGGTTCTTTACTGATTCTATTACTCAGAAAATATGTCCCTGACACTGTGGAATTTTCAGCCAGACAAGATGGGTACTCACAAAGTAAACAAAAAGATAACAGACTCATTGGCACACAAAGATAAAGACATACACACATACACAAAAGGGACCAAGTAACTTTTTCATTTTATTTTACTAACAGTGATGATAAGAGCTAAGAATATTTGAGTGTGTATTCTGTACCAGGCCCTGTGCTAAGCATTTTACATGTATTACTTCATTCAATTTTCACAGCAGACTATGAGGTTGAAGCTATAATTATCCTCATTTTTCAGATGAGGAGACTGAAGCACAGAAAATTAGATAAATTATTTAAGGAACAAAAGTGACAATGTTGAACTATGACACAGAAGGAGGTAGAAATTAAGACTGAATAAAAAGTGGCAGTTTGATAATTTAAAAAATTAGAAGTCCCATATATATATGCCCAAATGATTTTTTTCAAAGACAAATTTTCCAACAAAGGTGCTGGGGCAACTGGACATACACAGGCAAGAAGTTAAACCGCAACCTAAATCTTACACAGTATATAAAAATTAACTCAAAGTAGATTACAGACTTAATGTAAAAGGTCAGAATATAATTTTTTTAACATGGGAGGTAATATTCAGAATCTAGAACTTGGCAAAGAGGTTTTAAACTTGACATCGAAAAGCACAATCTATAAAGAAAATAAGGATAAATTAGATTCATCAAAATTAAAAATGTAAATATATAGATGGTAAATAAACATATGAAAAGATGTTCAATGTCATTAGCTATTAGAGAAATACAAATTAAAAACACACTGAGCGATAACTACACAGCAATCACAAAAGCTTAAAAAAGATAGTGACAACATCAGATGCTGGCCGTGATGTAAAGAAACTTGATCACTCATATGTCGCTGGTGGAAATGTAAAATGGTACAGCCTTTCTAGAAAACAGTTTGGAAGATTATTATAAAATAAAACGTGCACTACCATAAGACCCAGAAACTGTACTCTTAGGCACGTATCACAGAGAAATAAAACTTATGTTCACACCAAAACCCATACATGAGTGTTAGTAGAAATTTTATTTGTAACAGCTCATGACTGGAGCCAACCCAGATACTCTTTATCAAGTGAGCGATTTTTAAAAGGTGATACAGCCGTAAGTTGGAACACTACTCAGCAATAAAAAGGAGCAAGCTGCACAACTTGGGTGGGTTTTCAGGGAGCTCTGCTGAATGAAAAAGCCAATCCCAAAGGTTGCAAACTGTTTAGTTCTCTTTACAGAACACTCTTGAAAGGACAAAATTATAGAAATGGCAAACAGATGATTGGTTGCCAGGGGCTGAGAAGGGATATGCTATTAAAGGGCAGCAGGAGAGATCTTTGTGCTAAGGAAATGTTCTCTACCTTGATAGCATCAGTGCCAGCCTTCCTATAAACCTACAGCACACTTTCACATTGTGCTATAGGTTTATAAGATGTTACCATAGGAGAAGCTGGGCAAAGGGGCATATGGGAACTCCGTACTAGTTCTTACAACTACATGAAGATCTTTATCTCAAAATAAAAGGTTACTTTAAGATACATATATATATGATATAATACTTGAAGATATATATATATGATATAATATGTATAATATACATATAATATATATCTTGAAGATATATATTACATACATATATCTTCAAGTAGATCCATTATATATATCTTATATATACATATTGTACATATATATACAGACATATATATATAGTCATATATACATTTAAAAGAAAGAAGAAATAAGGGAGACCATCTCAAAAGAAAGTTCTGCCCGTACGTGATCAGACTTCAAAGAAAACCAAGTCAGAATTCCCTGATTCTCTGCTAGCCTTGCTGCTTTTTCTTTTCTGAGTCCCCTTGGGAAATAGATACGAGGCAAGTGACATTCTGTATCTTCCAGCCTTTAAAAGCCACTACTTGATAACCTGTGCCAAAGGCCAAGTTTTATGTGCTACAAAGGATAGCTGTTATGGAAGAATCTTAAAAAGGTGCTACACCACTCACTAACCCACCTCCCATATACCCTTGCAAACCTCAAAAAAAGTACATCTTGGAAGCTAGCGCCCATGACATAAAACTCAAAGGCAATGGTTTTTTTTTCCAGGGAAAAAAGTTCTGCACAGCAGTCATATAGGTTTTGTAGCAGCTTATAAAACTGACACACATTAAATATTTTCATGTTAATTCAAATCATTTTTGGAATCATGACAGTAAAACACTATCCCTGTTACACATAACCACATGTCTATATTAAACCAAAAACTCAAGGAGCCATCGCAGCAAGGAACGTATGCTGTGCGTTCCTCAAAAAAAGTACTTACAGAGGCAACAGAGAAATCATATAGAATATACTGCTTTCCAGTTACAGCATCTAAAAAAGAAAGACAGAGGAGTACCCATTACTATGCGAAACCAAGCAGCTGGGGAGTCGGGCTCTTCATTTCATCTGCAATTCCTTTACCAACCATCTAGTTCTGCTCATCTGAGTTTTGTGCATTTTTTCAAACTTCTGCAAATATTTCCTGTATCATTTTCTCTAACTTCACATGTCAGTCTGTGGTACCATTTTGCTGGCATGTAAAACATTTTGATTTGCATTATGATTATGTACATGTACATTGCATCCATCCTGCTGGATCGTGAGTTCCTCAAGCTCAACACAATACATACTAATTCCATGTAGGGCAGTCTTTTTATATAATCACATAAGTTTATGTGAGGTGTTTATATGGAAATCTTACAGTGAAGAGATACACTATACAAATTAGATATTTCTTCCTCAAACCAAAGCAGTATTTTCCAAAGCTATTAACAAAGTGGATTATTTGTTATTCATAATAATATACAATGAAGAGAATAATTAAGCCCATTCAATAATGTCAGTTGCTTTGGTAGAGTCAAGAACACATAATTTGTGCATTTGAAGTCTATTTTAATGGATTGTGCCTGGCTAACAGAATTTTCAGAATGGATTTTAACCCATCAATTCTAAGCTATAGATGTAAATGATAGTGTTAATAGGCTTAGTGCCATAGTGGGCAGCCTGTAAGAATTAATTTTCAGGGAGAACCACAGTGACCCACAATGATGGTGCCTTGAGAAAGTCTACCTTTAGATACACCGTCATCCCAGTATAGCTCCCCGTTTGCTTCTCTCTTATAGTCCAAGGCAATGATGAGTCCCAGAGAATTCCTCCTGCTGTAAAAGAGTAATTCCCTGTTTCAGAGAATGTAGATGACATGGAACTATGTGAAACCAGCCCCCATGATGTCCCAGGGACAGATAATCCAAGAGTCTATGCCAGAAACTGAGTAGATGTTGATATTGGGTGGACACACCTGATCAACAAGACAGATCAGGTGGACAGAGGCAGTTCCTACTGAAAACTGGGTTGTAATACATAATACCAACAATTAGCCTTATTACCTGCTTACCATGTGCCAGGCACTCTTCTAAGTGTCTCACGCACATCATTTATATTAATTCCTTTAACTCCCATCATAACTCTAAAAAGTCAAACCATCATCATCTCCAGTTTACCAATAATAATCAGAAACACAGAGAGGTAAGTTGCCCAAGGTAAACATATGTAGTATGTAGCCTGTATGACTACATAGCCTGTATGTAGACTTGAACCCAGATTCTGCAGAATCTTAGCTCTTGACCTCCAAACTATGTTGACTTCCACATGATAACCTTTATCTCCTATTTAACTCAAATTCTCTCACACAGTAGGGAATATACCTAAGGACAATTTCTGGCCATAGGAAAATCCTCCTCAGTGATTATTTTGACTGGTCCTATAATCTGATTCAATCCCAAAGAGAAGGACTATGCAGATGTCCTCGGTAGACTACCATCTACTAAATCAGGAGTAAGATGCCAAGTTTAGATCAATTTGAAAGGAGTGGGGGAAGATTACTGATGGGTGACTTACCCTTGGCTCATCCACTCTTCATCCCTATTTGTCTTTCTCATAATGCCCTGCTCCATTAGAGCACTAGAACAATTATACCTTAGAAAAGTGAGGAGCTTACCTGGCTTCTGTGGTTGTGTTTGGCTTCTGGGTGGGAAATATGTAGCCCCCTCGCAGATGAAGTCCTATCTTATCACCTGGGAGGAGCATATTCACAAACTGCTTCCTCCATGGGATGGCCACTCCCTAATCAGCAACAACAACAAAAGATAGATCAGGTAATAAGCTGTTTCAGCTAGGGGAGACCTTAGACATCATCTCGTTCAGTTGACATATTTTAAAGAAGTGACAGAGACCCCCAAAATGAAGTGGCTTGCTGAAAGCATATGGGTAGCAGAGAGCAGAGCAGACACTCCAACCCCCTTTATTTCTTTATATTACATCATGCTGCCATTCCACACCTGGGCTTCAGTTTTAGGCTATCATAGCCAAATAGCAAAACCCTAGTCCTGATAGGAACACAACAGCCAGGCTGATATAATGGATTTCCATAAACCTATCCCAGTTATTCGACTGCTGCTTTAGAATTGTACTCTGCTAGAGGCAGGTTTCCGAGCCAACTGGGGCTGCCTTACTTACTGTCTCATAGTCATACCAGGTGGCATCAGGTATATATGCTTTCACTTCGTCCACACCCTAGGTAAACAACAACGAGTAGCATTAGCATACCCCTCTCTACAGTTTACAAAACACTTCCAGGAGGCATTGCATATGTTTATCTGAACAATCCTGAGAGATGGTCTGAGATCATCCCATTCTACAAAGGAAAACACAGAAACACGAAGGTTGAGTAATTTACCCAAATAAAAATGATTTGTTTTGCTTCAATGCTGCTGCACTTTCTAAGAGAAGCAGAGAAAGTCCATTCACTGAGTCACATAATTTGACAGTTGAGAGATAAACCGCCAGGCCCCAGGAAAGCCTCCCAGCAGGGCCACTGATTTATAAGCAAGACCAGTCATCAGATGGTGTGGCTGAAACACCAGCTCAAAGGGCCTTTGACGTGGGCACATTGGAAATATTTCATGTTTACAAGCAGATCAGCATAATCCTTCCTGATCCTTGCCCCATACTTTGCCACTCACCCCTGCTTCCAATCACACTTAATAGGATACACATGGTCCTTCATACCTGGACTTCAGAGTATAGCCTTCCCTTTGCCCAGCACTCCTCTCTCCCTCCCTTCACTTCATAGGTATTCTCTCTTCCCACCCAGCCTAACCCAATCCAAGAGCACTCCTTCTCTGGACAAAGGGAAATATAGACAGATGTTTAGCACACACACTGCAAAGTATTTAAAGCCACTGTTGATGCTACAGCCATATGCCTAAGGATGCAGGCTTCAATTTTAAGGCAATTTTACAACATGAAAATTGTTTTGTTTGGTGCAAAAGTGGGACCAAGATTTACTTTTTTTTTTTATTTCCAAACTTCCATGATCTCTCTCATTTATATGCATATTTTGATATAAATGCAGATTCATAGATACTCAGGAACCAGCTTATACAGCTATAGAACCATAAGGATAAGTACAATACCCCATCTCATCATTTAGATTATGAACATACTTCATATAAAACAGGTGTGATGAGGAGTCCAGGTCCCCATAAGAACTGCTCATGCAACTCCCACGTGGCTGAGTCCTGGTAGAACCTAGTAAACAGTAACATGGTGAAGTCTCTAATACAGGACAACAGCACGTTATGTAACAACAAGATCCTAACTAACCTTGCTACCACAAACAAAGTCAAGTGACACTACAATCGGAAAGGTGTCTTTGAGAATTAGGAAACTCACTCATGTACGAGGGGCCTTGCTACCGTGTCTCCCCGGGTGTGCGCACGGTAGAAAAGGGTGTAGAGATAGGGCAGTAAGGTGTAGCGGATGTTCAGATAATGTCTGGAGGAATTCAGCAGCAGGGAGTCAGCACCAAAGGCAGCAGGATCCTGGTCCTAGGAGAAAACAAAGCAATGGCTGAAGATTCCTTCCATCCTGGTTTAGAAGTTCTCTTACAATAAGAAGCTTTCCCAGATGAAAGTAACCACTTTCTCCAACTTATGAAACACCAAAGCATTTCTAAAACTGAAAAGATATTGTCCTACTTGTTCATTTTATACATGAGAAAACAATACCAAGAATTATATGAGTTTCCCAAAGTAGAATTGCAAGCAGGTGGCAGAGTTTAAATTTGGTTTCTATCTTTTGAGGGCAGCTTGTAGCAGCCCTAGGGTGAAATGGAAGTCCCACACGGGTTGCCGTGGAGATAAAGTGGGAACTGCTTCCTCCAGGGCTGCTCTAATTTATTTATCTATCTATTTATTATTTTATTTTTATTTATTTTTTTATTTTTTTGAGGCAAAGTTTCTCTCCTGTTGCCCAGGCTGGAGTGCATTGGTGCAATCTTGGCTCCACTGCAGCCTCTACCTCCTGGGTTCAAGCGATTCTTCTGCCTCAGCCTCCCAAGTAGCTGGGATTACAGGCATGCACCACCACACCTGGCTAATTTTGTATTTTTAGTAGAGGTGGTGTTTCTCCATGTTGGTCAGCCTGGTCTTAAATTCCCAACCTCAGGTGATCCACCCACCTTGGCCTCCCAAAGTGCTGGGATTACAGGCATGAGCCACCGTGCTCAGCCCAATTATTACTATTATTATTATTTTATTAATGCCTACATCAGGCACTTCTCTCGGTGTTATCCCTCCCCATCCTCCATGCCCCCTGCCGCCTGTCCCTCCCCTCCTCTCCCCTCCACCCCTCCCACCTAGCCCAGTGAGTGTTGTTCTCTTCCCTATTGAAGCTTCTCATAATATTTTATTTGGAAAATAATACAAGTTGTACAACTACTAAAAAAAATAACTCCATTGCCTTATAAGCCACATTACCTGCCACCATGGTCTGTAATCCATTATTTTCTTTCCATATGTTTGTATGAATGTTAATTTTAAAATTTTATGTCCTGTTCTATCTGTAATGTTTCCACCACCAGCATTTGTTTTATTTTCCCTAACCCAAAGATGACCTCTATTTGTTCTTTTACATACATTGTGCAAATAAATTATAAAGATGGTTTTTAGCAGATTTTATTCAAGAGTAACAAAATAACCCTTTAGAAGAGAAATCTAATTTTCCTAGTATCCAGAGATGGAAATTTTTCATCAATGGTAGGCATTCATTTTGTTCATTTTCCATGTAATTTGGAAGATGTGAAAGACATACACATCATCTTTTAATGTGTCATCCTATATTGAGTTTTGGATAAAGTCACCTAAACTTTTTTTCTTCTTTTGTTCCCTAAGAGGCCCATTTCTCCCCTTCTAAACAAAATGATCCCATGAGACCACTCTATGCTCCCAGTGTAAGGCTCATAAAAACTCTGAGGTCAGACATTAAAGAGAATAACACTCCACAGCCTCCATCACCCTGGTTATCAACTGGAAAAGTCCAGAGCTGTGCTGTCCGCTGTGGTGGCCACGAACCACAGGAAGCTGTTGAATGCTTGAACTCTATTTACTGAGACTGAGGAAGTAAACTTTCCATTTTATTTGATGATAGTTAATTTAAATATAAATCTTAAAACTGAATCAATGTAAATGTTTTCCATGAAACCAACTTTATTGCTTTGGTAGAACTGCATTTTATTTCAACTGCTTCAACAGAAAATCTTAGCATATAAATTGAAATATGCTACAAGTGTAAAATGCATACCAAATAGTGAAGACTTGGTAGAATGAAAAGGACATAATGTAGCTCATTAAATAAATAGCTCATTAACAATATTTTCTGTTAAACACAGGTTGAAATGATATTGCTATGTAATACACACACATATATATATATATATATATATATATATATATATATATATATATATATACATTTAAAATAACGTCCCTGTGGCCAGGCATGGTGACTCACACTTGTAGTCCTAGCACTTTGGGAGGCCAAGTTGGGCAGATCACAAGGTCAGGAGTTCGAGACCAGCCTGGCCAATGCAGTGAAACCCCATCTCTACTCAAAATACAAAAATTAATGGGGCATGGTGGCAGGTGCATGTAATCCCAGCTACTTCAGGAGGAGAATCGCTCAACCCAGGAGGCAGAGGTTGCAGTGAGCCAAGATTGCACCACTGCACTCCAGCCTGGGTGACAGAGCTAGACTCCATCAAAAAATAAACAAACAAACAAATAAATAAATAAATAAAATAGTTTCTTTGTACTTTTTCAATTTAAAGTGACATATGTGGCTCTCCTTATAATTTTACTGAATAGAACTAGTTTAGTCAAAAGAAAACATGTGCTTAAACCTAGCTTCCTGGGTAATCTGAGTGCTCTTATCTATGTAAGTCTTCCAGGACACAGCTTCATGAAAAACACCCACCCACCTGCTCCCAACCACCTGCTTAGACATTTAGAAATAGTTCATCTCTCTCTAGATCACAAGTGGCCAGAAAAGCCCAGGGATAAAATACTTTGAAGGTTTGACTGTTAATCCTTCCTGAGTTAAAGACAAAGTCAAGAGCTTGAGCTGAAATGATCGTTAGGAAGTTATTCTAATGAACCTGTTAAGAGCTAAACCACTCAACTGGAAATATTTCAACATGAGATTACTTTATTAAAAGAAAGGACATCTCACCCTACTTGCTTATGCCATCATCATAAACACCTCCTAACAGGGGACTTTGAACCCACTTCTATATGCCCATCAAAAATACTATTTTGATTATCAAAAATACGATTTTGGGTGGATGAAGATAAAGGTGGGATGAGTCATGAGAAATAGTTGGGAAGTCTTCCAAACTATTCACAGAAAGGTACAATGATGTAAAAGGTGAAAGCAATTTTGAGATTACTGGCCTAAGCCTCTTTAAATTCTTTCTCCTTCCGCCTCCATACCTATGAGGAATTTCCCTTGTATTAATTGAAATAGAATACCAACTAATTCCAATTGTCCTATCATATATAAAGTAGTAACAGAAGTGATGGCAGCAACATAGAAATTTTAATAAATCTCACTTTGTTGATGAGTTTCCAAGAATAAAATCATTCAGCATATACGTATCCCTTTCAATGCATGGTCACCTTGATTGATAGCTTTCTTTTTAAGGCTATCAGATGAGACTTTTCTATCCTTCTTCTGCAGTTAGGGCCAACCTGTGGTAATATTTTCCTCAAATCCTCTTTAAGAGCAAGTAGATGAGCTAATCCAAAAAGTTTCCATCATTCCTCTTGAGGACCTTACCCTGAACCCAGGCCCATTGTGATTCCTTGATAGTGGATAAAATGCTCCAAGCTGCATCCACCTTCTGCAGAGCTCCTCTGTGACATTGTTGTTATAACCACAGATGTTGGCACCTACCTGGAGAATTAACACACATACCAGCACACTGGTCAATGAGAGGTGAAAGCATGTACTGAGTACTTATATGATAAAGGAAAGGAGAACCTCTCATTCCATCACATTCCATCCAAAGCCTCTCATTCCATCTACATCATTCCATGCTTAAGGAGATCCCAGAGCCAAATGAGAGAAACAAGATAGAATGCATCATGGACTCATTGAAAGCAAACAGTGGCCTCCTGATGGAAAACATGATTAACGAGACACCTTAAGGGCACCATTGGTTGTTTGCACTGTGTATCTTTGAAAAACATATATTAACTCTTAAAACTGCTTTGTAAGCTATTATCACAAGCTCCCTTAAAACTGCTTTGTAAGCTACTATCACAAGCCCCCTTAAAACTGCTTTGTAAGCTATTATCACAAGCCCCCTTAAAACTGCTTTGGGAGCTGTTATCACAAGCCCCTGATAACTATTTTTACATGATTTCTGTTCCCTTTTCTGTTTACCCCCTTTTCTGCTGAGCTAAAGTAAATGTAACAAGAAAAAAGGTATAAAAGCTGTAACCCACAAAAATAAAGCTGCTGCTTGACTACAAGTCATTCAGACCTCCAGACTCCGCTTTTCTTTCTTCTTTCACTTCCACGCACACTCTCCCTCAGGTTGAATGAGACATCTACATTGGTGGTCTCAGGGACTCCCGCAGGTTGGTAGCCCCCCGGGAGACGTGCCGGACCCCAACACAGTGGTCTTTGTGTTGAGGCTATTCCCTAATATTCAATTCTCAATTTCATACTTTCTTATTTACTAATGCTCTCTTGATGGAATTTTCCTGTGATACTAATGCATTTTATTCATAGTGTCTCCTTCCTATCTTCAGAGATTCCACAGATGACAACTCAATAATAAAGTACTACTATTCTATCTTCAGAAGCCACCTCATGTAACACATAAAAATTGATTTTTCTAATACATACCACCTTGGAATATGCTTCTTGGTTTTTCAGATAATCTCTAAGACTGCTAATCAAAAGAATGTCAAAAGACAAAGGGTTAAAATTCCCTGGTTGGAAATAAGCCTCACCATGGGGATGCCAAACACGTTGAACTCAAGGATACTGGAGATAGACCATCGGAGGTCATCCCATGTGGCTGCATTGTCCCCCAACCAGTGAGCAGCAAATTTGCCAGATCCAGCGAAAGTAGAACGGGATAAGATGAAGCTCCTTTTATCCGTGAAGATGTTCTTCAGGGCTCTGAAAAGGAATACAGCCAATGGAGTGTGAGGTGGGCTGTGAATGTCTAGGACTCAGCTTACAACAGGAGCAGCAATGGACCTTCCAACCAAACTGAGAAAATAACATCACAGTGTCGAAAACCAGGTGTATAAGCAGGTTTAGCACTATTTAAAAGCTTCTTTCCCACTCTTGAGCAAGGTTTCAGATCTCATATAAGACAGTACAAACCTCTATATTCTAGCCTCCTTAGCAATTTCTCTATGCTTCTGTCTCTGGTTTTGTTTTCTCTATCTGGTTGGATCTGGCTGTGGTCTGGTCTTTTTGGTCGACAGTATATTGGAACCATGATTTGGGTTCTTTGCCCCATCTTCTTCCTAATGTCCCTTGGCTCCATTAATTTATACCATGCATAATCCTGTTCAGCACAGCACCTGTTCAGGTGCACCCTCTGCTGGACTACAAGGAGAGTTCACGCACCAGCTGGTACACTTGAAGCTTCAGAACTTATATCTCTGGGTTCCTCTGAAACCTCAGACTTATTCTTAGCAATTCTCAATGTTATCAAATTTTAATCTATGCAAAATAAAAGTCATTGAAATGAGTAAGTCTCAAAAGACGGTATCTTTCTATAGAGTTAAAACAACTAGCGTAGAAAATATTATTTTCATTTTATTATATATAAAATATTAGATATTAAGTAAAACAATACAGAAATGAAAGAAGCCTGGGTGCAGTGGCTCACGCCTGTAATTCCAGCACTTTGGAAGGCCAAGGAGGATGGAACACAGGTCAGGAGATTGAGCCCATCCTGGCCAACATGGTGAAACCCATCTCTACTAAAAATACGAAAATTAGCTCAGCATGGTGGCATGCACCTGTAATCCCAGCTACTCAGGAGGCTCAGGCAGGAGAATCACTTGAACCCGGGAGGCAGAGGTTGCAGTGAGCCTAGATAGTACCACTGCACTCTAGCCTCGGTGATGGAATGAGACTCCATCTAAAAAAAAAAAAAAGAAAAAAAAAGAAAAGAAAAGAAAGCAAAGAAGTTAAAAGCACAGTATCAGAATAGTAATTACTTCAGGGGAAGGGATGAACATACAGTGGGATGACCCATGGTTAGATGTAGGCTATTTGCCTAGCTTTTATTCTGGACACCTTTCGAATAGGTATTTCACTAAAATGACTCTTCCTCTTTTTTTTCTATGGTATAAAGCCCACATCTTCCATTAGAGTGCTAAAACTGAACAATAACAATTAGAGGATAGTAAGACCTGAGCCGCAATTGCTGCTAGCTCTTCCCAGGCAAGCTCTTCTTTCTTTTTTCTAATACATGGCCTAAGATAAGTGTAGCTTTCCTAAAACCTCTCTCTGCAAATTTTTATCACTACGCAACAGGCAGTTCCTCAAGATGCTATCACAGTCACCAAAGCCTCCTCACTTCATTTTCCTAAGAATGTTTGGAGTCTATAAATACCGAATGGCTTATGGCAAAAGAGAGAATGTTCTGAAACAGAAAATTGCTTTAAGAAAGTGAAGTGCTTCATTCTGACAATTTACTGTCAAAAATAGAGGTAGCTCAGAGGAAAGAGGACTCACTCAATATGGACTAGCAGACACTTCGCTTTTATTACCACCCGCTGCAAGTTTATTGTACTCTGCAATCATCAATCATGAAAGAAACACATTTAGCTTACATAGAGTGAAACCGAAACAGGGTTGAAGATATCTGTGGTTACAGTTTATTTAGAGGCAAGCTGTTACTATGGTAAAACAGATTAGATAACTGTTGGGTTATTGTTTTTTGGTTTTTTTTTTTTTTTTGGTTGGTTGGTTTTTTTACAGCTTAAAGGAACAGTGTTATTCAGAGGCTTTCTCTTTTAGTTTTCTTTTTCTATCCCCCAGGTCTAGCCAATTTATAATCGGGTTGTGATCTCTGAAAGAATCTATTCTCAGCCGGGTGAGATAGCTCACATCTGTAATCCCAGCTCTTTGGGAGACCGAAGCAGGAAGATCACTTGAGGTCAGGAGTTCAAGACTAGCCTGACCAACATGGAGAAACCCCATCTCTGCTAAAAATACAAAAAATTAGCCAGGCATGGTGGCACAAGCCTGTAATCCCAGCTACTCAGGAGGCTGAGGCAGGAGAATCACTTGAACCTGGGAGGCAGAGGTTGCAGTGAGCCGAGATTCCACCATTGCACTCCAGCCTGGCACCCAAGAGTGAAACTCCATCTCAAAAAAAAAAAAAACAAGAATCTAGTTTCTTTTGGCTTTCAGCTTAGAGATGGGGGTAATTTTATTCCTGGTTGGCCTACTGTCCCCAAACTATACTTCCATTTAAGGTTGACCCACATATTTATCAGACCTATGACTTCAGTTATCCTGATGTCCAGATTCCATTGAAGGAAAATCTTATCCATTTTTTTATCCAATTCTGCCTCATGCCAAAGACCAAGTTCTACTTATCTACACTGTCCTCTGGGAGCATAGGCCATTATGCCAGGCCAGAGAAATTAGAAAGACACCTATTATTTACTCAATCATAATTACCTTTTAACTATTAACCATAACTATTAGAATATATTAACCAACCCATTCTTGATTTTATAGCACCTTTACCACAGTCACTGGCAACAAAGCAATTTGAAATTTTCTTCCCCTCCTCCAACCCTTTCTTTCTCTTTCTTTCTTACCCTGACTATTGTTTCACTCTGTTTCCCACTTCTCATTCTTAGAAGCACCTGGAATAAAAATATATCGGAAAAAGAGACTGTGGGAACATCAATCTAAGTCTCTCATTTCAGAGATGAGGAAACTGAGTCTTATTTCTCTAGTTTATTTCTCAGGAAAAATAGAATGAGAGAGAAAAGCCAAAGAAAGAGAAAATAATGATATCAGAAACATATGTCCTTCTTCCTAGAGCTTTTTTTAAAAACCAAAATACAAACTTTTACATTTTCTGGACAAGAACTCTCATCTGGACAATCTAACATAATGCAAGTCATGAGGATGAAATAGTGCTGGAAAATAACACAAACCCAGTCTCTGCCTCTAAGTTATCAGGTCCTGTGGGGGCTGGGTCCTGCCCTTCCTCTTTCTCCCAGGCCAGGCATTTATCCAACAAAGTGTCTTCAGCACACACACTATTGAGAAGGCTAAGGATAAGGGGTGACTTTGCCCTCAAAAAACTTACAGTCCAACAGAAAGAAAACGGGCATCTAAAAATTGAAACCATGTTTTTTTGCATACTAAGCATATTGGAATATAAACAAATGTAGCACAAAAAAATGGAATAATAATCTTTTCCTAGAATGATACTTCCATTTTCTAGAACTGCCAGTAAAGTTTTCAGAATTTATATATGATGTGAGGTTTTTTTAGATAAGTGTATTTTGCAAAATGGACAGGGTAAGGAAGCACATCTCGTGCAGGGCAAATAGCACAGGAAAGGCATGAAATAATGAATCGCGCTTGGATTTGGGAACAGCAAGAAGCAGCAGAGATGAGAGAAAAATTGTAAGAGAGGGTTAGATTATAAAGTATCTTATAGGTTATGCTAAGCATTTTACTGTATAAAAAATAGCAAGCCACAAATAACTTTACACTAAAAAGAGAAATGAGCAAACTGTGCTTTAGAAAGATCACTTTGTCAGGAATGTATAGTAGTGCTTTCTAAATTTTAACATATTCTCAGTACACCCAGGTATCTTGATAAAATGCAGGTTTTGATTCCTAAGTTCAGGGTTGAGGTCCACGATGCTAATATTTTCTGGAGATGCTGATGCGGCTGTTCCGTGGACTCTGCTTCAAGTAGAAAGGGTCGAGGATAGGTTATCGGGAGATAAGGCTAAAGTCAGGGAAATTAGTTCTGGGGCTAGGGTAATGATTTGTGTGAGGGATGATGATAACCTCATTAAGAAGTATCAATGGGGAAACAGGGAGGTGGTTACAGAAATGTTTAAAAGTAACATCAAAAGGATCAAGGACTGATTGGATGTGAGGGTACAAAAAAGCATAAAGGATGGTGCCAAGCTTCTCACTTGGGAGTCTGGGATGTAGGGATGCTGTTGCTACCAACCAAGATGCAGAATTTAAGAGTTTCAAAAAAAATCAGCTATAGTGGGAAGATGAGGTGAAAACAGGTAACAAAGCCAGGTAAATGGTGCTCGAGGTACTACAAAACATCCAAGCAGACAATGTGAGAGGATGGTTTTGGATATTTGTGTCTAAAAATTGGGGAAAGACCCCACGTAGAATTATAGATTTAAAAATCATTAGAATTAATTCCAGTGAAAACCATAAAAGAAATAAATTACCTACAAATTACCTATGTATTGGCATAGACTATAAAGAGAAGAGGCCAAAGGATGGACTCCTAAGAATCATCAACAGTGAAAGAGCTAAGAAAAAGATCCAGGCACACAGATAAGAAGGGACAGCTAGAAAGAGAGCAGAGGCACCAGGCAGAGCAGTATCTTTTTTTTTTTTTTTTTAAAGAAAGCATTTCACTCTTGTTGCCCAGGCTGGAGTATAATGGCACAATCTTGCCTCACTGCAACCTCCACCTCCCAGGTTCTAGCAATCCTCCTGCCTCAGCCTTCCAAGTAGCTGGGATTACAGGTATCTGCCACCACACCTGGCTAATTTTTGTATTTTTGGTAGAGATGAAGTTTCACCATGTTGGCCTGGCTGGTCTCGAATTCCTGACCTCAGGTGATCCACCTGACTCGGCCTCCCAAAGTGCTGGGATTACAGATGTTAGCCACGGCACCCAGCCAGCAGAGCAATATCTTAAGAACTGAAGGAGCCGAGTTTAAAGGAGTGGTCATGACCTCGAGTACCAGAGAGAAAGAGAAGTCAAGTAAAAAAATGACTGAGATAGGTCCCATAAGCCTATCAAAGTCTCCCTGCCCCCATCCCCGCAACAGTGCTTTGGAACACCAAAACAGGGAAAGAGAAGCTGAGAAACACAAAGATGCTCTTTCCTAAACCACTGGAGGATCCGCCAATCAGAATTAGCTTAGACTGTGAAGCCCTTCCAACACTTTAGTTTTCCCATCTGTGCTGAAAATTCAAATTAAAATCTTCTTAAGCCTGGCTCCAAATTTTCTTGTTCTCTTAGGTATAATGATTGTATTTTACCATCTTCCACAGAAGAAACTGAACAGTGAGAAGGGGAACTATTTCTCAACTTACAAAGTCACAAGTAAACAATCCACATGACAAGATATAAAGGATGTAATGGTTTGCAGAACACATCTGTCTCCTTGGAAGACTTTCATAATGGGTGGTGGTGGTGGTTGGAATGGTGGTGCTAACTGTGGTGGTGGTGATAGTAGTGGTAGTGATAGTGGTGGTGATTGCAATAAGGCAATAGTGGTGGTGAGGTAGTGGTTAGATGATGGTGATGGTGTTGAGTAGTGATGGTGATGGTGGTGGTGGTGATGGTAGTTGTGTGTGCATGCGTGTGTGTATGTGTGTGTGTGTGTGTGTGTATGTGTGTGTGTCTTAGGGCAGAAGGGAGAATTATGAGGTAGATAAGCAGGACATTGGGAAGAAAATTAGAAGAGTATGGTGTGCATTTCCAGATAAATAAAGGTGTAGGATATAATAAATTCCTCTTCAAAGGGTTTAGCCTATAAATTGTTAAGTACAATGAGTTATGAGATCCTCTACAAAGAACCAATGTATCAGTATGTTCAGCTCCCCTGTTCTTTGTTCTCCATTTTAAAATATAACTTTCTGGTTTTCTTTGCCCCTTACCCTAGTCTCAGTAAAGAACTTTCCTGTCAGTTCTAATCAGTAGTTCACATCTGTTCCCCTCGTCTCCTGCTTTGACCTGAGTCTCCTCTAGTTACCTGTTCTGTAACAATCCTTCCTGTCAAACTGCTCACCCCACCACCCTGGTTCATACCCCTGCTCCCTTCAAAACAGCCAATCGGAATTAAAGTAGACTATGCGGTCCAACTATAGCCAATAGGGGAACAACACAGCAGTAGGGGCTACCTGTGTCAGGAATAAGAACCCCTTCCTCTCCCCTGTTTGGGTGTACACTCGCCATTGCTCCATCCATGAGAAGCACCCTTATATAGAAGTAAAAATTGCTTTGCTGAGAAAATTTATATTTGAGTGCTATTTCTTTTGTGGCACCAAAAATTTACATGTAACAAAAGGAAATACAGGTAAATTTAATTTCAAAAAACATGAGTAATTTTTAGTATGAAAATGTCCCATACAAATTTAATTTGGTGTCCGTTATTTTTATTTGCTAAAACCAAGCAATCCTAGTGCATTTAGTAAAAGAATCTGAGAGAGCTGACTACTAGCTGAGGACTCTAAATGCCTTATATAATATTGCCTACTAGTATCCTTGAAATGAGCTCCTTAGCCATAAGCCAATCAAAAATAATCCTGTACAGAAACCATACAAATACTCTGTAAGAACAGTTTTGATATTTTTATAAATGCAAAAAATATTTGAACAATATGTTACTTATAGAACAGAAGAAACATCCTCCACCTCCCATCTCCCCATATCTGAAATAGGGGGAAAACCAAGTCCTTACAAGTCTGTGGCTCTGGCCATGAAGTAGCCATACAAGCTGTGGAAGTCATAGTGAAGGCCCCCTTGAAATTCCGTGTCCATGCAGAGGGTTCTTGCAAATAGTAAGCGGTCCAGAACTCCTGGAGGGAAATACTCATCAGTGAGGCACTTCCTCATCAACCATTTTTAACAAAAGAGCCACCCAATTATTTTCTTCCTGATTACTGTGCTTTCCCCACCAATCTCCACCTGACCAAATCTGTTCCAGATTTTAAATTTCATCCTAAATGCTATTTCCTGTCTGGGACTCACATTCAGCCCTCCAAGGAGATGGATCGTTAAAATTAATCTGCATTCCCTCAAGCTCACAAAGAATCCTGGTGAGTGGAGGCGACTGAGAAACTTGCTCAGAGCAAAGGCAGTGGAGCTGAGTCTAAGTATAAAGCATATAATGTTTATCTACATATATTTAATCAAGAGAAATTGAGTGTACAATGTATAGGTATGAAGGTAGAGAGAAGGAATTTTTTCTTTTTTATAATACAAACCTCAGTCACACTTAAAAGAAAAATAGGGGCTGGGCACAGTGGTTTACACCTGTAATCCCAGCACTTTGGGAGGCCAAGGTAGGTGGATCACCTGAGGTCAAGTGTTTGAGACCAGCCTGACCAAGATAGTGAAACCCCGTCTCTGCTAAAAACACAAAAATTGGCCAGGTGTGGTGGCATGCACCTGTAGTCCCAGCTACTCAGGAGGCTGAGGCAGGAGAATAGCTTGAACCCAGGAGGCAGAGACTGTAGTGAGCCAAGATCATGCCCCTGCGCTCCAGCCTGGGTGACAGTCCATCTCAAAAAAAAAAAGGAAAAAGAAAAAGATGTGGCATTTGGGTAACAAGATGTGTAAATACTCAAACCCTGCATCTGAGAATTCTCATTGTTTGCATTTTCTCTTCCTCAAGCCTAAAATGGCAAGTCTTCTCTGCCACTTCGTCTCCTTGTGAACACTTCACTGGGGCCATATCTGCCTTCCTTCACAAAGTCTTGCCCATACCTAGGTGTGAGGCACAATTCCAGAAAGTGGTGGAACCAGGAAAGACTGAGGTTTTTTCTTACCCAGTACAACAGAATCAAGGTTTGGAGTCAGAAATGAAGTTGAAATGGAAGATGGGAAGAAAATTATATTTCTTGCACAGCTAAATGTGTGACATGAGATTCACAACCACTTCAATGCTCTTTCTCACGCTAATTAACGTGCACTATGCAATCCTGGAAAGGGGTGGGGCTGCCTGGCTATGGGCAAAAGTGGCCGGTCATACGTGAGTAGACAAAATGCTGGGGGCAGGGAGTGGGGTGCCCACCAGAAGCAAGTAGAAAGTGATAGAACTGAGGTTTTCTACAGAAAAAAAATCAAAAACAAAATTTACTTTGGCCAAAAATAGAATTTAGAGATTAAGAGAAAGAAACACGATAAATCCAGAGTGAAAAAAGAGTAGGGGAATACAGACAGAGCAGAGAAGAACAAAGAATAAGTTGAAAAAGCAAACAATGGATTTTGCAAGAGGTGAAGACTTCCTCCAAAAAATTATTTACTCCTTAAGTGACCAAAAGGAGTTAAAGAAACAGCTATACGTTGGTCTCAGGGGTATAAGTAAAGTGAGCAAACCAGAATACACTTGCAGAGGCTGTTCAGATGCCACACAAGACGGTTCTCTTCCTAGAAGTGTAAGGAGATTATGGCCTGGTGCGGTGGCTCACACGTGTAATCCCAGCACTTTGGGAAGCCAAGGCAGGTGGATCACCTGAGGTCAGGAGTTTGAGACCATCCTGGCCAACATGGTGAAACTCCATCTCTATTAAAAAATACAAAAATTAGCCAGGCATGGTGGTATGTGCCTGTAGTCCCAGCTACTTGGGAGGCTGAGGCAAGAGAATAGCTTGAACCCGGGAGGCAGAGATTGCAGTGAGCCGAGATCATGCCATTGCACAGGCAACAGAGCAAGACTCTGTCTCAAAAAACAAAAAAGAAGATTATACCTTTCCTTGAGGTTAAGCGGGGGCTACGTGACCAGACTCTGTCAAAAGAATGTGGGCAAATTGGGTATACTTCCTTTCCAGGCCTGCCCATAAAACCTTCTCCACCCTCTCTCTCCCTCACCCCGGAAGCCAGAACCAAAGGTTCCGAGGAGATGGGAGAACCAGACATAGATCTGAGTCACCACTTGGATTCTAGTCCCCATCCCTCACCAGAGTATGTTGTGAGCAAAAAGTAAACGGTTATTATGTTGATCCACTGAGATACTAAGGTTCACTTGTTGCCACAGCATAGTCTATTCTACACTGTGCCCCCACCCCACACATATTCTTTCAAAATCAGAGACTGGAGAATTAACCTTGACTAGAATTGGGACCTATAAATAGGATGTTGAATGAACCACTGATGCTTTAAACTGTTGCTAATGATCAGAGAGATGGAGGAGGGGAGAAGACAAAAGAATAAGGGAAGAAGGAAGGAAGGGAGAGTAAGGAGAAAGGAAGGAAGAAAGGAAAGAATAAAGAAAACAAGAAAATTACAGATTTATTTCAGTTTAAGGTAATATGTATCTTAAAGTGCCCTGAAATTCTCATAGATTTTAATACTGACACCTGCGGGACTTGGGGGAAAAGAAGAGGATGAAAGCACTGTGAACTCTAGACTGGAAGCACAGCCAGGGGAGGTAGCCAGGCTCAGACTCTGTCACATTGCCCTCAAGTTATGACAGCAAAAGGGTAATCAGAGACCCAACACTGCTGCCGAGACTTCACTAGAGGAGTGTTCAGGATGTTTAGGAGACCCCTTAGACTGGGAAGTGAAATTGCTCCTGACTACACAGAGGATTACTGAGGGGGTTTTAAGCATGGTTTATGCCTACATCATTAGCAAACAGATGAAAACTTACTAGGAGTAAAAGGAGGAAAGTTCAAGGTGTTTGATTCACACTGATCAGAAGCTTGATGTAAGCTAGATACTTCATTCATTTCCTTCAAAGACAGAAAACACACAAAGTATAAAATGCTATTGATCTATATTTAGCTGTTGTGAAATGCTTATTGAACTACGAGCCAGGATATCTGGGTCTCTTATTAACTGCATTCTGGATTTTAAATAATAACCCTAACTTTTCCTGCCCTCGGTTTTATCTTTTATAAAATTAAGTCACTGTATTAGGTTATATATTTGTAAGGTATGTTCCACTTCTAAATAACAGTGGGCACATTTTTACCTTTTATAAATTTAATTCAATCAGTTAATTCAGAAATACCATTTCAAAGGTTGACCCTTGCCTTACAAATTGTGAAGATTTTATTGTTGTTGTTAAGAATGTAAGCTAGACAGGGCGCCGTGACTCACACCTATAATCCCAGCACTTTGGGAGTTCGAGGTGGGCAGATCACCTGAGGTCAGGAGTTCCAGACCAACCTGGTCAACATGGTGAAACACTGTCTCTACTGAAAATACAAAAATTAGCTGGGCGTGGTGGCAGGTGCCTGTGATCCCAACTAATCGGGAGGCTGAGGCAGGAGAATCACTTGAACCCAGGAGGTGGAGGTTGCAGTGAGCCAAGATCATGCCATTGCACTCCAGCCTGGGGAACAAGAGTGAGACTTTGTCTCAAAAATAAAAAATAGGATGTAAGATACACTAAAATTTCAATAGTTCATTTATAACTGTCCCTATCCTTTATTCCTCTGAGTGAGGAACAATAAGAAAATATAATTAAGATCAAATCTATTTTTAAAAAATGAATTAAAAATAAGTGATGTCTAATCTTGGTAACAATTTTTTTCTATCATTACACATCTTATTCATCAGAGTCCTTCTAAAAATGACTGGTTCAATGCCTTGAACATTGGCACTTAGAGAATATGGAAGAACTATTGTTCTTCCATGAAAAATACAAGACCCTCATTAAATTATTCTCTAATATTAAATTTTTATGAATCCATGCTACAAAAAAATGACATTTATAACTTTTAATCAAACAGTATTTTTAAGCTGACAGTTAATGGAGAAAAAGAAAACCACGACCATGAGAAAGCAAAAGACTTTATCAAAATGAAATAACTGTTGATGAAAGATACAGGATAAGAACCTAAGGCTCTTAGGAGCCTAATTCACTGGATATAGACTCAGCATTCAGTAAAATAATTTTTAGTACTAATAAGTAAAGCAAACTATTTTTATTATACATCAAGATCAAAATTCATCTGAAAATTTGGCATATCTGTTTCCAAAGGAAATTTGATTCTGCAATAATAACTTACAATCCACACTCCATCAAACTCCAGACGATTATGAAAGTTAATGACCTGATATATCCACCACTCAGTGCACACTGGATTGCTATAATCAGGAAAGACTGTGGGTCCTGGATATCCCTAGGACACAAAGGGGAAGGCAGTAGTCATCAGTTTGGTTGAAGGTTTTTTACTTTTACCAATGGTGATTTCTTCCACTAGGAGCCCCATTTTGCTTGTCATTTCAGAATAAAATTTGTGACTCCTTCAAAACTAAACAATAAAAAAAACTAAACTAAATAATAAAATATATACAAGGAACAAGAGGAAGAAACAGTAAAAACAACTGAGTAAATCCATGAAAAGCCACATGTCCTTTTCTATGCAAAAGAAAAGTACAATTTCATTATTTCAGGCCAGTTGGGAGACAAATTGTTTAAAATGTTAGAAAGTCTATATAACATTTTCAAAGAGAATGAGCCTTTTTTCAATCGTTGTTAATTAAGGGTTACATAAAGTCTACTTTGAATAATTATGATTATAAATAATGTGTTGATATTTTTGGCATACAAACTATATCTTATAAATGAAGTTTGTGCTGTCCACTCAGGTCAATTGTTTTTATTCTGTCTCCCTTTTCTGTCTATGCCTATCAAACAGTAGATGTAACTATTTTCCACAACAAAGATATAACCATAGCCAGATTTTTGAAAGTTCTGAATTAAAAGGATACTAGTTTTTGGGAAACATTTTTGCTCATTTTCCCAGTAAATCTATAGGTTGTAATTTAGGAACAACTTTACACTCTGGAATATAATGAATATGTATTTTAAAATGTGGATAATTTTCAAAACTCAAGATGAGAGCTTGAAATACCCATGGTAATGGATTGAGCTCCTGGCTCTTTGTTTTAGGTGATGGGCACCAATTAACAATTAGATGGAACTTTGCAGCCCAGGAAACAGGTGGTGTCACAAAACAGTCACCTCCAGCAACATTCAACCTAGAGCAATCCAGCAAACTTTATTCAACCAAGTGCATTTAAAACAAACCACTTGCACCTCCACTACTGCTATCTCTGCCGCTATCTCATTAAATGATTCATGCCATTCATTGGTCAATGAAGTCAACCATCTAATTAGATCCTTGTAACTATTTGCAAGTTCTTAACTATATATCACTCAAGTACTAGTACTATTGAAATGACTCAAGTGTGGATAAAATTTTAGGTGAGCAAAATAATTTTTCTTTGACTATGGACTCTAAATACAGTATATACATATAGGCTTATCTAATATTTTAGAAATTAGCTTCTAATGAAACAGTAAAAGCAAAGACTTGGAATGCAGAAGGAAGAAAACTTTCCTACTGCTTCATGAAAAGTTAGAATCAATGAAAAAAAAAGTAAATAGAAGTAAGCATCAAAAGAGTCAACGAAAGGAATTAAGTGAGCAGAGTTTGGTAAAAGATCATCCATAACCCTGAAAAGACAGTTTTGCCATTCAGTGTTCTCACTCCTAAGTGGGTGTTGAACAGTGAGAACACATTGGACACAGGGAGGGGGACATCACATACCAGGGTCTGTCAGGGGGTGGGGGGCTAGGGAAGGGATAGCAGGGGGTGGGGAGATAGAGGAGGAAGAGCATTAGAAGAAACACCTAATGTAGATGATGGGGGGGTGGGGGGGATGGATGCAGCAAACCACCATGGCACATGTATACTTATGTAACAAACCTGCATGTTCTGAACATGTACCACAGAATTTAAAGTATACTAATAATAATTTAAAAAATAAAGAAAATAAAAAGTAAAAATAAAATATCGATAATTAAGTGATGTTTGATTTGATAGTTATAAATAATGTGAATAATTATAGCTATCAATATAAAAAACTATAAGATTCTTAGTTAATTAATAAATTTACTCTTGCTAACAGAAGAAATAAATAAATAAATAAAATTTTCTGTGAAACTCTAAAAAACGAAGAAGAAAAGACAGTTTTGCAAAATAAATGACTTAGGAGCAACAAGATCTGCAGTCACGTGAACTCTTTCCTTTTTTTTTTGAGACAGCATTTCACTCCTATTGCCCAGGCTGGAGTGCCGTGCAATGGCACAATCTCAGCTCACTGCAACCTCCGCCTCCCCAGTTCAAGTGATTCTCCTGCCTCAGCCTCCCTAGTAACTGTGACTACAGGCATGCACCACCATGCCTGGCTAATTTTGTATTTTTAGTAGAGATGGGGTTTCTCCATGTTGGCCAGGCTGTCTTGAACTCCTGACCTCAGGTGATCCTCCGGCCTCGACCTCCCAGAGTGCTAGGATTACAGGCGTGAGTCACCATGCCCTGCCTCATGAACTCATTAGATGAAGCACCAATTTGAATAAATCTTACAGGATCCAATCATCTAGTGCTGACCCTACATATAATTGAAATTGCCTATTTAAAGTACTCTCAGAAGTTCAGTTATCCTGAATATAAGCTACTGCTCAGCCTATTCCAATGTCTGAGACTGCTACCTTAGAATCAAAACTGTGCTCTATCTATAAGTCTTGTGTAAATTTAAAATATAGGTGGGCACAGTGGCTTACGCCTGTAATCCCAGCACTTTGGGAAGCCAAGGCAGTCAGCTCACCCCAGGCCAGGAGTTCAAGATGAACCTGGCCAACATGGTGAAACCCGGTCTCTACTAAAAGTACAAAAATTAGTGGAGTGTGGTGGCATGTGCCTATAATCCCAGCTACTCAGGAGGCTGAGGCAGGAGAATTGCTTGAACCTGGGAGGCATAGATTGCAGTGAGCCAAAATCACATCATGGCACTCCAGCCTGGATGACAAGAGTGAAACTCCATCTCAAAAAAATAAAAATAAAATATATTCGCTGAAATCAGTTCCACATTAATCTATGAGTATCTCGTTATATTTTTGTGGTTGAATTTATTGTCTTGGGAAAGAGAAATTTGGAGGTGGGAGGGCTTTAGGTAACTAATTTTTCTTCTAGTTACATATTGCTTCTCAATTATCTATGGTATTAGAGGATCAAGGGCTAGCTTTTTAAATCCTTCAGAATTATAATCATTCTATTATTATATCTACTGGCTTAAAATAGTAATAAAAGACACCTCTAAAGCCATAAAGAAACAGTAACAATATTGTAACCTGCCTTTCACCCATCTTCATACCAAAAGTACAAACTTCACAAAACAATCATAATTTACTTTGATTTTCTTAAGAGATTACCTCCCCAACAGCAGAGCCATGGTTCCCCATGATCCACACTCTCTTTATGCTTCCATTATTATAAGGCTCGTAGCTAGAGTCTTTGGCAATGCCAGGATTCTAATAAAGAAATATGACATAAATATTATTTTTATATTTTTTTGCACTGTGAAAGAAAAAATAAGGTAACAAGTGTTTGAACATACCATAATAATGAGATATTTCTGACCATTGTCATGTAACTCCTTGACAAAATCTGAGAGACCAGAATAAGCATCTTGATCAACAGTGAAATCCTTCTTTCCATCCATGTAGTCTATGTCAGAGTACTGGACATCCTGAAAGAGAGCTCTGGCCAGTTAGAACCTAGGAAAAAGCACTGTTCTGACGGAAAGTGTTATAGCTGTGGATCCTGACCATTAAAAATGAAGCCATATTTCCTAATGATCCTGGAACTACGGGGGGTTGGCTACATCTTAGGAGCAAATAAGCCATCTCTGAAAGACATGATCGTTTTTTTGGTTGCAGTTTTACCTCCTTGTCCTGACAGGTGCATGTCAGAAAGTATTGGGAGGATTTGAGGGCAGGAATTGCATCTTGTTCATTTCTGTAACTTGAGAGCTTGGATGCTTGACATAAAACAAGTGTTCTTTAAATGATTCTTTCAATGAATTATATTATTAATGTTACAACCATGTACCAACTTAACCCAAGCATCAAGCCATAATATATCATACAAGGAGAAAATGATCTTTTACCCTATGAAAGTGCTAGAGTAATGATTAACAATGATCGATGATGAAAAGATAAAGCCTTACTCAGCTAAATTCTCATGCACACATTTTTCCTTGTGTTTGCATACCAGCCTTTGAGGAGCAGGTGTTATTCTTAGTGAGCAAATTGAAATGTGAGGGAGTATGTGCACTGAGAGGTGCAAGGGGCTGATGAGAGCTTTGGGTACAGGCCCTTTGGATTCAGATGCTTTTTTTCCCCTATCTGCCACCTTCCTCAAAGACGAAAGAAGTGTTCTTCTAAGTATTCCTCAAGTATCATACAGTAGGAGTCTCCACCTTACAGGCTTGAAGGAAAATGTGGCTTGTAGCCTGTTGCCCAACATAGCATCCACTGTTCTAATACTGCACAGTCATGTAGGACCCAGGTGTCCTCCACAAACACATATAGGGAAAGCTTTTATTTGTGGAAGAAAATTCTTCCTGGAATTGGGTGTTTGCAGATAGCAGACATGGGAGAAGTAAAATTAAACACAGTCAATGCCCCTTTAACACCAAAATATATTAACGTTCTTTTCTTGCAGGAAAAATTGATCCCCCTGCCTGATCTCATCACTATTTAGAGAGGGGATTGAAGAACGCTGAAAGAAGGTACAAGTCATTCCCACCTGTACAATCTTTCTTCAGATGTTAACATTATATATATATATATATTATTTTTCTTTTGAGACTCTGTCACCCAAGCTGGAGTGCAGTGGTGCAATCTCAGCTCACTACAACCTCTGCCTCTGGTTCAAGTGATTCTGGTGCCTCAGCCTAATGAGTAGCTGGAATTACAGGCATGTGTCACCACACCTGGCTAACTTTTTTGCATTTTTAATGGAGACGGGGTTTCACCATGTTGGTCAGGCTTGTGTCGAACTCCTGTTCTCAAGTGATTCACCCACCTCAGCCTCCCAAAATGCTGGGATTACAGGTATGAGCCACCATGCCCAGCCAACACTATATCCTTGCATCAAAGTTTCAAAATCCCAAAGAGCTACCCCAAATAAGTTGTTCTGATAAATTCATTAGCCACATGTTATGCATCTCCTGGAGGAAATGATCAAGTATTACACATTTAATAATTATCTTGACTTACTGGTGGACGTTGAGCATCATAAATACTCATATAACCATGAAGGTTTAAAAGTAGAGTTTGTTAGATCTGGGAGGAGTATACGAGGTCACCATGAGAAAGTCATTTATTGTAAGTCATTATAATAATCAGCTCCTGCTACTCATGTCACCTCCAGTGTTGCTTTCTCTAATAACATAACAGCTATTAGATGATGTTCACCTTCTGTGCTAGATTCTTTACATGCATGGTATAAGGCATTTCTTACTACAAGAGCACCGAAGTTAGTCTTACATTCTTATTCTATAAAGGTGGAAACCAAGACTCAGAGATGTTAATTAACTAGCCCAAAATTGTTATGAATACACAAAGCTAAAATTCAAAGCCATATCTATCTGACTTTATTAACTGTATACTTTTCATAATCAGATACATAACTTAACATGCAAATTTCTGACAGCAAGTGTGCCTGACTATCAATCTATTGATTTACCTACATTTCTTCTAATAAATTGAATTCAATGAAAAAACTAAAACTGGGAAATGGTGTCAAACGCATTGTAAAAGAAGTTCCGACTTACATATGGTATCTCAGCTAAACGATTTCGGCTTACAACTTCTTTCAATTTATTGATGCCACCATAATCCCTGCGACTAAGCTGGAACCCAAGACTCCAATAGGAAGGCAAGAATGGCCGTCCAACAAGCTGAAAAGATAAGTAAGTAAGTGTCCAGGCTTTTAGCATCAACACTGTAGCCCCAGGCCTAACACTGGAAACATTAGTTCCATTTCCTTTTCTATGAGGTTTCCAGAGCTGAAAATGCCAGAGTTAAGAGTAATCTTCTAGAATAATTTGTGAAATCCCACAATCACATCCTTCTTTACTAAGTACATAAATGTATTCTCAACATCAGACACTAATAAAATTTGCAGAAAATGTTTCAATAATGGTGGCATCTTAAGGGATAACTGGTAACATTCATTATTTTGTAAGCATTTTTCTGAGTATTTGTTCACAGTGTGGCAAGGGCTAACAAGGGCATTTGGAATATCGTGGCACAGAGCAAACACAGCTCCTGCCCTCGGAGAACTCAGAGGAAACAAATAAATGTCTAATATAATTTCAGATAGTGGTGTGTGCAAAGGCTAAAGGAATAAGAACTGATGGGATTAGGATTAGGATTACAGACACACAACACCACACCCAGCTAATTTTTTTTTTTTTTTGAGATGGAGTCTCGCTGTTGCCCACACTGGAGGGCAGTGGTGTGATCTTGGTTCACCTCAACCTCTGCCTCCTGGGTTCAAGTGATTCTCCTGCTTCAGTCTTCTGAGTAGCTAGGACTACAGGTACATGCCACCATGCCTGGCTAATTTTTGTATTTTTAGTAGAGATGGGGTTTCATCTTGTTGGCCAGGCTGGTCTTGAACTCCTGACCTCGTGATCTGCCCACCTCAGCCTTCCAAAGTGCTGGGATTACAGGCGTGAGCCACTGATCCCAACTTCAAGTATCTTCCTTTTCTATAATTTGAGTCAAATACAAATAGCAAAGTTTATTCAGGTAGTTCCTTTTCACTAAATTTTAATTTATTGAATGAATAAGCTTTGCTGGTTTGTGGGCTACATGAATGGACTGCAAGTTACTTGAAAGTAGGATGGTGTCTGACTTCTTTTTGCATTTCTCAAGCCTTACACAGAGTCTCTTTGGCATTCAGAAAGCAACCAATAAAGGTCATCAAAATAAATAAACAATGGATGAAAGACTCACTATCCCAGCATTTATAATCCATACAGTTTGCTAATAACTTTTATTTTTCTCTTATTAATTTATAATGAGCATATGAGATAATAGCAGTAAATAATGACTATCTAAATGCAAAGACAAACCTCCAAGTATTCCTGAACCACTTGTTCTGGAGTGTTTCCTAGGAATACATAAAAGTCAAGAACGCCCCCAATTGTGCGGTAAGTGATTGCAGGAGCTGGCTGAAGAGTAACCTCTGAAAAGATTAAAATGAGATTTATTAGAATCTTATGGTTGAAAACAGAGTCTTCTCTAGAGTATGAATAGCTGAGCCATCTAAAAGAATCTCAGTCTCATTTTGAAAGGGATGAAAATCACACTGTTCTTTTTATCAGAGGATTGTTGTTGGAGTTTATACAAATACTGAATGTGTAAGAAACCAATGAAGAACTGAGGGATTTTTTTGTTTGTTTGTTTTTTAAGAGAAAGAAGAGGCCAGGCACAGTGGCTCACGCCTGGAATCCCAGCACTTTGGGAGGCCAAGGTGAGCAGATCACAAGGTCAGGACTTTAAGACCACCCTGAGCAGCATGGTGAAACCCCATTTCTACTAAAAAAACAAAAATTTGGCCGGTGTGGTAGCGCATGTCTGTAATTCCAGCTACTCAGGAGGCTGAGGCAGGAGAATTGCTTGAACCTGCGTGGTGGAGTTTGCAGGGAGATGAGATTGCACCACTGCACTCTAGCCTGGGCCACAGAGCAAGACTCGGTCTCAAAAAAAAAAAACAAAAACAGAAGAACAAATTTTATTTTATTTTATTATTTTTTTTTTTTGAGTCAGAGTTTCACTGTTGTTACCCAGATTGGAGTGCAATGGCATGATCTCGGCTCACCGCAGCCTCCGCCTTCTGGGTTCAAGCAATTCTCCTGCCTCAGCCTCCCGAGTAGCTGGGACTACAGTCATGCACCACCATTCCCAACTAATTTTTGTATTTTTAGTAGAGACGGGGTTTCACCATGTTGACCAGGATGGTCTCGATCTCTTGACCTCGTGATCCACCCGCCTCGGCCTCCCAAAGTGCTTTCAGGTTTTAGTTTCAACAAAAGTATTGTAGGCTCAATATGCCTTCTGTTCAACAGTGATCTCACCATAAAAGTAATTTTTTATAAAAGCAGAATCCTAAAACATATCCCTACCTACAGAAGACAAAAAGATGCTTCCTACCCATGGCATTGCTGTTCAACAGAAACACTCCAAAAGAGGAGCCACTGGCGTCTTCAAGGCATAAGAAGAATGTATGAGCTCCGTACAGATTAATCATGCCCTATCAGCAAAACAGAAGAAAAGTAATACTGTTATGTGTTAAGAAAGTTTCCATTCACCCTAAAATAAATTCAAAAGCCATCTATAATATATACTTTGTCAACACTTCATGTAGTTTAACATTGTATTAGAAGGCACTGAAATGATATTATCAACTGGAAAATGAATAAACAAAATATGATATATCTATACAATAGAATTCCATTCAATAATAATAAATAAAATAATTATACACACTACAACATGAATAAACCTTTAAAAGTGTTATGCACAAACAACCATATATTGTATGATTTCATTTATATGAAATGTCTAGAAAAGTCAAATCTATAGGGACAGAAAGTAGATTAGTAATTGGCTAGGGCTGCAGCGAGCTCTGGAGTTTAAGTCTCAAAGCTCAGAAGGAATCCTATTAGGGTGATGCCAAAGTTATAGACCTGGATTATGATGGTGCTGGCACAACTCAGTAAATGTGCTCAAAGTCACTGAACTGCACACTTAAAACAGGTGAATTTTATGGCCTATAAATTATAATTCAATCAAGTTATTTTGTAAACATTGAAACCTATTTGCTATGATATATGCTAAAATATTAGAAAGTTATGGTAATATGTAATTTTGAATTTTTTATGCCTAGTTTTATTTTCTAATGTTTCAATAGTTAGCATGTAATACTTAAGTAATGAAAGAAGCCTTAAAACTAATAAAAAAGAGACAGAAAAAATATTGAATCTGTGACAAAGCTGTGATGAACACTGACATAAAAAGAGATAATGTTCCCAGCTACTCAGGAGGCTGAGGCAGGAGAATTGCCTGAACCCAGGAGGCAGAGGTTGCGGTGAGCCGAGATCGCGCCGTTGCATTCCAGCCTGGGTAACAAGAGTGAAACTCTGTCTCAAAAATAAAAAATTTAAAAAAAGAGAGATAATGTGTGTGTATAACTCTAAGTGCTGTAAGAACAAAAGATGTTGAGATTAGAAATGTGGAGAATATTTTACAAGTTCTCTGTGTGACAATGTCATAACCTTAGCTGCAGCGAAGGCAGTAACTCTGATAATGGTAATTACCAGTAGAGGGGAAAAAAAGAATCAACGTGATTTACAAAATTGAGAAGACCAATAAGCCTTGGCTAGATGTAAAATTATAGCCAGGAAAACTCATCGCACCACACTTGGGTAGCACACAGACAATTAAGAAAAAAAAATTTAAGAAAGAAAAAAGCAGGAGAGAAAGGAAAGAAAAAAGAAGATAGGAAGGATGGAAGGCATTACATCTAATTTGTGACTATACAATTTAGAAATGTCAGCTATAGAAAGTCAAATGTAATACAATTCTTAGTATTCAATATTTGCCAGGGCCCTTGACCAAAAATTTATTGAATGTGTTAGTCATTGTTTTTCTGTCCTTGCTGTGCTCAGCAAGTTCACTCCCTCCATTGCATCAGATGCTGGTAGCTGAGCTACAGGTTAATGTGCTACTTGCTTTGTTCATCTCCTGCGAAATACGACCTGCAAAATGTCAGCTCGCTCTCTCCCTTGTACCGTACTTCAACCCACAGCTCTTGCACAAATCCAAGAAATATGATCAGCACAATGGAGGCTTCAAGACATGCTCTACAAACCTATGTGACTCAAAGCGTTGTCCATGATCCCGCCCCAAACCCTTTGTTATCAGTCAGCCACAAGACAAGTGTGAAAATCAAAAGTCAGTTTAGAAATTCTTTCATAGGAATTGAAAAGGGTAATTTTAGTCTCTTCAATTGAAAATGTAGGCTTTTTTTGGTATATCTTTGGGTTTTTTAATTTCATTTTCCCAGTAATATATTTTAATTGTATTTTGCAAAATTATTGCCCATGATGGATTATTTTTTTTTAGGAGAAAGAAACTTGTCCTTCACTCCAGATAAGCTGAGAGGCACTAATCTAGAGCAGTCCTTCTCCCACTTCAATATGAATGTGAGTCTCCTGGGGATCTTGTTAAAATGCAGATTTAGATCCAGTAGGCCTGGGATTCTGCATTTGTAAAAACCTCCCAAGTGATGCCAATGCTGACATCTCTGAAACATACTTTCACAAGCAAACACCTAGAACAGCATGAAAGCTTTCAAAAGAGACATGTTTAGTCCACTGAGTTCTACCGAGCATGGCTCCTGCTGAAGCTCTCCTCTCCTCAGTTATTAAACCAAGACATAGTCATTTGGCAGAAGTATTTTCTAATATACACTAGGTTCGAATATAATCATGAAATTATATATCCCATTACAAGTGAGATTTTTTTAAATGCTACATTTCTAATTGCTAGAAAATTTCTAATTTAAATTTTATTTCTAATACTGCTATATTCCTGAGTTTATAGGCCTCAAGAACAAATATTCCTCAACACTAACATACGTAAAATGAGCAAAGTAAGATACAGATGTATTTCTGCAGGCTACTTTTAGGAAAGGAAGCAGGGTATCCCTTACTCAGGAGGAAGGCACCTCACCTCAGTGGGGGTGGCATCCCGGGTGAAGATGGGCCAGGTCTTCCAGGTCATGTTGTGGAGGTACTGCTGGTGCACATGTTCTCCCAGTCCATACACATTGGCACTGGGCAGTCGGAAAGACAGCTGCAGGTACTGCTGGGCAAACTGGAGGGGCCCAATGCTTGTGTCCAACCTGGGCCATGGGGTAAGTAAAGCAAGAATCAACGAAAACACTCCTTCCTCTGCCAGGAAGCTATCTTCTCCTTTCCACATACACTTAGACATCTGTTGTTTCAGGCATTATCATCAATTTTCATGCTACCTTAGAAGACCTTTCTAGGACACCTCTGGTTCTTTGATTCTAGAGGAAGACAGCATTAGTGGCAGAATGCCGGGAGCTCAGAACAATTGGGGAAAGAGGGCAACAGAGTTGACTTCACATTTAATGTGCATCTAGTGCATTCCAGGCACCACTCTGGGTGCTTTATAAACAACATCTCATTGCCCCTAGCAAAAGTGGGTATTTTGATTCCCCATTTTTGGAAAAGGAAACTGATACTGTTGAGGAGAGATATTTTGCCTGACATATAACACAGCTGAACTGACTTTTATCTGCTGGTGCCAGGATGTGAATACTGGTTTTACTGACACTAATACTTCTATTTTCCCCAGTACACTTTGTGAATTAAGCTCAAACTGTTGATCATTGCTTGATAGTAAGATTCACAGTAAATAATTTAAAATGATAGACAATGAAGTTTGAGTTCCAGTATGAATAATAATTTAAAACAATAAAACCCTCTATTTTACAACATATGTAAACCGCAAGTATATTTATGTGTATATATAACTATATATTATACAAATAAATATATTACATATATTATACATGTAATATATAAATATATATTATTAAATTTTAAATAAACACATTATATATTTATTATATAAAATATATTTAATATATTGATGCATATTAAATATATATTAAAATGCATATTTAATATAAATGCATATGAACATATATAGATATATAATCTATAAATATATGGTATGTAAATATAGTTAATATTACATATTTGTATATTAAAACATTTAATATAATCTATGATATTAATATATTTAATATTATATATATTACATATACTTATATAACTTAGCAAATATTTTAGTATTACATTTTAGTATCCTTTGTTTGAGGAGCATAATAGACTAACACTGTTATCTTACAGCAAAAGCTTTGACATTTTTCTGATATTCAAACATTTTCTCTAGTTGTACTTATTTCACTGCCCACCCACGGTAAATCAGAATGAGTAATATTGGAACTGTGTATTCAAAGATGCAAAAAGAGGGTCAAAAAGCTCACAAGACTCTTCTGTTGCTTGTCCTCATTATTTTGATGCTGAAAGGTTTATCAGTAGCCTCCACGTAATAGCTCAAATTGGTGGCATTAGCAGTGCTATTAACTGTGTCAATATTTTCATGGGAAACTTCATAGCGTATGTTATTAAAGTCAGTGATCTGTCAAAAGAAAAACAGAAGGGACAACTGCAGATAAGACCCGTTCCTTGTAGACAGAGCCCCTTGTAGACAGAGCCCCTTGTAGACAGAGTAGATGAGTGCCCCATCAAATAAAAATTAGCCTGCCCATCCCATCCAGAGATCCCTGCAGAATGGGAGAGAGGTACTTTCTGCCTCCACACCTCAAGCCCAATGTGGGCACACTGCTTTCTTCAGAAATATATTTAGCAGTCATTCCCAAACTAACCTTAAAATGAAACCGATTGGATGTCTGATATTCAGCTGTGAAAAGGGTGGTGGTGACATCATTTCCAAACAGAGATGGGGATGGCAACCTTTTCAACTGGGCAGTAAATCCTAGGGGTGACAAAATATGGGGAGAGAAAGAGACTGACTTTTAGCCTTTTTTTTTTTTTTTTGAGATGGAGTCTCGCCCTGTCACCCAGGAGTGCAAGGCTCACTGCAACCTCCACCTCCTGGGTTCAAACGATTCTCCTACTTCAGCTTCCCAAGTGGTTGGAATTATAGGCACCCACCATCACACCCAGCTAATTTTTGTATTTTTAGTAGAGACAGTGTTTCACCATGTTGGCCAGGCTGGTTGTAAACTCCTGACCTCATAATCTGCCCACCTTGGCCCCCCAAAATGCTGAGATTACAGGTGTGAACCACTGCACCCAGCCAACTTTTAGCTTTTATTTTATTTTGCAGTTAACAAATACAGTCAGAAAGACAGTTCTAATATACACTAGGAGCTGTTCCCAGGGAGCTACATCAGGGCAGTGCTCACCTGTGCTTGTATTTGTATGGCCATTGCTGGCTTCATAGCCCCAGTTCCTAGGGAAGAAGCACCTAGGGACATTGGCATCTGCCACAGGCAACCAGCAGCACTTATATTTCCATCTGCAGGTATCCTGTAACAATGACACAGAGTTAGCAGTATATAAAATGAGGGAAGGAAAGTATTATCTGTCTGTTTATTTATAACCCATTTTATTCCAAGGAGAAGTTAAGATAGGTTATAATTACATTCATTAATTTATTCTTTACTTACTCATGCATCTATCCAACCATGCAATATATATTATCTACCAGACATGGAACTATAATACAGATAAATAAGATATAGCTTGTGCCTTCTGCAAACTTTTTGTCTAGTGGCAAATCTATACAATTAGGAAAGCAATTACATACAGTAGGATGATATGAGGGCTCCACCAGGGGTGTCCAGGAGCTGAGGGAACACACAGTCACTGTACCCAGCCTAGTAGGCTTGGAGTAGGGTGGGGAGTGCTTCCAGGTAAATGAAAGGTAAGTCCTGTCATAAAGCACCAGGGGAAATTAGACAGAAGAACAGTGTTCCCAGCAGAGAAAGCAGCAATGCATGACAAACTCAGGAAAACCACACATTTCTTGTGCCAAAAACACTGAGTATGAGAATGAAGCTGGAAATCACATAGTATTTTTAACCATGAGTGGGCTGGAAGCCAGTCCAAGCAGTTTGGACTTTCCCATGAGGAACAGTCATGCAAGTGGCTAACAATACAACAAAAAAGAAAAGCATTTCCAGAAAGTAAGCAAGCTGAAGCTAAGAAAACTAGAGACAATTAAAACTAGGACAGAGTCTAACACAAAAATTCACAATGTCTATACTATGTCCAAGGCAAAAACAAATCACATGTGGATTTTTCTCAGAGTAGTTTGATTATGAATACTCTTTTGTTGTTATTTAGCAAGATTTATTTTGTAAAGATCTTATAATTTTCAGATTAATTTACATAAAATTATTTTGTTATGATAAATAAAACAAATAGGAACTGGGACCAATGTGTTAGAATAAACACAGGCATCCACCTTCCTCATCTAACTAAATTTACATGAAATGACAGAAATAATTTTAAGAAAAAAATTACAAATCTATTTATAAAATAGCAAAATAAAATGCAATATTACAGGCCAGAAATTTAATTAGAATTGAATCCTTTTTTTTTTTTTTGAGACAGAGTTTCATTCTTGTTGCCCAGTCTGGAGTGCAATGGTACCATCTCAGCTCACTGCAACTTCTGCCTCCCGGGTTCAAGTGATTCTGCTGCCTCAGCCTCCCAAATAGCTTGGATTAAAAACTCCCACCACCACACCCAGCTAATTTTTGTATTTTAGAAGAGAGAGGGCTTTACCATGTTAGTCAGGCTGGCCTCAAACTCCTAACCTCAGGTGATCTGCCTGCCTCAACCTCCCAAAGTGCTGGAATTATACTATGCCCAGCCTACAATTGAATTTCAATTATAGTTACAACTACAAATGAAATTCAATTACAATTCAAGGTGAGATTTAGGTGGGAACACAGAGCCAAACCATGTCCTTTTGCACCTGGCCCCTCTCAAATCTCATGTCCTCACATTTCAAAACACAATCATGGCCTTCCAACAGTCCCTTAAAATCTTAACTCATTCCAGCATTAATCCAAAAGTACAAGAACAAAGTCTTATCTAAGATACCTATGAGTCCCTTCCACCTATGAGCCTGTAAAATCAACAGCAAGTTAGTTACTTCCTAGATACAATTAGGGTACAGGTATTGGGTAAATATACCCATTTCAAATCGGAGAAATTGTTCAAAATGAAGGGGCTGCCGGCCCCCTGCAAGTCTGAAATCCAACAAGGCAGTCAAATCCTAAAGCTCTGAAATAATCTCCTTTGACTCCATGTCTCACATGCAGGTCATGCTGATGCTAGAAGTGGGCTCCCACAGCCTTGGGCAGCTCTTCCCCTGTGGGTCTGCAGGTACAGTCACCCTCCTGGCTGCTTTCATGGGCTGGCATTGAGTGTCTGCCACACACAGCGCAAGCTGTCAGTGGACCTACCATTCTGTGAACTGGAGGACAATGGCCCTCTTCTTACAACTTCACTAGGCTGTGCCCCAGTAAGGACTCTGTATGGGGGCTCTGACCCCACATTTCTCTTTTGCACTGCCATAGCAGACGATCTCTATAAGTACCCTGCCCATGAAGAAAACTACTGCCTCGAGATCCAGGCACTCCCATATGTCTTTTGAAATCTAGGCAGAGGTTCCTATGCCTTGATTCTTGACTTCTGTGCACCCACAGGCTCAACAACATGTAGAAACAGCCAAGACTTGGGGCTTACACACTCTGAAACCATGGCCCAAGCTGTACCTTGGCTTCTTTTAACCCCAATCTATGGTTGGAGCTGCTGTGACACAGGATACCAAGTTCCTAGGCTGCACAGAGCAGAGGGACCCTGGGTCAGGCCCATGAAACCATCTTTTCCTCCTAGGCCTCCTGGCCTGTAATGGAAGGGACTGCTGTGAAGATCTCTGACATGCTGTGGAGACATTTTCCCCATTGTCTTGTAATTAACATTTGGCTCCTTATTATTTATGCAAATTTCTGCAGCTGGCTTAAATTTCTCATCAGAAAATTGGCTTTTCTTGTCTATTACATAATCTGGCTGCAAATTTTCTGAACTTTAATGCTCTGCTTCCCTTTTAAACATAAGTTCCAATTCCAAACCATATCTTTGTGAATACATAAGCTCAATTCCATTAACAGTACCTCTTGAACATTTTGCTGCTTAGAAATTTCTTCTGCCAGTAACCTAAATCATCTCTCTCAAGTTCAAAGTTTCACAGATCTCTATGGCAGGGGCAAAATGCTGCCAGTCTCTTTACTATAACATAGCAAGAGTCACCTTTATTCCAGTTCCCAGTAAGTTCCTCATCTCCATCTGAGACAAGCAGCATTTGGTCAAAGCCATTTAACAAGCCTCTAGGAAATTCCAACTTTCCCACATCTTCCTGTCCTCTTCTGAGCCCTTCAAACTGTTTCTATCTCAGCCTGTTAGCCAGTTCCAAAGTTACTTCCACATTTCAGGTATCTTTACAGCAACACCCCTCAACCTGGTACTAATTTTCTAGATTCGTCAGTTCTCACACTGCTAATAAAAACATACCCAAGACTGTGTAATTTATAAAGGAAAGACATTTAATGGACTCACAGTTCCACATGGCTGGGGAGGCCTCACAATTATGGTGGAAGATGAAGAAAGTGCAAAGGGACATCTTACATGGCAGCAGGTAAGAGAGCTTGTGCAGGGGAACTCCCCTTTACAAAACCATCAGCTCTCATGAGACTTATTCACTACCATAAGAACAGTATGGTGGAAACTGACCCCATGATTCAATTATCTCCACCTGGCCCACCCTTGACACACTAGAAGTATTACAATTCAAGGTGAGATTTGGGTGGGGACACAAAGTCAAACCATATAATTTGCACTAAAAAAAGAGGAATGTGTAATTTTAAGATTTTGAACAAGATTTTAAACTCCTTAATATTTCAACTGAATTACAAAAGAAAACAATGAAAGAGAAATGTTATGAAAAAAAACTTTAAAAATCAAGTTTCAGATTATCCCAGAAAATAATATAAAAAGATAAAGCAATGGAAAATATAAAAGAAAGAGTAGGTGAAGTGACAGATAGACTCAGATAGCAACACTCAACTAAGAAGACTCCAGAAGGAAAAAGAAGACAGACGAGGGAGAGAAAGACAAAGAAAATGTCACGGATCATGAACACCTCAGTCTACAACCCACGACAGTAGAAAAGTAGAAAACAAACACACAAAAAGTATGTAATAGAATAAAAACAAAAGCAGTAACTATAAAGAAGCAAGTAACTACATTCATCAATTCAAAACATCCATTGAGTGCCTTCTCTGTTAAGGAATTCGTCCAGATTCCAGGGACACAGTGCTGTCAGCAAGGACAGGGGGACAGATACCACCGTTAATCAAATCAAGTTTGTTTCCACCACTGATTTGCAGTGTCATTTTTATTACAAACTAAATTTAAGTGCATACATATGAGCATGTGAATATGCATTTTAGGACTTCCTATTATATACTAATGGCTCATATGTCATTCCTGCTGTTACTATAGTGTGAGGATATGTTTTGTTATCATTCTAAGAGTTTCTTTGGAAAGATTAAGGAAATAGAAATACCTTATCAAGTCTTATTTTGATAAAAAAGGGGAAAAAACAAGATTTAAAATAAAAATGAAAAATGACAACAGATATAAAGAATAAGAATCATGAGAAAACTTATTTGCGACAAACGTTAGCCAATGAATGTGAAACTAAATTAAATGAATCTTTACATAGTAGAAGTTTAAATAGTCAAAATTGTATAAGAAGATATAGAAAACCTGAAATGACCAGTAATCATGAAAAACTGTGATAGTTAAGAATCTTTCCCTAAAAAAAATCTTGCCCAAATGAATTGAAGAATAAAATGTCCTCATATTATATACATTATCTTTCCAGAATACAGAAAAAGATGGAAAATTTACTAATTTATTTTATGAAACCAGAATAATTCTGGTAGCAAACTGAATATATAGGCCCATTTCACTTAGAAAAACATAGATCTGCAAAATTTCAATAAAATATGATTGATTTGAATTCATTCATGTATTAAAAGAATTACTACATAATATATGAATCAAGCAAAAGTTAGAATGGTTCTAAATTAAGAAATATTTTAATGTAATCCACAACGCTGACAAAAGAAAATCATATGATAATTTCAACAGATGCAACCTATTTTAAAAATATAATAATGTAGTAAATTTAAATGCCTTAAACTTAAAACGCAAGTTGGAAAAAATATATAATATGATAAAATTTTTGTTAAGACAAAATAAACAAATATATAGATGCAAAAGTTTAGAAAGATCAGGAGAAGGACATACACTAAGGTTTTTATTTGATTCTGGATGATTCTGGGGGAGGGGATTTCGAGATAGACGGGAAACATTAATACTTTCTCATTTTATTCTATACACAACTATAATGTCTCAATCTGTCCTGTTAAAGAACTGTGTTCAGTGTAGATTTTGACACGAAATACAAGAATATATCACAACACTACTCATTTGAAAAAGGCTTAGTACTGACAAGTATTTTAGAGGCTAACATCTGATATCATTTTCCTGAAAAACCACAACGTGAATATAACTTAAGTCAGTACTTCATACCTATTATAAACAAAACCGGCCAGGCATGGTGGCTAACAGCTGTAATCCCAGCACTTTGGGAGGGCAAGGCAGGCAGATCACCAGGTTAGGAGTTCCAAACCAGTCTAGCTAACATACTGAAACCCCATTTCTACTAAAACTGCAAAAAATTAGCCAGGTGTGGTAGTGTGCTCCTGTAATCCCAGCTACTGTGGAGGCTGAGGCAGGAGAATCGTGTGAACCCTGGAGGCGGAAGTTGCAGTGAGCCGTGATCACGCCATTGCACTCCAGCCCAAGCAATAGTGGGAGACTCCATCTCAAAAAAAAAAAATAAAATGAAATAAACAAAACAATCACATTATAACCATACAATCTTTTTAAATGTACTTTTTAATTCTCCATAGATCTAATTGACATTCCTGTCTCATTCTCTTCCGATAACAAAAAAGGCTGGAAGGGATTAATGAAGAAAGAATTTGAAGGTCTGGATGGCCTGTGGATAACTGATTTTCCTAAGTCAGACATTAAGTGCCTCTGCTCCCTCTGAAACCTGCGTCAGCGTAATTCAAAAGATCAGTTTCATTGTCATAAATTGTTTCAAAGTTCACAGACCTCTATCAAAAGCAATAAACATTTAGGTAAGCATTCTGCCCTAACATTCCTACTTCAGTGTTCAACCATTACCAATATTCCAGATACTGAAGGCCAAACCCCAGAGGCAATTACTATCCAATATTTCAGTCCCCACATCTCTTCCTTGTGGATTTAGAATGGAGACAGAGAAACATATGAGACACTACTATAGTCCAGGCATGAGTTACAGTAACACAGACTCTCATGAACTCATGCCTGGGATATAGCAGTTGACTCACAAGTCTCCCGCTCTCTATTCTTTCTGTCACATCAAACTTGAGCATTCTCCAGTTATCTTCCAAATAGATTTTATGTCATTTTTAATCAGAAATTATTAATTAATATAATTTAAAAATTAAAAGTTAACTTGGAAATTGTCTAGTACAACTTCCATTTGAAATTGTCCAGCACAACTTCCATTTGATGCAGGGATTTCTTCAATGCAGTCTCTAATAGATGCTTAAAATCTGTAAATGAGGCCAGCACAGTGGCTCATGCCTGTAATCTCAGCACTTTGGGAGGTCAAGCAGAAGGATCACCTGAGGTTGGGAGTTCGAGACCAGACAGACCAACATGGAGAATTCCCATCTCTACTAAAAATACAAATTAGCCTGACATGGTGGTGCATGCCTGCAATCCCAGCTACTTGGGAGACTGAGGCAGAAGAATCACTTGAACCCAGTGAAGGCTTCAGTGAGCTGAGATCGAGCCATTGCACTCCAGCCTGGGCAACAAGTGCGAAATTCCGTTTCAAAAAAATATATATCTGTAAATTATATGTAACCAACTTCTTCCAAAACCAAGAAATTCCACTTCTATAATTAGTATTTTATTGCAATGTTATTTATTAGTAGTAGCTCAAATCAGTCTCCAGAAAGTTTTATTTTCTAAAACCTACCATAGCTGCATATTGACTTTGAGATAAACTGTCTCAAACTATATTGACAATTTAGAAAGAAAAGAAAATCATGTAACCTATGAATTAAAAGACATGGAAGGAAATGGAATGCACATTGGAAAAAACTTCCAATTGTTTTTATTTGCAAATAACATTATCATATCAGAAAACAACAAGCGTCTACAAACTAGGACAATTAATAAGTAAATTTAAGATTTCTGGTTACAATATCAGTATTCAAAAATCGATTTTAAGTCTACATATCAACAACAGAGAAACAGAAAATTAAAATTTTAAGAATAAAACTTGAAGAGAATTAAATAGAAAAAATGTAGCAAAGACATATGCAAAGGCTCTATATCAAAAATTTGCTAAAATCTCAGTACCTAGAAGGATATATACTATGTTTAGGGATTGAAGTTTTCACCCTTATAAAGATGGTCATTTTCCCAAATTGAACCTGTAAATTTTATGCAATCACAATAAAATTTCTAGCAAGTTTTGTGAGAAAACTGTCAGGCTGTTATGACGGACGTGAAAATTAAAATGTATTCGGAAACCTAAAGGGCAAAGAGTAAGCTAGGCAATCTTGTAGAAAAGCAAGCATGATTTGGAGGACTTCTACAACCACACATTAAGACCTGTCATAAAGCAATAGTAATTAAGGCAATACGGTATTGGCAAGAGAATGAACTGATAATTGAACAAACAGATTCCAGAAGCAGATCCATACCTATAAAGACATGATTTACAGGAAAGGTGTCACTAAAACGCACGGAGGAAAAGATGGTCAGTTCAATATGTGGTGATGGATCTATTAAAAATTCAAGAAAAATAAATGTTTCTGGCTGGGTGCGGTGGCTCACATCTTTAATCCCAGCACTCCGGGAGGTGGAGGTGGGCAGATCAAAAGGTCAGAGTTCAAGACCAGCCTGAACAACATGGTGAAACCCCATCTCTACTAAAAATACAAAAAATTAGCCAGGCATGGTGGCGCACACCTGTAATCCCAGCTTCTCAAGAGGCTGAGGCAAGAGAATTGTGTGAACCTGGGAGGCAGAGGTTGCAGTAAGCAGAGATCACCCAACTGCACTCCAGCCTGGGAGACAGAGTGAGACTCTGTCTCAAAAAAAGAAAAAAAAATGTTTGTGGAGTCTTACCTGTTACCATATATAAAAATCAGTACTATACTTGTTAAAGATCTAACTTTGAAAGATAAAACAATAATGCTTTTTAGGGAAAAATAGTAATATATTTTTATGATCTTGGAGTAGGCAAGAATACCTAAATAGAATATGAAATGAACTAACCATTGAAAAAGTGATAAAGTGAACTGTTTTAAAATTACGAACTATTTGTCATCAACAGTCACCATTAAGAGAGTTAAAGGACAAACCATAGACTAAGATATATATCTAACAAATGATTTGTACCCAGAATACATAAATAACTACCACAAAGCAATAAAAAGATGAACAGTTCAGTAGAAAAAAAGGCAAAAAATTAAAAAGACATTTCATAAATATGATTATCCAACTAGCCAATAAGCATTTCTAAAGATGTTTAACCTCATTAGTCATGAGAGACACGAAAATTAAAACCACAGAATGGTTAAATTGAAGAAGGAGTAAACATCAAACATCGATTAGGATGTAGAGCAAAGGAACCCTTATAAACTACTAAAAGAAATGCAAATCGATACAAATACTTTGAAAAACGATTTTGCAGCGTCAGCTAAAGTTAAACATGTACATATCCATGAACTGGAAGTTCTATCCTTAGGTAGAGAGCCAATAAAAATTCTTCCAAGTGTTCACCCAAAGACATGTAAATTTGATGCAATTTTTTTTTTTGAATCCTGCTATTTATAACAGCACGATTATACCTGTAATCCCAGCACTTTGGGAGGCTGAGGCCTCACTTGGGATCAGGAGTTCGAGACCAGCCCGGCCAACACAGCGAAGCCCTGTCTCTACTAAATATACAAAAATTATCAGGGCATGGTGGTGTGCACCTGTAATCCCAGCTACTCGAGAGGCACAAGAATCTCTTGAACCCAGGAGGCGGAGGTTGCAGTGAGCTGAGATCTTGCCATTGCACTCCAGCCTGGGCAACAGAGTAAAACTCTGTCTCAAAAATAATAATAATAATAATAATCCCAGCCCTTTGGGAGGCCAAGGTGGGCAGATCACCTGAGGTTGGGAATTCAAGATCAGCCTTACCAACATGGAGAAACCCCATCTCTACTAAAGATACAAAATTAGCTGGGCATGGTGGCATATGCCTGTAACCCCAGCAACTCAGGAGGCTGAGGCAGGAGAATTGCTTGAACCCAGGAGGTGCAGGTTGTAGTGAGCCGAGATCACATCATTGCACTCCAGCCTGGGCAACAAGAGCAAAATTCTGTCTCAAAAAAAGAAATAAAAAAGAAAAAGAAAAGATATATATATATATATACATATATATATACACACATATATATGAAAAAGCTGAAATAGAGATACTTTCTATGTTTTTATAATGAGACGATTCAAAATTATCAAAATGTCAATATTGTTTAAAATTTAACCTAAAATTCAGTTAACCTAATTAATATATCAAGATACAGAATGTAGAATACGGGGTAAAGAAATAAAGTTTAAATATATAAATATATACAATTTTTATGATAAAGTCATAAGTCACAACTAAGCAGGGTTCAGGTAGCCGATTTCTACAGAAGCTACTCAGGAGAAAACTTGTGTTCTTTACCACATATTCATTGGGACCTCTATTGCCAATAACATAATTCCAGAAGGTTCTTGCTGCAACAAGCTGCCTGAGTTCTGCAAGTGACTCAGCCAGTGACTCAGGTAAATGCTAACCTATTTTCTATCACTATTGATTTGCCTTTTTGCATGTGTTAATGACTTCTAGTCTGAAAGAATACGCAGTCTACGACACAAACATTTAACCTTTCTACCACAATCCCTGAAATCACACCTAAGGTACATTTCTAACACCTGTAGTCACCCTCCACTTTAAACTTTATAATCCACAGATTAATATTCTTGTTAGCTTTTCCTACTCTCCCTCTTTCTCAATCCTGCTTCCCGCACATTCTTAATACTGTTATTTCAATAAGGTAAGAAACAAATAATTCCAAACACATCAGAGGCTCAGAAGCCATGCCACCCCACCCTTTGCCCATTTCACATATTCATTGCTTTTCAGTAACATCCAGTAGGCCACCAAAAGGACCTTATTTCTCTGACCTCTGTCACCGCCTGGCCAGGTGTGCAGTCTATCCTGTCCGACTGGTCAATCTCTGGACACTCTGGAGTAAATGAAGTATCTGCATAGGAATCAAAGGATAACGTTGAAAATGCGTAGTGTAATTATCACAGTTCCAGGAAGGAAGCCAGCAAAGTTACAGACTTTCAGCCAATTCTCCACACAACAGATCACCAGTAGCTGGTAACTACATTTGCATACAATGTTTAACACTTCTCCGAGGTTAATTAAACACAGTTATTTCTAGTTTGTTTGCTTTTTAAACAGATACAGTTTATATAGCATAAAATTCACCCTCTTCAAGTGTACATGTCAATGGTTTTTAGTTGTGAAGTTGTATAACCTATGACCACTATCTAATTCCAGAACAATTTCATCACCCCAAAAAGAAATAACATAACCATTAGCAGTTATTTTCTATTCCCCTGTTCTCCCAGGCCCTGGTAAACATGAATCTATTTTCTATCACTATGGATATCCCCATTCTGAACATTGCCTATAAAAAGAATCATAAAATATGTGGCCTTTTGTGCCCGGCTCCTTTCACTTAGCCAAGTTGGCGTAACATTTTCCAGGTGTATCCGCGTTGTAGTATGTATCAATACTTCTTTGCTTTTAATGGCTGAATCCCATTCCTTCATGTGGATATACCACATTTTGTTTATCTATTCATCAGTTCACGTACATTCGGGTTGTTCCTACTTTTTTACTGTTATACATGATTCTGCTATGATCATTCACATACAGGTTTTTCTGTGACCTATGTTTTCAGTTATCTTGGTTATATACCTAGAGGTGGAATTGTTAGGTCATGTGGTTAACTCTATCTTTAGCTTTTTGAGGAACTGACAAACTTTTCCAAAGTGACCTCACCATTTTACATTCCCATTTGCCATGTGTAAGAATTCCAATTTCTCTGTGACCTCAACAACACTTGTTTTTATCTGTTTTTAATTGTAGTCATCCTAGTGGGCGTGAAGCAATATCGTCTGGACTTGCACTTGCCAAATAATCGATGATGTTGAATATACTTTCAAGAGTTTAGTGGCCATTTACAGATTTCCTTGGGAGAAATGTCTATTTAAATGTTTTACTCATTTAACAATCTTTTTAAAAAATTTTTGGATTTGTTATATTTCTTTGTACATCCTAAGAGAATATGTTCGCTTATATCCTACTATATTATCTTAGGAAGTATAAAGAAATATATTTGCAAATGATGTATCTGATAAGGGTCTAACATCAGATACTTCGTCTGCAACTATGTCCCCTGAATCTGTGGATTGTTTTTCACATTCTTGATTGTTTTCTTCAAAGCGTGCTTCAAAGCACAAAGTTATTTTCAATTTTATGAAGTCCAATTTGCTTTCTTTTTTTTTTTTTTTTTTTTTTTTTGCTGTCGTGCTTTGAGTATTCAGAGTATGAGAGTTTCGGCTCTTATATTTAGGTCTTTAATCAATTCTGAGTTAATGTTTATATATGTTGTCAGGTAGGGATCCAACATTATTTATTTTGTTACCAGGGAAGCCCTGTTAAAATAGCTTGGAAAGCTCTTTTTCTTACTGTTTTTCTTTAGTCTTTTATTTAGAGGCACAGCTGCTTAAAGACACCACATGGCTCTGGCTACATAACTGGAAGACATTATTGGCCCCATTGGAAATATACACCTTCACTCAACGTGAGTTGCCCCTCATAACAACAGCTGAAGTAGGATTGGTTTATGGACCCCATGAGCCATCTGAAACCCGGAATTTCATCTTAATTTAGAGAAAACAGTTACTGTGGGCATTAACAGGTACCCTTTAATACTTTTGTTCTGATTCAAAACAAAGCCCCCAAATATCTTCCCTACCTTTATGACTCTACTTTTGTTTGTGTATATATGTATATATGTCAATAAAAATTTGTCTTAAAACTGGATTCCTGAAATATGCAACAATATGGATGAACCTTGAGGATGTTATGCAAAACGAATTAAGCCAGTCACAAAAAGACAAATACTCTGGGATTCCATTTATATAAATTGTCTAAAATAGTCAAACTCATAGAAGCAAAGAAGAGAATAGTGGTTGTCAAGAGTTAGCAGAACCAGGAATGCAGAGTTGCTAATCCATATATACAATATTTCAGTTATGCAAGGTGAATAAATTTCAGAAATCTGATGTACAACATTGTTTCAATAGATAACAATACTGTATTGTACACTTAAAAATCCAGTAAAAGGGTAGATGTCATGTCACCTGTTTTCACCAATAAAAACAAATTGATTTTAAAGCCCTTTTTTCAACCCCTGGAAATATATCTTTCAAAAAAAAAAAAAAAAACAGAGAAAAGTTCAGTATATAAGACAGTTAAAAGTAGAACTACTCTGCATGAATCAGAATGTGGTTTAGGGTGAGTCCAGGTGTGAAGATCTAGTTTTATGTCAAATTAAAGAAATCAATTATTTATATACATTGGATCACAATCTCATGAGACTTCTTATCCAAAAAAATGTTTTAGAGGGAAGAAGTAGGAATAGGCTCAAAATGGCTTACATCAATGGTTTTCAGATAGTCTTTCAAAGTTATAATAGATCCTAGAAAGTGTCTTAATATTTGCTATGGGGAGAAGAAAACGGGATGGAGCAGGTAGGGTTCTACTATTAGGACAGCTTCTTTTCACTGTAGGCTTAATTCACGTCTATAAAGTGAGCTTGTCAAGCAGAACAAACCCCAAATTCAGCTTTAAATGAAAATATATTTTTGAATTACATACATTTTATTATTTAGAGAATAATATGTGCATGAAAGAGAAGGCATTCTGTTTGATGCTTCTGCCTGTCTGAAAGAGAGAGAGAGACAGAGAGAGAGAGAGAGAGAGAGAGAGAGAGAGAGAGAGAGAGAGAGAGAGAGAGAGAGACAGAGAGAGAGAGAGAGAGAGACAGAGAGAGAGAGAGAGAGAGAGAGAGAGAAGTTTCAAAGGCACTATGAAGAAACCATAGCTATGTCAGCCATGTTGTTGGTATAATTAGCCAATCAGCCCTCCACCTCCCTGTAACCTTAGCTTCCTTTTCCACTGTTACCTTAACAGTCATTTCTCATTGAAGGCCATCTGACTTCATGACTCTGGGTTGAAGTGCAGGCATCTGGTAAGCCTAATTTTAAAACTGCATCAAATGGGGCTTGGGAGACCCTAAATATCACTAAGATCCAGGGTTTCAGTGCAAAGAACGCTTATCTTTTGGAGATTCAGTTAAACTAATTGGAGATGTGAATTTTGAATACTGCAATGTAGTGGCATACTGAAAAGCAAAAGAATAAAATAATCTCTTTGGCATCCAGAGAGGACTTCCTTTACCCAACCTTCCAACCCAGAAGCCACCAGCATCTCCTTTACCTGAAGGTTCCTCCAATACAAGAAGCAACAAGAGGATATCTACAGCCACCACAATTAGGCAGAAGATGATCAGAAGGACTTCCAATACACTGAGCTTCCTCGCCATCTAGATAGACATAGATAATTGGATTAAAACAAATCACAAGGCCCCACCAGTCTAAGAGGATACATAATCATTATAGCCAAATGTGGATCTGTTTGCAAGATGACCTTGATTGTCAGCATCCTTTTTACATAATCTAATGAATATTTGTTTCCACTTCCTCGCGGTGTCCCTAAGTAACTCTAGCTTTACATCCAGCACCTGTAGAGCTCTTGCCTTTTTTGCATGCAGAGGAAGTGAGGATTGTCCAAGGAAAAGTTTATCAGACATGAAGAACTGAAGGGGGAAAGGTTGTGGAATAACACACAGAAGAGAGATGAGGGGATCAGGCAGGTCACAAAACCCTTTAGATGTCGCTTAGATCTTCACATCCACCTAATGTAGTAGACAGGAAGGTATGCTCAGGGAGAGAGAAAGTAGCAAAACTTAAATCCAAGTCGTCTTCTTTCAATGATGCTGAGGTCACTGTTTAGACTGTTTAAAGGTCACTGACACTCTCAAGAATCTGGTAACAAAAATGACCCTGATGTCCCAACATAAGGTTTGCTGATGTGGTCATAGCACACAACTCACATAAACTTGGCAGCTCCCAGTAATTATAAAGATCATTCATTGATCCAAGATCTAAAGTATTTTCTATATTGAAGGATGTACTGAACTGGGAATCAAAGAGCTTGAATGCTTAACCTGATTTTCTTACTAACAGATGGGCTATTTACCTATTTGACCTGTATTTCTTCATCCACAAAACTCAGATTAGACACTGGATGTGTTCCCATTTTTCTGATCTAATTATAGTAAATCTAACCTTATTATATGTCTCACAGATCCACGACAGCCCTCAGCTGCAATGACTTCATCACCATTCCATCTCCGTCATCCCATATGTGAGCTAGCCCCTGGAATTTATCCTCAGAACTGTTCCACTTTTGAAATTGTAAATCCATATGTAAATGAGGATATGTCCTTTTACTGTCTCATTGCCTTACTTTATTTTTAAAAAGTATTTTATCATATCAAGGCTGCTGCTTCCTTTCCATTTCCTTTAAATCTCTTAGCCCTTCCTAGCTGTTAACCCTGTTTGACCTAGCCCTCAGTATTGATTGTTTAACGTGCCATTGCTCTCATCTTCCTTGCTCCCTAACTGCTAACACAATCTGCAGGATGAAACTATCCATTCAAGCATCTACCTTCTGTGCTGACATACCTAGCTCAAGGGAGATGCCACGGAGGCTCATAATCTCCTAAATAAACTGGGCCTGCAAGCCGACTGATGGTCTTGACAGTGCCTTTCACTTTTCACAGCAGTAATTTTATTTTTATTTTATTTCATTTTTTTCTTTTTTAGAGACAGAGTCTCAACCTGGAGTGCAGTGGTGCGATCTTGGCCACCTCCCAGGTTCAAGGGATTCTCCTGTCTCAGCTTCCTGAGTAGCTGGGATTATAAGTGCATGTCACTATGTCTGGCTAATATTTTTGTATTTTTAGTAGAGATAGGGTTTCCCTATGTTGGCCATGGTGGTCTCAGACTCCTGACCTCAAGTGATCCCGCTGCCTCAGCCTCCCACAGTGCTGGGGTTACAGGCATGAGCCACTGTACCTGGCCTCACAGCAGTACTTTTAAAAATTGGTCCTTCTATCCTTCTTTTCAGGCCTGACCCCTGTTCCCTACATTCGTATTCTAATGCAATACCATCTCCGATATCACATAGAAAGTAACTATTTTGCAGAAACTATTCTCTTTCTCTGCTTCTCAACCCAAGCTTTTCCACAAAGGTTATTCCACATCTAGGTAAATTCTTATTTTCCCCCTCTATTCTCAATGAAACGGTTTTTCCTCTTCTTGTTTAAGCATAATCCTTGCATCTATTATCTAGATCTCACAGCTGTTGAATTTCTCAAAAATCTTATTCCACCAATTATCTCTTCTTTTCTTGCATTATCAACTTCACTCTCTGAATATTTTTCCTTCATAAATGTATCCCAAATCACCCCAAACTCTGTTAATGACTGTGTGCTTCTCCAGGTAGCATAATAACTTTCTTTTTCCTTTCATAGCTAATCTTCCAAAACGATAATTCCCTCTCTCATGGTATTACTGGCTTGGCTGTGTTTTCTGCATTCCACCGGAAATGCTCCCACCAAGGCTACCAATGACATAAGTGGCTGAATACAACGGGTGCTGCCTTAATCTTCTAGTGCTATCAAACACTTCCTCCTCTATCAAACTTTCCACCTATGGATTCCTTAATAGGAATCTTGGTTTTCTCCCTGCATTTCTGGCTTTTTCTTTTCTTTTTGTTTTTTTTTTTTTTTTTTTTTTTTGTGACAGAGTCTTGCTCGGTCCCCTAGGCTGGAGTGCAATGGCACTATCTCGGCTCACTGCAACCTCCTCTTTCTGGGTTCAAGTGATTCTTCCAACTCAGCCCCTCAAGTAGCTGGAATTACAAGCACCTGCCATCATGTCTAGCTAATTTTTGTATTTTTGTAGAGACAGGATTTCACCATGTTGACGAGGCTGGTGTTGAACTCCTAACCTCAGGTGATGCACCCACCTAGCCCTCCCAAAGTGCTGGGATTACAGGTGTGACCCACCGTGCCCAATCCTTTTTCATTAAATGTTGATATTTCCCAAATTCTCATATAAGTTTCTTTTTTAAACTGCTCACACCCCTTGAGTAATCTCCACCACTCATGTGACCTTATGTAACATGTGATGGCAATACAACCTGTATTTCTAGCCCAGATATTTAGATTTGTATACTCAACTGCCTATTGGATGTCCCACATTCAACCAAATGTAACATGTAAACATGAAATCACCTCTCCCCACACCTCAGTTCCAATTCCTGCCAATTTGGCCAAATTGTCTGTTCCTCAAATAATTAATAACTAGACGAAAAGAATCACATTAACAACAACAACAACCTCCTAGGAATCTTTTAAAAATTCCTCTCTTTCTGTCAGTTCTCACAGTCAGTTACCAGTTCAATCAGACTACTTTCCCCGTATCTTTGGGTCATTACCCGAGTGACCAGCACAAACAAGGTCATTTGGATCACCTATATTCAAGCCTTTCATGGATCTCTGAATAAACCAAAAACCTTTAGCTTTGTGATCAAAGGTCTTCATGGCACTTCCTAAGCCCGGCTGCTCAGCCTCTCTTCTCCCCTAATTCCCACCATACTAAACCAGCACTTATGCAGCAGCAAACTATTAAATAAAAGGCAACGTGGACAAATAATTTTCTCTCTGTGGTTTTTGTGTTTCTTTTGCATCTCCTCTTACTTCACATTTCCCTGCATCCCTGCTCTTCCCAACTCCTCCCCAATGCCACGACCACTTGTATAAATATTTTTATATGGGTATATAGCTTCAATTTTTAATTACAGTAGCCTTTAGGTTAATGTGTAATAACTCAGTAAAAGAAGCACTTTAATATTGAAATAGAGGTAAGGAACCAGGACCTACAGGTAATTTGCCAATAGGCATTTAGGAAGAACCCTTAGCCCTTGGAGACACTGGGGTTTGGGATTAAAATTGGGGTTTATTAACTATTCTTTACTAGTTACCTAAATTAATCAGGTATCTCTCTTTTAGTCTAAATTATTTAAACAATATACTCTAATCCACATAAAATAGATATCATATTACTGTATTCTCATAAAATCCCTGCATTGAAGTTGATCACATAGATATTATTTCCATTTTATAATGAATATTAAGGAATTTTGTCTAGTCATGGTTAGTGGTGGAACTGAGACAAACGCTAACTGTCACTACGTTTAAAATTAAAATACTCTCTCCACAATGTATCCTAGGCTTCAGAGTTTAAAGACCTAGAGGATCTGCCTCCAGTGGTGGAATTTCCGTAGTGAAAGAAGTATGAAGGATCCACCCTAGGTGTGGTATGGTATCAAACTTCATTTCTTATACATACAGCCCACAACTCAATACCACAGCAAACACATTATTCATCAATCAGTCTCTTTCTCCAAGTGTTGCTTCTCTCCACACGGAGGCTTTTTTCATTCTAGCCTGTAAAAATCAGCAGCAAGCACCTACTCCCACAGCTCCTCAATCCTCCTGAGGGAGCAGGTTCCGCACCTTAACTCAGGAAGTTCAAGAACATTCTAGGAATAACCCCAAGCACTTTCCCACCATAGGAGCTATTGTCATTCAGGCAGAGGACAGGATGGGGATTTCTGAAGGTAGAAATTCTTCCCTACTTAGAAGCCCTTCCTGCACAAATCTGGGAGGCATTCACCTTCCTCCAAATCCATGCCATCTTGAGATCATTTCCAGAAGGATCCCATCTGTTTCCTCTGTCTTTAATTTCTCCCAGTGAAAGAGGAGCATCTCACACTAGACCTCCCCCAACCTGTCCTCCAAACCCTGACACCACACACAGCCACACACACACACACACAAACATCTCTCCTCTCCATTAACTCTCTCATCCTCACTCCTCATCTTTTATGGAAAAGGAAGAAAGTATTAGGTCCAGAAGAAAAGTATGGGTATCCAGATCACTTAACGGAGCAGCTGACAGAAAATCGCATAAAGAGAAAGGGACCCCCGCCCTTGTTGGAAGCACTGCTTCCAACAAGCGTACTCACCTCATCACCTCGTTTCTCTCTAGCCGTGTCTCTCCCTCAGTGATTCATAGGGAGCACTGAGCAAAGGTAACTGGGCAGAGGTAGCCAGCTTCTGCCACAATTAATTTATTGCCCTATAAAGTTGACAGCAAATGGTGGAGGGGAGTGCATATTTCAATAGATCATAGAGGAACCCTGGATCTCCATGTGACACAGAATGAAAGCTCAACTTGTTAATAAAAAGGGAAGGTGGGTTTTTTTTTTAATTGTTGTCCCTCCTCTGTGTCCCTATTCATATCTAATTACTTTGCTTGTCACGTTATGCTTCCTTGTCTGTCCATGTAGCCTAAAGGGATCAAGAGCTAGGGTCTTGTCTATCTTCTTCATTGTTGTATCTCCTGTACTTAGCACTCTGTCTAATATATGTAGTTCTTTTTAAATATATAGTCACTTGTTTAATACAAAGCAAAAGAAGGATTAGCTCTCTGTTTACCACTTTGTTCTTTTCTCCATTTTCATTGTCCAGAGCTCTCTTGGCATAACTCAGCTCTTTATTAATTCAAATGATCCTTTCCACCAATTATTCTAAATAAGTGAAGTACCATTAAAATAGAAATTACACAAACCTGAAGTGTGAAGACACCTCTAGTGGATATTTGTCATGTTCTTCAATGGCTCAGCATCTTTCAAAACCTCTTGCTAAGAAGGGAGAGGTGGGGAGGGAGAAAAGGGTCAAAAACCTACCTATTGGGTACTATACTCACTACCTAGGTGACAGGTTCACTCACACCCCACACCTCAGCATCACACAATATAACCTTGAAACAAACCTGTATATGTACCCTGAATCTTAGACCCTGAATCTAAAATATAAGTTGAAAAAAATTAAAAACAGAGGATCTTTAAAAAGAAAAAAAATACTTACTTACATTAAGGAATTTCTTTCCAAATTCTGCCTCCCCAAAGAAACAGCTAGAAATTCTCTTTCACGGCCTCCTTTTCAGCCAAGGTAGAGATAAGTGGCTGGAGCTTTGTGAATGAGAGATTCCCGTGACTGACTTAGATCCAGAAGAAGGTATAGATAAGGAGGTAACAGGTAAAATCCAGGATGTTGGGAAGATAGCTTGTTTCAGAGGCACCAGGGACAAGAGAACTAGCAGCATCCTATGCTCAGTATTTAGTGTTGCAAGTTGCCAGATATGTGCTCAGGCAGTGGCAGGAGAAACCCCTACAGGGTAACCTGGAGCTTGTGCCCAGCCACATGGCCTATAAACCTGGCTCTCTCTCTATTCCTACTGGAGTTTCAATGAGTCACCAATATCTTTTTAAATTTTTTCTTAAGCTAGCTGAAGTGGATTTTTTAATTGATATATAATTTCCAAACCATGAGACTCACTCTTTTTTTTTTTTGGAGATGGAGTTTCACTCCTGTTGCCCAGGCTGGAGTACAATGGCACAATCTCGATTCACTGCAACCTCTGCCTCCTGGGTTCAAGTGATTCTCCTGCCTCAGCCCTCCAAGGAGCTGGGATTACAGGCATGTGCCACCATGCCTGGCTAATTTTGTAGAGACAGGCTTTATCCATGTTGATCAAACTGGTCTTGAACTCCCAACCTCCGGTGATCCACCTGCCTTGGCCTCCCAAAATTCTGGGATTACAGGTATGAGCCACTGAGCCCGGCCAAGATTCACTTTTTTAACATGTCAAATTTAGTGGCTTTTTTTTAATTTACAAAATTGTGAAACTATCACCACTGTCTAATTCCAGAACATTTTTATCACCCTCCCTTAAAAAATTAGTGATGACTCCCCATTTCCATCTTCCCCTATTTCTGCAGCCACTAATCTACTTTCTGTCTTTATGGATTTGCCTATTATAAGCATTTCATATAAATGCATTCATACAATATGTGGCCATCTGTGTCTGGCTTCTTGTACTTGTCATATTTTCAAAGTTCATCCATGCCTTTTCAGGTATCAGTGTTTGTTCCTTTCCATGTCTGAATAGTATCCACTGCATGAATAGACCACATTTTGTTTATCCATGTATCCGTTGATATACATCTAGGTTGTTTATACTTTTGCCTTCTATGAACAATGCTGCTATGACCTGATATGTTTTCTTAAAAAATTCTGCTTGGAATATGCTCTAGGAGTGGAATCATGGGTCATGTGATAGGTCTTTGTTTCACTTTTTGAATAACTGCAAAACTGCTTTCTAAAGTGGCAGTACAATTTTACATCCCCATTCCCACCAGTAATATATGAGGTTACAGAGGGCTCTTTTGGTGGCACCTAAGAACTGTAAATAACAGTGTTCATAGTAGTGAATCCTCTATGTTTGCTTCAAATGCTCAGTATATGGAAACACACACACACACACACACACACACAGAGAGAGAGAGAGAGAAGGAGAGAGAGAACTAGGTTTCTGCATTTATTAACTCCTGGAAAGACATATCAGCCTTTCATTTGCCCCAGTACAAGGTGGCCTTTGTTAGACAGGAAATGTACCTAGATCTCCTTTCAAATTGGGAAGATACCCTGGCAAAAGATCAAGAAGGGAGATTTATTGTTACACAAGAATTTCTATTCTTTGTGTGATATTTTACCTTTAACTCCCCACATGCTGTGCACATTTGTTACTTTGTTTATGTTATAGTGGTAAACAATCAGTCCCAGGGAATCTATAACCTGTTTCCTAAAGTGCAGAAAACAGCTACCTAACTAGCAAATGGAAGATATTGGATCACCATGCTGGTGTTGACCAATGAGAAAATAACAAAGTCATTTTGAAGGGTAAAGCCAAGAGCTGGTTTGTAGAAAAGATCAACAAAATAGACAGACCACTAGCCGGATTAATAAAAAAGAAAAGAGAGAATAACCAAATAGATGCAATAAAAAATGATTAAGGGGAAATCACCACAGATTCCACAGAAATTCAAACCATCATCAGAGAATATTACAAACAACTCTCTGCACATAAACTAGTAAACCCGGAAGAAATGGATAAATTCCTGGACACTTGCCTACTCCCAAGCCTAAACCAGGAAGAAGTCAAAACCCTGAATAGACCAATAACAAGATCTGAAGTTGAGGCAGCAATTAAGAGCCTACCACACAGAAAAAGCCCAGGTCCAGATAGGTTCACAGCTGAATTCTACCAGACACAGAAAGAGGAACTGTTACCATTCCTTCTGAAACTATTCCAAATAATCCAAAAAGAGGGAATCCTTACCAAATCATTTTATGAGACCAACATCGTCCTGATACCAAAACCGGAGAGACTCAACAAGAAAAGAAAACTTCAGGCCTATATCCATGATGAACATAGATGTAAAAATCTTCAATAAAATCCTGGCAAGCCAATTGCAACAGTATTTGCACATCAAAAAGTTATCCACCATGATCAAGTAGGAGTCATTTCGGGGATGCAAGGCTGGTTCGACATACGCAAGTCTATAAATGGTTCTGTTTATGTGGTGAATTACAAAGACAAAAACCACATGATTATCTCAACTGACGCAGAGAAGGCATTTGACAAAATTCAACAGCCCTTTATGCTAAAAACCCTCAATAAACTCGGTATTGATGGAACATATCTCAAAATAATAAAAGCTATTTACGACAAACCAACAGCCAATATCATACTGAATGGGCAAAAACTGGAAGAATTCCCTTTGAAAACTGGCACTAGACAAGAATGCCCTCTGTCACCACTCCTATTCAATATAGTACTGGAAGTTCTAGCCAGAGCAATCAGGCAAGAAAAAGAAATAAATAGAAAAGGAGGAAGCCAAATGGTCTCTATTTGCAGACGATATGATAGTATAACTAGAAGACCCCATCGTCTCAGCCAAAAATCTCCTGGAACTGATAAGCAACTTCAGCAAAGTCTCAGGATACAAAATCAATGTGCAAAAATCACAAGCATTCTTATACACCAATAACAGACTGAAGGAGAACCAAATCAGGAATGAACTGCCATTCACAATTGCTACAAAGAGAATAAAATACCTAGGAATACAACTAACAAGAAACGTAAAGGACCTCTTCAAGAAGAACTACAAACCACTGCTCAACAAAATAAGAGAGGACACAGAGAAACATTCCATGTTCATGGTTAGGAAGAATCAATATCGTGAAAATGGCCATACTGCCCAAAGTAATTTACAGATTCAACACTATCCCCATCAAGCTACCAATGACCTTCTTCACAGAACTGGAAAAAAACACCTTAAACTTCATATGGAACCAAAAGAGAGCCTGCATAGCCAAGTCAATTCTAAGCAAAAAGAATACAGTGGGAGGCATCATACTACTGGACAACAGCGTGGTACTGGTACCAAAACAGACATATAAACCAATGGAAAACAGAACAGAGGCCTCAGAGGCAACACAACATATCTACAACCATACGATCTTTGATAAACCCGACAAAAACAAGCAATGGGGTAAGGTTTCCCTGTTTAATAAATGGTGTTGGGAAAACTGGCTAGCCATGTGCAGAAAGCAGAAACTGGACCCCTTCCTGACACCTTACACTAAAATTAACTCCAAATGAATTAAAGACTTAAACATAAGACCTAACACCATAAAAACCCTAGAAGAAAATCTAGGCAAAACCATTCAGGACATAGGAGTAGGCAAGGACTTCATGACCAAAACACCAAAAGCATTGGCAACAAAAGCCAAAATAGACAAATGGGACCTAATCAAACTCCACAGCTTCTGCATGGAAAAAGAAACAGTCATTAGAGTGAATCAGCAACCAACAGAATGGGAAAAAAATTTTGCAGTTTACCCATCTGACAAAGGACTGATATCCAGAATCTACAAAGAACTAAAACAGATTTACAAGAAAAAAAAACAAACAAGCCCATTCAAAAATGGGCAAAGGATATGAACAGACACTTTACGAAAGAAGACATACATGAGGCCAACAAACATATGAAAAAATGCTCATCATCACTGATCATTAGAGAAATGCAAATCAAAACTACATTGAGATACCATCTCACGCCAGTTAGAACGGCGATCATTAAAAAATCTGGAGACAACAGATGCTGGAGAGGATGTGGAGAAATAGGAACACTTTTACACTGCTGGTGGGAGTGTAAATTAGTTCAACCATTGTGAAGACAGTGTGGCGATTCCTCAAGGACCTAGAAATAGAAATTCCATTTGACCCAGCAATCCCATTACTCGGTATATATCCAAAGAATTATAAATCGTTCTACTATAAGGACACATGCACATGAATGTTCATTGCAGCACTGTTTACAATAGCAAAGACCTGGAACCAACCCAAATGCCCATCAATGATAGACTGAACAGGGAAAATGTGGCACATATACACCATGGAATATTATGCAGCAATCAGAAATGATGAGTTTGTGTCCTTTGTAGGGACATGGATGAACCTGGAGACCATCATTCTCAGCAAACTGACACAAGAACAGAAAATGAAATACCACATGTTCTCACTCATAGGTGGGTGTTGAATAATGAGAACACATGGACACAGGGAGGGGAGCACTACACGCTGGGGTCTGTTGGGGGGAATAGGGGAGGGACAGCGGGGGGTGGAGAGTTGGGGAGAGATAGCAGGGGGAGAAATGCCAGATATAGGTGAAGGGGAGAAGACAGCAAATCACACTGCCACATGTGTACCTATGCAACTGTCTACCCCAAAACTTAAAATGCAATAAAATATATATATAATTTTATAAAATTATAAATTATAATGTAAAATATATTTTATATATATTAACAATAAAGGTATATGATTTTATAAAATTAATCATTTTAATTGTTAATTAAACATTTAGTTATTCAATTAATTTTAAAAAATAAGCCAAAGTGAATTCAGGAGACGAGAAACAGACTGACACTTGGTAGCTCTCAGGACAGTGACAACAACACAGGGTCGGAGCTGCTGGAGTCTGGGACGCTCATACACCTACATCTAGGGGTTCCTGAGGCTCTAGACCTCCAAAGGGGGCACAGGCATAACTTACTCTGTAAACATAAATAGAAAAAAATATGTCTCTTTCTCATACATCTGTGGCTGAATTTTAGCATTTCGTTAGGTTATGAATGTCGACAACAGAGCACAGTAGTTTTTCCCAGCACATGAGTTTGTCAAAAATGGAATCACAGATCTTTCCATATTACATTATGAAATTGTATCAGATATCTCAAAATATTGTTCATGTTGATCAAAATATTGTTCATGTTGATCATTACCTTGAAATTGTGGCACTGTTACTTCCACTGTTGGATCTTTTAATTTGATGAGAAAAACACACCTCATGGGTTACTATATCCATTTTTCTTTAATATTTGGATGAATATATTTTAATATAAGTTTTCTTTGAAATAGCATGGATTTTGCTTGATGTATTTGCAAACAACGTTGTGAGGAGGAA